TTTTGCTCATATGACGACGTGCATGCGTGTGTATGTGTATGTGCGGCTGCTTGTACTAGCCCAGACTTAAGCTGTTTTTTTATAGTGCTAGCCCACTGAGATACCATGCCACAGTGAAGCATGAATACCCCACTCAGACACATTATACTGACTCCGAGCCGACCAGTCCTTGTTGTACCCATTAATGCCGAGCGCCAGGCAGGGACCAACAAATACCATATTTTAACGTCTTTTGGTATGACGCGGTCGGGGATCAAACCCGCGACCTTCCGCTCTCCGGGCGGACGCTCTAACCACTACACCACGGAGGCGGTCCTTTCAAATGACTATATAGAGGATATTATATGAGTGCCCATGTCATACTGTGTTTACAACACGAGTGCCTAAATGTTGGTATTTCCCAAGCGAGAGGGAGGGATATACCGATATTTAGGCAAGAATTTCGTAAACATAGTATGATATTGGCACGAATTTAATATTCTGTTTATTACCGAAGTCATCAAATTGAGGAAAATAAACCTAAATCTGCTTTCAAAACATAGGCTGGCTACCTGCTGTCGTCGTATGTAGAACAGAAGAAACGTGACGTCATAGCATTGTTCATGACGTCACGTCACCATGACAAAGCGATAGTTTGCCCTAGGGCACCGTATGAAAAATATGAACTCCGATATTTTCGCCCTCATAGGTAATAACTTTGATTATGCCATGGCATGCCAGATTAACTATAGTAAGTGTGGCCTTTAACTTCACGTGAGTAGTATGTGTGGATAATAGGAAGCAAGAGAAATGAATGACACTGTCAGTTATGTTCAGTTGTGACTGTAGTTATATATATATCTTAGAAGGCTTTGTGATTGTAATTGTTGTTGAGTTTCTGCTCAGTGTTGACTAACAAATATTTGTTCTGTAATGCAGTTAAGAAGTGTTATTTTTGTCATTAATTGAGAAATGTATTTTATACAGGTTGATATCTATTTTCAGTGAATGTGTTCAAAATATCGTGCATAATTCAGGCCATCATGTGCTGTTATATGTTGCTTTTTTCATGGAAACGTTGATTTAATGGCCTTTTCAATCACTTCCTGGTTCAAAATGTGGTATTGCTGAAACAATCATTAGGCCACAATATCTCAATTTCCCGACAAAATTTCTGGGGGTAAATCTTCATAATTTGTTGTTTGATAGTTAACTTTCATCTATCAAAATCTCTGTTTTCTGCAAATATTTGTATGTGTATTTTTTGCTCAAATTTGTGTTATTTTTTTTATTACCCTTGTTGCAAGTTTTACAAGGTCAGAGAAAATCTGTGACACACAACTTTGGTGCATATCCTGTTATGACTTCTCACAACACACATACAGTGAGGTGATACAGGACAATAATACTGTATTGCTAATTATCGGTTGAATGCTGCAAACCTGCTGTTGCTTAAGCTACAGTCAGCTGCTACTGCTATGGCCTGTCTTTAATGGATGTGTAATACATGATTTATAAATAGTGTCTATTGAATTCCTGTATCTATATTTTCCTTGTTGCAAACTGTTTTTGTAACCAGATGCTCAATTTGTCAATCTTTCATTCCTGGCAATGTTACATATTAACTTTGTTGCAATTATGGAATATGTGTCATATGAGTATGAAAATCCTTCCCCCTTTCTGTAGCATGTACATTTGGTGCAGAGATATGTACATTGATTTGTCCCAGTTTCACCATGTTTGACAACACAGCAATGCACTTCACTTCAGTATATCATATTTGCTTTTGTATTTACTCCCATTTTGATGCAATGCTTGCCACGTCAGGTACCCTCAATAAACTATATTCACAAGGAACAGATTTGCAGCGTTGTTGCTCTTACACAAGTGAGAATGTTTTATGTTGGTTGTAAATGTTATTCTAACCTGTGGAAATGCTGTGTTAGGAGAGGTCCCAAGCTTACTGTTGTGCATGAGACATTTTGCGGCCAGGATCTGTTGACTGTATGTATCCATATCTTGTTTGATTGTTTAGTTTAACGCCACACTCAGCTGTATTCCAGCTATATGGCGTAGATCGATGCCCATGCTGTTGATCACTGGACTGTCTGGTCCAGACTTGATTATTTACAGACCTCCGCCATATAGCTGGAATATTGTGGAGTGTGGCGTAAAACTAAACTCACTCACTCACTATATGGCGGTGGTCTGTAAATAATCAAGTTCGGACCAGACAATCCAGTGATCAACTACATGAGCATTGAAGTATGCAATAGGGATACAATGACATGTATCGACCTAGTCAGACCACCTGATCCCATTAGTCAACTCTTAAAACAAGCAAGTAGAATCCACCTTATTTGTCATGCCTATGACTAGATAAGGAGAATACACAGTGCCTTTGTCTTTTTTCAGGAAGTTTCCCATTATAGAGGTAGTGCTATCTGTAAGAAACAGTGAATTGACCAAACTGTGCATTTCATTTTTTTTATCTTCAGTCGAAAGATTTGCCACAGTTGAACAGTAGTTTTCTGCCATGGCTAGTAAGTAAGGGAGAGAATTAACTGGAACAAGGGAGATAACTATCTGAGATTGTCATGTGAATTGACCGCCCTATTCAAGTACATAGGTAACCCTTTTGGCCCTACTGTTGTTGCACATGTAAATCTGTTACAAATTCATATTACGCACATCACAAACCCCAAAATACTTGGCATCACATTCTAGTGACTGATATGTGAACACCAACCCACATTGTAAGGAAACCTAACCACTGTGGAGTGCCAGGACTTTCATGTAAAACAGCTCACAATAAATCAGCATAAACAACTTTAAAACATTGACGCCACCAGATTCTTTCAGATTGCTGTTGATAATATGCTATGGCATCTTTAGAAGCATTATCCTGTTAGAAAGAGTCTCTGTTGGGGGAAATATTTTTACGTTTTGCTGAACAGGAAAGACTTGGCATGGTCGTAAGTGCACACATGTGTGTTGAACTCATCGTGTCTGGAAGGCAGTGCGGGTGTAGAGGACCTGAGTTTGGAATCCTGGTGACTTTGATACTTTTGTCAGTGATTTCTTCACTGCCAGCTGAATTGCTCGGATATTCTTAGGTATCTTAAACATGTTCAAAGAGGTAACAAGGACAACAAGCATTGTCACTAAGGTGACATAATCCCCCGTCGCAAATTATCAAATCAAACTTAAAAAATGAAAGTGAAGGTCGTAATTTAAGATGAAGTTAAATGTCAACAAAAACATGACCAGTCAACCTCTCTTGATATCTTGCTCTGTAGTTGTTCAAATGCACAAATATTTTCAAGACTCACTTTGACCTTGACATGAATGTCTTAGTGTATGAAATATGCAAAAATAGTAAAAAATTGCTTATTGAAAAAATAAAGGGAAGCCTAAAGAAAGAAAATCCAGTGCTTATTTATGTGAAAAAAATCAAGGGCCCTGCCTTGATGAAGCTTGATGTCTAATATGAAGAAAATCCAGTGAACGGTTCTTGAGGTATCTCGCTGGACAAGCTCAACATGCAGCTTAACATGCTAAAAACTTCAAAGTGTTGCCATGACCTTGAAAATTAGGTGAAGGTCACCAAAATCGACTGGGCCCTGCGCCTTCCCTAGATAAAGCTTGGTGTTGAATATGAAGAAAATCCAGTGAACGGTTCTTGAGATATCTCCCTGACAAGGGTAAAACGTTAAACTCCCCTTGTGACCTTGAAATGAAGGTCAAAACCTGACAGGGACCTTTCATTTACTTTAATGAACCTAGGTACCAAATATGAAAAGAATCCAGTCTACGGTTCTTAAGATATTCCAATTCGTACGGACGGGCGGACGGAACCTAATACTATATCCCCACGCTTCACGCTAAACGTGTGGCAGGGGTTAATGAGGTTCACTGGTGCCAGTCTATGCAGATCTTTAAAAACATAGACCAAACCTTTCAGTTCTATATGCTGATAAGATGCCAGTGCTGAGCCTTTGACACTGTGCATAAGCATGGGCTTCAAGAGATATTTTTGGCATGCGAGTCTTGAACGTTTCAGCTGCTGATGAGCTGGTCACTGCCACCATAGAGAAGTTGACTACCACAATCTAAGGAAGGATATGGTTGCTGCAGTTTCTCAATTTACTTGAATCTGAAACTGATGTTCCTTACATGGTCATAAAATGTACACAATATATGTAGATGTGGATCCGGGATTGAAAAAGAACTGGATGACTGTAAACACAAGCTAAAATGAGACCGTTCTTGAAGCACAAAAGAGCAACCAAGTGTTCTCATTTTTTACTTCCTTCCTATCCACTTCATCATATCAGCTACACAGTTTGACACATCTTGAAATGCATTTTCTATACACTCCCACCAATCTTTTAGAGAAGATATCCAGTCATCTGCATACAAATGGACACAAATCAGGAGATCATAATTAAATACCAACTAACATCTTTAAGCAGTGTGAAGGTAAAAACACCATAGAACTGATCCTTGAGGAACTCCACAGACAAGATCAAACTTTGGTCACCCTAGCAGCCATTGTGTCCAGACATGTATATGTTGATATTCTCTAAACATTGGTTATTTTAATCCCATTCTGTAACAGTATCCTCTGGGATAAAAAAGGTTTTCAACCTTGCCATCTCTTTATTCCCTTGTGTACTTGTTGGTCCCTGCCTGGCGCTCGGCATTAATGGGTACAATAAGGACTGGTCGGCTTGGAGTCAGTATAATGTGTCTGAGGGGTATTCATGCTTCACTGCGGCATGGTATCTCAGTGGGCTAGCACTATAAAACCAGCTTCAGTCTGGGTTAGTACAAGCAGCCGCACATACACATACACACGCATGCCCGTCGTCATATGAGCGAAATATTCTCAAGCACGACGTTAAACCCTATTTCAGCCCAGTTCAGCTCAGCTATATTCCCTTGTAACAAACCATTAGCAATTTAAATCCTGTTTCAAAGAATACATCAGCTAAAACAACACACAACAAAACACATCATTGATACATCAATATTTTACTTAATAAAATTCACTTCTGAATATTCAGTACTTCAGTAACAATGATTCAGTCAACACTTTAGTAAGTGAAATTAAAAGTATCATATTGAGATGTTTCTAAACCCTAACAAATGTTTCAGAAAATGGGCTCATACAATGTAAAGTTGCTTTGAAGATTATTTCTAAGTTTCCAGAATCTGTATTTGTTATTGATTCAAGAGACATGAAACCAATATGGAAAACTACTTAGAAAGTATGGTCCCTCACTGAATGTGAAAGATGTCCAGAAACACCCCTTGGTGATGGCCTGTACATTACATATAAATGCCACAGATGAAAATGGTAATGTATGTTGACATCAACAGGAACTTGCACATAGGTCTGCTGACAGATAGGTGCAGTTTCCGATGTAGTTATGTGTCTTAACTTGTTTTCATTTGATATATGAAAACAAATGCAAAGTATGTTGGCTGAATATTTTGTCCTGCCCTGTGAGCCACAGAAAACAATGCAGCTCAGACTGTGAACCAGTTGCTAAGCCTTTGCAAACATCCATCATTCCATTAACCAACTGGCCAGTGCCATTTCCAGATCACTGTCCATAACAGACATGTTACGCAAGACAGGCTCCTTCCCCAAACATGAGCATTTCCAAATATCTGCCACCCAAACAATCGTATCCATCATCAAATTAAAATATTTATCTGTTGTTAAATCCCCCACCCCTTCCTCCCCTAAATCCACCTCCACCCCGACCCTGAAGCCGCCACCCCTCTGAAGCCCCCACCTCCTCTGAATCCCCCACCCCCACGTCCTCCGCCACCTCGACCACCACGGAAACCTCCACCTCGACCACCTGTAACATATAAATACATCATATAGATATGTGTACGAAGCATCAATGAGTGAGTGAGTGGGTTTAGTTTTACGCAGCACTCAGCAATATTCCAGCTAAATGGCAGCGGTCTGTAAATAATCGAGTCTGGACCAGACATTCCAGTGATCAACAGCATGAACATCGATCTGCACAATTGGGAACCGATGACATATGTCAACCAAGTCAGCGAGCTTGACTACTCAATCACGTTAGTCGCCTCTTACGACAAGCTTGGGTTACTGAAGGCCAATATTCTAACCCGGACCATCACGGGTCATGAAGCATCAATGAACAGATGCCTCTTTCTCATTCTAAGGAGGTAGTTTGTGTGCTTTCCACTGCAATAGACACACATATCAACTATCCCTGTTAAATGGTTAAGCATATATAGATACACTGTAGACTAATGCTTAGTCTCTGAACATATTAAATTTTGACAAAACCAAATATTTCCTTTGAAATTGAAAAGGACTGACTGACTGACTGAGTTTAGTTTTACGCCGCTTTTAGCAATATTCCAGCAATATCACGGCGGGGGACACCAGAAATGGGCTTAACACATTGTGCCCATGTGGGGAATCGAACCTGGGTCTTCGGCGTGACGAGCCAACGCTTTAACCACTAGGCTACCCCACCACCCCAAATTGAAAAGGAGCCTAAATGAGAGGGGGATTCAGAACTGGAGGAAATCTATTCTTGCTTCATTTTGGGCTTTAGCAGTGCAGAAAGAGAAGGGTGGAAGGGAAAATAATGTGGTTCAGGGACTGTGAGTCTAGGATACTCTGCTGTAATATACCAAAACAAAGTAACATCATAGTTCAGACAGTGTCGCAGTGCTAATATCATTCATGTTTGCTAAAAGAAAGACAAACTTGGCTACATTGCTTCAATGACTAATAGATGATACATGATACTAAGGGAGATAACTTATCCACCATACCTCGTCCTCCTCTACCCCCACGGTCTTTCCCTGCCCCCCTCTGTCCTGCTGGTCGGGGGAGAAAACGCTGGAGAGGTAACAGTTTAGCTGGATCTATAAACACCTAAAATGCAAACAGATTCGCGGTCTTAATTCTGGAAAAAACATAATTTTCACTTGCACTCTACTCAGTGACAAGGGTTTTACTGTGTAGTTACTGAGAACAAATAAAGTCAAGAATGGGTGCAACAAATTATTCAATCTTAGAGAATCAAACTGATATACAACATGCAATGAATAGTAACATGAATGTGATAGAAGAAAGTCAATTTTTTATAGAAATCACCAAGACTTTAAGCTTATCTTGATACGGTGATGCATCATTAAACAAAATCTAAAATGAAAACAAAGAACCTGTGTTTGTGTGGTTTGATCAAACAGATAAGCTTACCTTTGTTGCTTTTGAAAATGAGCTTGCTTTCATGTCACTGGACAGTTTAACAGAGAAATACTAAAAAAGTTAAGGAGTGAATAAGTAAGCCACGTTTAGAAATATTCCAGAAATATTACAGCGAGAGGCAAAAGAAATGGGCTTCAAACACTGTACCCATGTGGGGAATGGAACCATGGTCTTTAGTGTGACAAGCAATTGCTTTAACAACTAGACTACCCCCATCACCTGATAAAATTTAGGATGAAACTAAAGAGTTTATGCAGAAATTATACAAGTCCAGAAAGTTTGCAACTGATTTTGATTCAAGGCTTAATATTATTCTGTCACTTGTGCTATAGTTTTTTCAGGACTAATAGAAATTTGTAAGGGTTTTGCTATATTCTTATATGCATTAAATTAAGGACCCGGAGATATTTTCAGCCGTAATTGTGACCGATGTGGTATAATGATATGCTAGTTTCCAAACATATTACCTGTCTATCATAAATTCACTAAGTTTGTCAACCACAGGAAACAAAAACCTGCAAGCCACTTTGTGTCAGCAGTGGTCAGAGCTTATGAACCCTCTAATCTAAGCAATTGGACAAGTGCAAACCCTGACCTACACAGGGTTTCTGCAAGGTGAGTGAGAATGTTTTTTTAAAGCTTTTTCAGAAATATTCAAGCAATATTAACATGGGAATACCAAAAATGGGATTCACACATTTAACCCATGTGGGAAATTGAACCTGGGTCTTCATCATTACAAGCGATAGCTATAATCACTAGGCTAGGTATCAATTAGGCTCAGTTCACAGAAGGAGGTGATCCTTAAGTAGTGAAATGTCCCCACAACATCAAAACCTGTCATTCTAAATCAGAAAAATACTCTTCAGTAAATAGTAAAACACACACTTAACTCACACAAGTCTTTCATGCATAATCAAACAATCACAATACCCTTTACTTTCTCACTGTAAATCGTGACTTTTCCTATAGTAAACCTGCTCACCGCTTTCATTTTGTTTCTAAGCTAACAAGGTTAATTACAACTGAATACCTGAACGCATTTCAAAATTAAAATCCTTAATCTTTATACCATCAATATTTGAAAGGATACAAAGTCCTTAATGGAACCAAATATTTCATCCACTTTTCCAACTTGTTGCTTATTTTCCAAGTAGATTGGAGCGTTGAAGTAAGGGATCTTCTCATTGGTTCCTCTGCAAACAAGATCATCTTCACAGGGATGGGTGAAGACGCCCATTTCTGAAATACAGAAATGATCATGAAATTATGTCCAACAATCATCGAGAATATTTTGGTCATTTGTTAAGTTGTGATGTAATCATCTGCCAGCTAAACACTGTGTGGCATCCTTGATTATCCAGTGGTTTGTTATCCCCATTTTATTATGATAAATGTTCTGGATGCAAGTGTGTGTATGTGTGTGCATGTTTGTGTACTGTAACTTGTCAACAACCACAATCATCACTATTCAACCTATATGACAGTGGACTGCTGCAGACAATTTGGTACACACAGTTTAGTGAGTGATACTGTGAGCAGCAATGCTTTTCTTTGGGGTATGCATCAACCATTGCCCAAAGTCTGTACACTCAATAAAAATAAGTTTTCTCTTTGACAATTTAGTGTGCGTGGTCCAACTGGATTCTTTTTCTAAATTATCAGCAAAGTTTCAGTAGGACAGTTAGTAAAATAATTTGTTAAAGACATCAACTTACCCATAACCTCTTCAGGTGGGCCATAATCTTGCCAGCCACCACCACCACCACGTCCACCTCGACCTGAACAGAAAAATGGGATAAACAATCTGTAGATATAGTGTTTCGTTTAAAGACAGTGGTCCCTTATTCCATTATTAACAGGAGACAGATGTTACCCATGTTAAACCTTTCTGAATCCAATATCTGAAAGTACAATCAACCTGGCCATGTTGACAGAGATCTAGGATTTCTGCGAAAAGACTTACCCCTGAAGCCTCCCCCTCCTCCTCTTCCTCGAAAGCCTCCTCCCCTGTCACCACCACCACGGTAGCCACCTCCTCCCCCACGGAAACCACCTCCTCTACCTCCCCCTCTTCCACCACCAGGGAAGCCCATGTTTCACAGATTACCTGAAAACAAATTGAAAAAGTGTCTGAATGAAATAAACATATTCCAGTGGATCACTGGATGACTGTTTTATTTTTGCTTGACTTTCTATTGATATTGGGATGAAACAAAGCAATATTGGATCTGAACCACAGAACTTCTCATCCAAGCTGGACATGTTCACATTGTACACATAAGGACAAAGACGCATGATGACATGGTAAAGATGTCAGTCCATGCCCTGCTACAGATTAATGAATCTGTAAGGCTTTCGACTGAATTTTCCAAATGAAAGTTATATTGAAACCTGCAAGTACAGTTCACTGTGTAGCATGTAACATCTTCAAAACATACGGCTTAAGCATTAACATGAGAAGACCAGGGAGCCATTCCTCCCAAATATTCTTCAAAAAAAAGGATTGCGTACATAATTTTATCTAATTGTTCGTCACCCAATGGTACCAATTAACGACTTTGCGAATTTACAGAGTTTATCTGAGCATATTTTAGTTGGCTGTGTAAGGGTATGTTGCCCGTTGCCCTCTCCCCTTAGCACTTAGAATAAAGAAGTGCCAAACAAATGCTACGTAACGTCTCTGAGAAGAGTGTAAAAGATCAATTCGTCCTGTGCCCCAAAACATCAAATAACTACCATACGGAACATATGTCTGATGCCAGATCAACGTTCAACTTGTTGCTCATTACAAAAGAAAGAACACTTACAATGTGTATTACTAAATACCAAAGTTGATACGAGTTATGTGTGCTTTAATAACCATACTCACTATAAAGTTGTTTTGTTTTCGCACGTGGTTCCAGCTTACATTGTGCGCAGGACTCGCCCGGGTAACAATATGTCGTAAAAACACCAGAATTTGGAGTAAGAACCAGTTTACTATATTTAAATACAAATATGTCGTTCAAGTGTATGCGTTCTGAGGCAAATATGTGCTTAACATCACTCGCAAAAAGTAGTTTTAACCACTAACTTTTGAACGACATGCCGGAAGCCGACTCATTATAACCGGCGTTGACCTAACGTTCGAGTTGGAGATAAATACAACTGTTTTTGAAATACGAATTGTTGGTTATAACACGTACTGTCGACTGGAATTTCGATATAATAATGCCTAGAGACAGCAGGTATTGTTGATAGCTTGAATTATAAGCATTTGTTCGACAAACTGTTGTCCAAACGAGCACCTGTTTCGTGTCCCATAAATTCGTGGTATAGGTTCTGGTTTTGTTCGCGTAGTTTTTTTGTAGTCTACTGGTTTTTTTGCATACAATTCATGCTATAGCACGTACACAAAATAATAAAATAAACCAACTTTACAAGTATGGCCTACGAGACACTAACAATCATGTATTTAAAATCATGAATAGGATAAATTAGGACATATTATACCAGCACAATGGTTGATGTTAATTTGAGTTAAGAAACACACACACACATTCACGTACACCAAATTACTTATACAATTATGCACACACACTATACACAAACATATACACACAGGCACACTCAAAACGTGCATACTTTTACAATCTTAATCACATACACTACATCATATTTACTGTCTAAATTGGCATTGCTTGCTGCGTACATACAGTTAGAAGTATTGATAGATTATTCTACATTTACTAAATATTCACTTGTGATGCTAATCACTGTTAAAGATGCTGTAGAAAAACAGTGAAAAGGGGTATCCACGTCTTTGATTAAACATATTAAAAGGAAACATAAAAAACCAAAGCATTGAAATATGGAGTGGTTGTTTCTTTGCTGAATATGTGTGAACCCCATTTCTGGTGGTAGTATTATCCCTTAATCCTTTGATTGAAGTTGTTTGCAACTCAACTGGCCATTCCTCTCTTGCTGCGATGTCACATGCATGTTACCTTACATGGTCTACATTCACAACATCAAACTTTTACAACCCAATTTTGGACTGAATTATTACCCAGACATGAGAAATGCCAAATGCGAACAACTGGTTGGTATTTATCCTTGACAGCCTCAGAGGCAGGGATGAACTTTATTGAGTCTAGGTAATCTGAGTGCTGACCAGTAGTTAATATTTGTAATGAAGTCATTCATTGAGCATCAAGTGAATATGGTGAATGACAACAAATACAGGAGTCAAGGGCTGATACAATAAAACATGGTTGACATGAGAGAGAAATAGCTGTTACACAATGTATGCAATTGTCCTGAAAAAGTCACATTGTTGCTGTTTGAATACATTATTTAACTTAATATTTGCCATTGCCAATATTACATCCTCATAAATGTTGTATACTGAAGCACATAATTGTACGTACAGATTTACACAGAGTATACAAATTTGCATGGTGAAAGATTTCACAAGTTGGCGTCCATTAATGGAAAGGTCCGTGGGTTCAGTCCGTTCAAATATAATAAATCATGGGGATTTGCCCTGGTTTTCAATGGGGCACGTCCAAAATGATTAGAAACCCAGTTTATTGGGTAGCTAATGCTAAATGGCATTTGGTGATTATGTGGGCTGATTAAAATGGTGACTGCTGGATGACTACTATTTGAGTTTTGTTTCCTTTTAAATGTCAGTTAGTTCTGTCTTCAAGGCCTAGTGTGCTTCTTTTTAATGGAAGTAGTGCACTTTTTCAGAATCCCATTAGGACAGGTAAAACGTAGATATGCATTTGTGTTAATGTTATCAGCCAACACTTTACCAGTGTTTGCATCAGGACCTGGGATGCTGTCACAGAAAATTAGTTCTCATTTACTATATGATTAGCATCCCTCTGTTTACCCAGAATGTCTAGTAGCCATTTTCTCCACAAAACTCAAAACGTGATAAACTGTTATCATAGAAATAGTGGCTGAAACAGTGAAAGTTTTCTCACTTCTTCCAGATCCTACAGGCGGAGATCCCGATCAAGGAGCTTATCCCGTGAGCGCAGCAGAAGAAAGAGAAGCAGGTCTCGCACCCCTTTAAGGTCAAGGGAAAGAGATCGATTAAGACGCTCACGGTCCCGAGATAGGGATCGAAAGAGATCTAGGAGCAGGTCGAGGGACCGTGACACAAAGAGAGATAGGAGAAAACGATCCCGGTCAAAAGAAAAGGATAGGAAGTAAGTCTATTCTACTGTAGCCTTTATTTATGTGTATTCATTAGATTAAACATGTTATTGGAATGGTAGACTAGCCAATTGGTTGTGAGTGAGTATGGTTTTATACTGCTTTTAGTAATATTCCAGCAATATCACAGCAGGGACACCAGAAATGGGCTTCACCCATGTGGGGAATCGATTGGAACCCAGGTCTTCAGTTTGACGAGAGAACGCTTTAATGAGTTTAATCAGTAGGCTACCCCACCACCCCCATTGGTTATGAAGATGATCGGGATTTGATCCCTTTTATGGTGTCCCCTCCATGATATTGCTGGAATATTGCTGAAAGGGACATAAGCATGATAAAACCAAACTTGATTTTCTTGTCTCTCTCCTGATTAGTTGACTCACCAAAAGTTTTACTGACCAAATCCTTACCTGAAATGAAGCCACTGGATTGCCGTAGGATTTTAGTCTTGAATTTGGTACTGCAAGAAGGGTGTTGGTTTTCAGACCTTAGATGTCATAAAGGCTGGTATGGAGAGATCAGTTCTGATAGATAGCTCAGTACTGTACCATTCAAATAGTGGTAGGCAAAACACAAGATCTTGAAGTGGACCTGGGCTTCTATTGGTAGCCAGTGTAGGGACATCAATACCGGTGTTATGTGGCATCTTTTTGGTGCACGACTCACAATACGAGCTTCCCAATTCTATACCCTCTGGAGTCTGTTCAGCAGTTCATGACTCAAACCATACAACAGACTGTTGCTGTAGTCAATGCGTGACATCACAAGTTGTTGGACTAGTGTCTTTGTGGCGTCTTTGGTAATAAGATGGCGGATATTACCAATGCTTCTCAGATGGAAGTAGCAGGTCTGGGACACTTGATTAACTTGGGCTTCCATTGACAAGGAAGAGTCAAAGATGACACCCAGATTTTTACTTTCTCGGCGAATGGTATGACTGAGTCTCCAACAGCCACTGACAAGATGAATCAACTGTTGAACGCGCTGTCTGGGTCCAACGAGTAAGGGTTCAGTTTTTCCATCATTCAGCTTTAATCTGTTTGATGCCATCCATGTTTTTGTTGATTTAGTGCAATCAGTAGTTCTTGCAAGTGCATCGACTGCTTCGCTTGCTTGTAATTCTTGATACAGCTGGGTGTTGTCAGCATATGCATGGTGGCCTATCCCATACTTCTTACAAGTGCTTTGATGCTTGCTTTCGAGCTGAGACTACTTGCTTTGTGTACAGCACAAACACATCGACTGGACCTAGTAATTCTTGCACAGATCCTTTGCTTGGGAACCCCACAGGGTAGCATGGTGATACTTCTCAGATTTAGTATCACCAATCATAACTGACTGACGTTTGTTGCTTAAACATGAGCTTATCCATGAAAGTGGTATTCCTGAGATGCCCACTTCTTGTCATAGCTGTGCTGTAAGTATACCATGGTGCACAGTATCAAAGGCTGCTGACAGATCGAGCAGGATAAGAGATCCAATGGAACCTTTGTCCACATAGCCCCGCAGATCATTCGTAACCCTGAGTATAGCACTTTCTGTGCTATGGTTCGAACGATAGGTGGACTGGAACTTGTTCATCAGGTTGTTCTCATAAAGATGCTTTGCCAGTTGAAGGTGAAATGCTGTCTCCAGAATCTTGGACATAGAGTTCAGGTTTGAGACTGGCCAGTAGTTTGCAAGGTATTGCACATCTAAAGTCTTCTTTACGATGTGTGGTCTTATCAGTGCCAGTTTATAGATATTTGGGAATGTACCAGTGGCTAGACTGACATTCATGATCCTTGTAAGGATATTGAAGGAATATTGCTGAAAACAGTGTGAATCCATACTCACTCGCTTGATTGAATCAAAATATGGACTTATGTGTGGAAAAGCTATTGATGTAACAGATGAAGCAGGAGATAGGACTTGGAAACAGAGCTTGATGGCTACCTTCAACATGTGGCAGCTTACTTAGTCAGTGGGTCGGTATTCGCCCCAATACAAACAGAGATAACATTCACTGGTGCATGAACATTTTGATAATTAGTTTGCATGTTTTATACAGACGAGAGAAGAAGTCCAAATCCAGATCCCCTGAAAAGAAAGCAAAGAGCCCATCCCCCAGTGCTGAAAAGGTTCTCCACAGAGAAGGAGAACTGAGGGTTAAAGATGAACCACTCAATAAGGTAAAAACAGATTAACTCTGTCATGTCTAAGTACATTCTACATGAAGACCATGCAGTGATCACTGTTTGCATGAGATGTTAGCCTCTGTTGTGTCATGGTAATGGCTAATCATCGGTCAGCTGATCATGGATGGAATCCAGTAGTTGGCCTGAATCTGGAACATCAACTCATCAGTTTCAATACTTTCTACAAATGTTTTCATCCTTGCACATAAAATTTATATCTTACTAAAATGTTCTACACAGCCTCATTAAACCTGGTTGTGAAGATTACATTTTACTTTATTTGTGAAAAAATATAAGCAATAACATTACTTATATAACCTGAGCTATAACCAGTGTGAACAACTATTTATCAACAGCCATTCAAATATTAGATTGCAATTTATGTCTAAAATTTCATTGTTACCATAGGTGGCGGTTATTAGTAATGGAAAGTTTTATGTAATTATTGATTATGTTAAGATTTGAATACTGTTAATCATAGAATTAATTGGAACTGGTGTCCGTTGCTTGCATTAATGAAGTTAAGCATTTTTATCTTGGCATGAATATGGATGGAAGCAATGCCATATATAACAAAACCCACAATAAAGATAATGCTTGATTCATAGCCCTTGAAAACTTCTATTGCAAAAAATAATTGAATTCTAAGTCTACCAACATGGTGTTATGTTGTTTTTCTGGCTGGTGTCTAAAGTTCAAATCTCATTGAAGTTCAAGTTCATTGCATTTTATTCATGATACAGTTTAGGCCAGGTCAGTTTTTTATTTACGGTATCTAGTTACCTTGAATGTAAGTGCTTGTCATATTTCCAGGAAGAGGAACAGAAACGCCTTGAGGTGGAGATGCAGAAACGACGTGAACGTATAGAGAAATGGCGAGCAGAGCGGAAGAAGAAACAGGAACTGTTGCCCATAAACATCACTCCCCCGATGAAGAAGTGGACCCTGGAGGATGACGATGAAGATGAAGATGAAGTGGTGCAGGAGAAAGATAAGGATGATGAGAATGAAGTTGACCCACTTGATGCCTTCATGCAGGTAGGGAAGACTCTACCAACTGTCATCTGTAGTATAGAACTAGTCTCTGGCACAGGTCTCCTTTCTTGTACAGGGAAAGCTTCACAAATTAGTAGATGTAGTGTAAGAAATTAAAATTGGCTTTCTACACTTCCAAGTAGGATGGCTGTCACGGGTGGCACAGTGTCAGTGGTGCCACAATTTGCAGTGCAGCATTGCATCTCTTAGGCACACCATGATTGTAAGTTCCACGTTTCTGTGTGACTTATGTTTCCAGGTTTGTCAGCACCGACAGTGCTTGTGGGTTTTGCCAAAATGGTAAATGTCCAAGACCTGCAGCACCTGTGGCTTTTCCCCACATTGAAGTTTCAGTGGCATGGTTATAATTACAGGCTTGAAACTTCCATTTGCATGATCCTTTGCAAATCCAACCACTGTAAATGTTGGTGACATATCACTTGAAGATACGTGGGATTATTGTGAAACAATGTTGCACATTTATTTGCAAATTATGCCATCCTGAAACTTCAGAAATTGTTGGATCATATAAGGTTGTTTGTGTTATAGTCATGGTCTTGAGTAATATTATCAGACTGGAGGAACACTGTATGCTAAGATTTGGGATGATTTTACTGACGTGCTTGACTGTCATCATTAAAATTGTGAGTCACCCTCCAAATAATTCTTATTTATTTTGATTTCAGTCTGTGACAGATGAGGTGAAATCTGCTCGTGATAAAGACAAGACCCATGACAAAGTTGACAACCAGGTGAGCTTATACAACATGTATGGAATGTACATGTACCGAAGTGTATGGAGACTTTAAGCTGGAGAATGTATAATAACTGCATTGGGGTAATAACTCAGATGGTCAGGGTCTGTATTAATCAGGTTGGGTAGCATAGTGGTTAAAGCAGTTGCCCGTCACCCTGAAGATCTGGGTTCGATTCTCCACATGGGTACAATGTGTTAAGCACATTTCTGCTGTTCCGAGCCACGATATTGCTGGAAAATTACTAAAAGCGGTGTAAAACAAAGTTCATTCACTGTATTAATTAAAACTTTGGCTAATCATGTTGGAACCTATGGCATTCAGAAAGGTGCCGATGGTCAGACCAAGGGGAGGTAACTCTGAAAAGAAATTGGGATCTGTAGTGTTCAGAAAGATTCTAATGGTGGCAGTTTAAAGGAGGTAACTCTGAAACAAATTGGGATATGCAAACCTTTATGATGGGAAAGGTGTAAATGGGCCCAGTTGCCTGAACACCTATTAAGCTTCTAATTAACTATTTGGGATCTGTATTAATCACGGGGAGGTAACTTTGAAGGTGAGTTTAGATCTGTATTATTCAGTGAAGTGCTGATTGTTTAAGCTGAAGGTATGCAACTCTGAAGAGTATTCTGGGTCTGTATATTTCAGAAAGGAACAAATGGTAACGGTGCCCAAGCAGCAGCTGCGACTGGCAAGGTGACGTTCATCACAGCTGTGGCCAAGAAGAAGGAAGACACCAGCAAGGAAAAAGGAGAAGTGATGGAGAGCAACATAGACGCCATGGAGGTATGATTGACTATTCTATTTTTTCTTCTGTGGAATGTCTATATTTTTCCAGAGAGTTGTGTAGAGTGGAGTCTAAAACATATGCAGCCAATGAGGTTTGACGATATTACTGATAGTATGCAACAAATATTTCCGTATTTCTGGTTTTAAGTTTTAATCTATTCCAATACATTTTTATAGTCGGGGGGATATAGTCGTCGCCTCGTCCATCTGTCCGTCCGTCCGTCCGTAATCATTTTGTTTCCGGTGCATAACTCAAAGACCGTTCGATATTTTTCAACAAAAATTGGTAGATATGTCAAACATAACCTAAGGTGGTGCCTTTTGCTATTTACAGATTATTGTCATTTTTATTTTTCTCGGTTTCCATGGAAACGTTTTGGACTTAGTTTTAAAGAGGGTGGGCTTCGTTTCCAGAGCATAACTCAAAAACCATTCAATATTTTTCAACAAAACTTAGTAGATATATCAAACAGAACCTTAAGTGGTGCCTTTTCCTATTTGCAGATTTTGGGCATTTTTATTTTTCCCGGTTTCCATGGAAACCATTCGGACTTAGTCCCAAAAGTGAGGGGTGGGCTTTGTTTCCGAAGCATCACTCAAGAACTGTTCAATATTTTTCAACAAAACTTGGTAGATATATCAAACAGATCCTAAAGTTGTGCCTTTTTCTATTTGCCGATTTTTGGCATTTTAATTTTTCCCAGTTTCCATGGAAACGATTCGGACTTAGTCCCAAAAGTGTGGGGTGGGCTTCATTTCCGAAGCACAACTCGAAAACTTCTCCAAATCTTTCAACAAAACTTGGTAGATATATCAAACAGATCCTAAAGTTGTGCCTTTTTCTATTTGCCGGCTTTTGGCATTTTTATTTTTCCCAGTTTCCATGGAAAGGATTCGGACCAATCTCAAAAGGGTGGGGTGGGCTTCGTTTCCATAGCACAACTCGAAAACTGTTCAATATCTTTCAACAAAACTTGGCAGATATATGAGACATATGTTGAAGTGGTGCCTTTTTCTATTTACAGGTTTTTGTCATTTATATTTTTCTTGGTTTCCATGGAAACGATTTCGGACTTAGTCTAAAAAAACATCAAGCTGGACTTTAAGTAACTGTCAGATGATTTGTTCTTTCAAATATGTGGGGGCTGGGGGGGATATGTCATCTTCTGATGACTCTTGTTTTAAGATGTTGGTATTGTATGTGGCAAAATACTGTGTGAAATCATCACTACTTACAGCTGGTACAAAAATCAGATTACAGCCGAGTTTGCCTTGAAATGGACCTTAGTTTTCAAAGAATCAAATAGTTTGTAATAAATGCCACAATTTGACATACATTAAGTCATAGGTGTAAATAATTTCAAATGAGAGGTATGAGAAACATTACTAAACCTGCACTGAATCCAACAATACTTATCTGACACAGCTGGACCAGTACCGTATATGACCGTCTATAAGCCGAATTTTGAGGACCAAAAAAAGCAGTCTGTAGAAGGGGGTCGTCTTATCCATGAGTTACGATTTCGTCAAACTTTTTTCCAGGGGTAAGAAAACAACATCGTATCACTTTGCGTGAACAAACAACAGAAGACGACTTTGTCAGTAGAGACGTCAAATTTGCAATTAAACATCACTAGACAAGATTATTTACCTTTTAAGTTATAAGTTGTTTTTGCTTGGCATTGTATTATTTGCAGGGATTAAGATTACCGTGCGTATTTGTCTCGTACACAAAGCCGGAAATAGAAATCAGCTGTGCACACGTTTCCCGGCGAACAAGTTCAAACATGCACAATAATATAACGGGACGAATTCTGACGCAGTCATCAGTATTATTTAACCCAAAAGTATTATTTAACCCAAAGAAATATATCCTAGCATTACATAAGTTTATTTACAGTTTTTATGTAAAATATATATAATCAACACTAAGGTTATACGGACCCTCATGAACGTGGTAAGCACATGGAATGGGGTAAAATACGGAAGCCACTTAAATTCACACATTTTTACCGATGTTACTGAAAACTCGCAGTCAATGGAAAACGAGGCGGTAATCAGTTCATGATTGTTGAATGGGGTAAAATAAGCAAGCCAGTTTGTTGCTACAATAAATATGATATTTAGAGAAGCAAAATATATTATGCATTTTCTGTCAACTACACTTCGTTTCGATCCGTGAGTAGACACAATATATATGACAGTGAATTCTTTGAATAATGTGGACCAAAGTTATAATTATTGGTAACTGTGTTTGTCGCGATTAGGACCCCATCGCGGGGGATCGACTTACCGTATATGGGGAGAACAGTGACACGGAATTTGATGGGTTTATGGCCGATGACTTGTGAAAATCTCAGAACTCTCTTGCAGAAATGTCAGTGTTTATTGTTAGTGGACTATTTTTCTTATTGTCATATATACATAGATGAAATATGGACACTTAAATAATATATTTTGAAACAAAAGTTGACTTCAGTTTTTATTTACCGATGGTACTTTTTCTCTTGGGTTCACATTTCCATACTCACCGATTTCACAAAATGGCGTCTCATTGTTGATGCAAGCAGTGATCGTGGGGATATAAAAAGGAACACAAACACATGTTGCCACAATACACCGGTAATCTTTATTATGTAATATTCTCACCAACACTTACGCTGTATATCCACTTTCTCGTAATGGTGTCTCGTCGTTCATGGAACATACTTACCAGGTACTCTGGTCTCTGTTGGCCGCGACCCATCGCGGGGGGGGCGGCCTATCCATGAGAGATATGATTTTGACACTGATTTTGAGGGTAAAGTTTGGGGGTCGGCTTATCCATGGGGTCGGCTTATAGACGGTCATATACGGTATATCGTCTCATAACCATACTGGGGATGCGTATATCGCTCAGTCATCTAAGGCCTCTCTGACCTTGGGTTCGGATCCCAGATTCAGTCTATATTTATAGGATTGTCAGCACCATTCACATGCTTGTTGGTTTCACAAACGTGGTGTACATCTGAGACCTGCACCACTTTGTTTTTTCATCCCCCGCTTCGCGCTAAACACACGGCGGGGGATATAGTATTAGGCTCCGTACGTCTTTACGTACGAATTGGAATATCTTAAGAACCTTTCACTAGATTCTTTTCATATTTGGTACCTAGGTTCATCACAGTATAAGAAAGGTCCAAGTCAGGTTTGGTGACCTTAACCTTCAGTTCAAGGTCACAAGGGGACTTTAACGTTTTACCTGCATGTTAAGCTATCTCAAGAACTGTTCCATGGATTTTCTTCATATTCAACACCAAGCTTTATCTAGGGAAGGAGCAGGGTCCAGTCGATTTTGGTGACCTTCACATAATTTTCAAGGTCATGGCGACACTTTAAAGATTTCAGCATGTTAACCTATCTCAAGAACTGTTTCCTGGATTTTCTTCATATTCAACACCAAGCTTTATCTAGGAAAGGTGCAGGGCCCAGTCGATTTTGGTGACCTTCACTTAATGTTCAAGGTCATGGCGACACTTTGAAGATTTCAGCATGTTAACCTGCATGTTAAGCTATCTCAAGAACTGTTCCATAGATTTTCTTCATATTCAACACCAAGCTTTATCTAGGGAAGGCGCAGGGCCCAGTCAAATTTGGTGACCTTCACTTAATTTTCAAGGTCACCCAGACACTTAAAGATTTCAGCATATTAACCTGCATGTTATGCTTGTCAGTGAGATACCTCAAGAACCATTCACTGGAGTTTCTTCATATTTGACACCAAGCTTCATCCAGGGAAGGCCCAGGGCCCAGTCAATTTTGGTGACCTTCACATAATTTTCAGGGTTACGACGACACTTAGATTTCAGCATGTTAACCTGAATTGTCAGCAAGATATTTCAAGAACGGTTCACTGGATTTTCTTCACAGACTTTCAAGACTTCCCTTGAATGTTTTTCAATAAGCAATTTCTTTATTACTATATTTGCATATTTCATACACTATGACATTCATGTCATGGTCAAAGTCAGTCTTGAAAATATGTGTGTGCTTGAACAACTAAAGAGCAAGATGTCAAGAGAGGTTGACTGGTCATGTTTTGTTGACATTTAACTTCATCTTAAACTTTCATTACTTTATAAGTTTGATTTGATAATTTGCGGCGGGGGATTATGTCGCCTTAGTGACAATGCTTGTTTCTTTCCACATCACGCTGCCGTCATGTAATATTATTGGGTGTCTTTTCAATGTGTTATTGAAGCCATATCGCCTACAACCCTAGTGAAGTGGACCGCCTTTGTGGTGTAGTGGTCAGAGCGTCTGCCCGGAGAGCGGAAGGTCGCGGGTTCAATCCCCTACCGCGTCATACCAAAAGACGTTAAAATATGGTACTTGTTGGTCCCTGCCTGGCTCTCGGCATTAATGGGTACAACAATGACTGGTCGGCTCGGAGTCAGTATAATGTGTCTGAGTGGGGTATCCATGCTTCACTGCGGCATGGTATCTCAGTGGGCTAGCACTATAAAACCAGCTTTAGTCTGGGCTAGTACAAGCAGCCGCACATACACGCATGCACGTCGTCATATGAGTGAAATATTCTCAAGCACGACGTTAAATCCAATTTCACCTCACCTCACCTCACCTCACCTCACCTCACCTCACCTCACCTCACCTCACCTCACCTCACCTCACCTCACCTCACCTCACCTCACCTCACCTCACCTCACCTCACCTCACCTCACCTCACCTCACCTAGTGAATTGTCTACTTATTTCTGATGATGCAGTATTTAATTCTTGTAGTATTCGTCAGAAGAGGAAGAGGAAGATCTGGACACAACAATGTCCAACATGGCCAGGAAAAGAAAGGTAAGATTCCATCAGTCTTATCCACTTCTTTGACTATTACTGTCGTAGGGTATTGATTTGCCAGTGTAGACAAAAGACTAACTTACCACTGAAGGTTTGTTTTGGAAGTGACGTCACCAGCTTCATCTTGCTTCTCAGTAAAATAACATCTCCCTCTTGACCACATGGGTACAACATGTGAAGCCCATAACTGGTGTCCCCTGCCATGATATTGCTGGAATATTGCTAAAAGTGGCGTAAAACTGAACTCACTCACTCACTCACTCACTTACTTTAGCTTGAAATCAGTGTTTAATCAAAACGATTCTTCTGAATGAGAATTTGTCATAGATCTACAATATCACAGCCTAATACAAGTCTCAATGTATTTGATCTTGTCAAAAGAATGAGAAAAAATGTTTTAAATTAATTTATGGCTGAAGAGGATGTCGCAAGAGAGGTTAAAGAAAACCATAATGGGTTCTAAGTCTTTAAGTTTGACTTCTGCATGAAAAAGGAAAGTGTCACTATGGAGAAGCACAAGCTTGATGCTAAAGGTTCTATTGTTGTCTGGGATTCCCACAATGTCTAATCAGGATGACAGTTACCTTTCCCAGAACAGCGATATCACGTATTAATTAGGTCTGCGCAATATAACCGGTTTACCGGTATTTACCGGTTCAGACATGAAAACGATACGTATTGCAATACGCTGGTTGAAAACCGGTATTTTGACTAGCATTCGGAAAACTTCATAACACTCGGAAATCTTCGGATATTTCCTTGTTTCATTTGTGCCAAATATTCTTCACATTTTTATTTTATCATGATTAAAAGTTGTTTTTAAAGCTTAATCAAGCATAGTGATTTTGTTGTGTTTTTGCTCTATAAATCAAGCATTAACTCGCTTATAAGTAGTTTTTTGTTTATAAATACTTCAGGCAATATATTGCAATACATATCGCAATACATGCTTTCGCATCGCAATATATTGCAATATGAAAATTCTGTGCAATACCCACCCCTAATATTAATCCATTGTGTTTTCATTTTGCAGGAGCTAACAGTAGTGGATCATGAGCGCATTTACTATGCCCCTTACAGGAAGAACTTCTACGTGGAAGTACCCGAGATAGCCAAGCTGACCCAAGAGGGTAAGTTTCTTCATTCAGTGTTCTTCTCCCACCAGTATGTAAGTCGATTGTTTGATTACCTCCACTGTCAGTTATATTCCAACTCTATTGTTGTAAATGGTCCAGTCAGGACCAGATGTTTTCCATCTGTGTTTATTGGATTAGGATGAAGGCAGTGTATGAAATAGGTCAAAAACACAGCCACACATCAGGGCTGGTAACTCCAAAATTTTACCAGCCCAAAATGGATTTAACCAGACCAGACACCAAGATATGTTGAATTTACTCAGATGTATGGAACCATTTTTACCAAACCATCAGGCTGGCTAACTCTAAATTTAGACCGTCCACTAGAAATCTCGGTTGGACGGGCCTTATTTCATACACTGATAAAGCACAATGTACCAAGTCACCAAGCCAGACCTCCCACTTAGTCTAACCTATAATCCCCACATAAGCTTAGTTGCAACCATGCTAAGATAATTTTAAGACTGACATGCTTTTTCCACAAAGTCACCCCAGCACTACAGTCATACCCTCATATCTGAGTACCATTGCTTCGATTGATTTGGAATCCATGCTTGTATGTGTGAGTTTAGAAAGAGGTATAATATGTATGGATATAGCATAGAATCCATGCTTGTATGTGTGAGTTTAGAAAGAGGTATAATATGTATGGATATAGCATAGAATCCATGCTTGTATGTGTGAGTTTAGAAAGAGGTATAATATGTATGGATATAGCATAGAATATTTGCAGTTATATGAGAAGACTTTGGGCTGGTGCTCCATTAAGTGCCAGACAAAGGAATTAGATAATGGCAGCTCCCTGATTTTAATATAGACCTACGTCAGACTCAGTACTGAAATCACTTTGTGGAATGGGGCCATGTCCATCAGAAGAGGAGTAAAACTGACAATTTACTTCCCAAGTTGGGAGAAATGTTGGACCAAGCACATAGATGAACTAGGGAAGACATTTTGTACATTCCTTTGAAAAGTGCCCTAGAATCAAAGTAAATCCTCTTTACATACAGTGTCTTTGTATAGTATTTTTCACTTTTTACCCGTTTTGTTGATTACAACAGAGATGATTTTATGGCATGAGGCCATCAGTATGTCTTGACAGAACTTGATTGTGACTGTTCTTTAAATCAACAGAGGTTGATCAGCTGCGAGAAGACATGGAAGGGATAAAGGTGCGGGGCAAGAACTGCCCTAAACCTGTCAAAAGCTGGGCTCAGTGTGGAGTCAGCAAGAAGATCATGGACGTCCTCAAGAAGTAAGTATGTGTGGATGAAGATCAGCAGGTGTAGACACCATTGCTCAAACCCAGTAAATCTGCAGCTCATTTTGGCCTTGTGTATGTATGATGGCATACTATCACAAATTTCACAATTCAGGTTTCTTGGGGCTTCCTGGCACAAACATAACATGACCTTGGGACTCTCTAGGTAACTGATTTTGTTTAAAACATGCTATTGTTCATCCGGCAGTAAATGGGTACCCGGTAGAATGAGATGGTAATGTGACTCATAGGCAACTTGGGTTTTATAGTCCTGAGTGAGATGAGAATGAAACTAGAGTGTTTAGATCTGGTGACCCAGGTAAAACTAAGTATTGTGTAGTGCTAAGCATCTATCTAAGTTGGAAGTCGGGTACTTTATAATGCTTTATGTTATATGTATTATCGCTTGGAGAAACATAACTAGCCCATCTAGATTTTTACTAGTCTCAGACAATTGGGCCTGTGGCTTTGTCCAACCCTGTCACTATAATGTTGTTAGTTATACTTGTCTGACGTCAAGTAGGGGGCGGTGGGGTAGCCTAATTGTTACAGCGTTCTCTTCCCTAAAGCTCCAAAGGCCTGGGTTTGATTCCCCACATGTGTACAATGTGTGAAGTCCCATTTCTGGTGTCTCCCGCCATGATATTGCTGGAAAATCAAGTTTATATAAGCATGATGATGCTTGTGGTATAATCTTTTATGTATGATCATATTCCATGTTCAGAAATGTGTTGCTGCTGCCCACAGGACCTGTCTTGGAGTTCTAGGGGGCATGTTTCAGTAGTGGATGATTTGGGCATTCAGAGAATGTTGGGGATTAGGCTGCTGTTTATTGCACATTATGCAACACAATTCCAATTCAATCTGTGTTTTCAGACATCAGTACGAGAAGCCCACACCTATTCAAGCCCAGGCAATCCCAGCTGTAATGTCAGGTCGGGATCTCATAGGAATTGCCAAGACCGGCAGTGGTAAAACCCTCGCCTTCCTCCTCCCTATGTTCAGACATGTGCTGGATCAAGCAGAACTGGAAGACGAAGATGGACCTATAGGTATGTTGTCATGGCAATCCAGGCCAATAATATATTAACAGTCTTAAGAATACTTGTCAGAAGATTGTGTTTTTAATATTGGTAAGTATACTTCTCAAGGGCACCTTAATGAATGCAAAGTGCTATAAGCAACAGTGCAAAACTATGAACCGAGGCTTGGTTAACCTTTCTTCGGAATCAAATGGTAAAACCTCAGCATGTTCCTGTATGAGGTGGGCCGGTGGGGTAGCCCAGTGGTTAACGCGTTTGCTTGTCATGCCGAAGACACAGGTTCGATTCCCCACATGGGTACAATGTGTGAAACCCATTTCTGGTATCCCCGATGTGATATTGCTGGAATATTGCTAAAAGTGGCATAAAAACATACTCACTCACTGACTCCTTGTATGGGGTTGTTACGAAGAATAACAGCTCGCCTATGCTTGCAGCAACATATCATATTGTAGTAGTAATAGGGCAGATAACCATGTAGCATTTAATATTGAAATCTTTGAGGTATTATTGGAAGCCATAATATGGAAATTGCACCCTATATCGTGTTTATTTTGTATGACACAGCCGTGGTAATGACCCCAACCCGTGAGCTGGCGCTACAGATCTCATCGAATGTAAGAAATTCGTCAGAACTATGGGACTGAGATGTGTGTGCGTGTACGGCGGGACAGGAATATCCGAGCAGATCGCAGAGTTGAAAAGAGGCTGCGAGATCATCGTTTGCACACCAGGGAGAATGATTGACATGCTGGCTGCAAATAATGGTGGGTACATTTGTAATCAGGTAGCTTTTGTTTTAGAGCGGCATGTCTTTATGTAGGTCTGTTTGCTCCCTATGATTCTGAAACTGGGGTAAATTGTGTTCATGTGCAATGTTTATGTAGAGATTGGAAATATACCTCTGGCACTTACATGACATGTTGATGTTAACTTCAATTTGTACAATCATTAGCTTGATTCTTTTGATAACTACTCAGTAAATGCTGTCAATAATGTAATTAGTTGTAGGACACAATAGGAAAATTAGTCAACATGTGGATCTATTGTGGCATCGAAATCATTTTGGTATGCTTACGAATCATTTGATCCCTAGAAACAAACTGTTTAGTGCATGTATGACTGTACATGTTGTTATTGGCTTCCATTGTCTGCCATGTTTTACTGGGTAGCAGTTATTAAATCCTATATCTCATCTTCACTTCAGATAGAAGTAATAAGAACAATTGTACTGATTCAGAAATAATTGTCATAAATTTCAGTCCAGCCACAAAGGCATTTACTCCATTTTGAACCCTGCTTGAAGCTATGTGATGACAGGACACATGAAATGGAATCTTTCTGGGTCTTTGTGTTATATTGCTGGAATACTGATGAAAGCAGAGTAAAATCTTACTGATTTCTACACCGTTATCCACAACAGAGCTATACCCTCTTGGTTGATTGCTACAGATTTCTCTGCACAAAACATTTTCTGACTTAGAATAAACCTGACGAGCAAAAGTCTTTGCTGTATGTTTATGTGTTACAATGGTTACCATGGTTACCATTGATTTCTTTCTATCCTCACCAGCTTCAGCCACAGATTTAGTTATCATTGAATCTAATCGTGTACCTACAGTAGGTAATAAAACACCTGATTGTCTTGCACTGTGATCAAGTTGATATGTCATGGAGGTCAAGTGACAAAACATGCTTTGACCGCTGACAGTTTCCATGAATATAAAACGTCAATGACAGAGAATAATCAGTCATCTGTTATCTGTTAAAGAATTAGACAACAGTTATATAATGGAAGCACTGAAAATCGGTTACAGGGAGTCAGACTGGAGATTAAGTTTTCTAAATGTCTGCTATGGAGATATTCAAAGGGCATTGTGAAGAGTGTGGAGACACCAGGCCCCGATTTCTCGAAACAAACTTAAGTCTGAGTTTTTACTCAAATTTGAGAAAACGTAGGAAAATGCATTTCCCAGAATGAATTGAAATCGATATGAAACTCAAACATAGTAGACAATTTGAGTTTGGTGGATAGATTACTTAAGTTGTTTTGGGCTTTTATATTTTAAAAATGCAGTTGAGTTAAACATTCAACTGTTTCAAATTGTCAAACTCAGTTTGAAATTTGAGTAAAAACTTAAGTTTGTTTCAAGAAATCGGGGCCAGAAATCTGGCCTCAGATGCGTCTTGTATGTACATTTCAAGACTACTTCCTACCCTGCATCAGGTTAAAAGTAGCCATGAGATGGAACGCTGGTTAAGAGTGTTGATTGTTGTCAGTATTTGATATAGAAATGCTGGATATATGTCCCCAATGTCCTCAAGCAAACTCGAGACTAATACATCACCTTTTTGTTTCCAGGTGTCATGGTATGATCATGATGATGATTGTTATAGCTTGTCATGCCCGTAGATGAAACATCTGTTTCTCTCTTTAGCTTCTGAACTTTAGGACAATGGTTAGGAGTTTATATATGAGATTTAACACAATATCATGTTTCAAACGCAGGTAAGTTTAATAGGGGTAGTTGTTTATAATTGTCTGAATTGCAAAGCGAAGCCATGTATTCATGTATATTGAGATATACACAGTGTTATTATTAAGAAGCTAAGAAGTTCCTGACAGAATACACCTGTATACAGCTGTAGAGTAGAGTGGACATTGTGAGAGGTTGTTAAGCCAAGTAATGTATGACTGTATAGAGTTGTGCCCCTTTCCTGGCAGAATACACCTGTTTACATAAGTGTGGAGAGTTGCATCTGGTTATGAGAAATTGTTAACCGGGTGATGTATGACTATGTTGAGTTGTGCCCCTTTGCTGTGTCAGGATCTGGTGGCTGTTGGTCACCTGGATTATGATCCTTGGCTTATCAGTGTGTGTTTAACAAAAGTGATGGGCCTCAGTTTGGGATTTCCTCCCACAGTAAACTGGCATATCAGGATACACGTATACCTCATCAGCTGCATTGGTGTAGACACAACTCTTTGTGGATCTTTGCGCACACTATGTTGTGCAGGCTTCAAAAAAGTAAATGCAATGTCATTAAAATCAGATTTTGCTCTGCTATTAATGGTATATGATATGCGTGAAGATCTGCTTAACCCACTGCATGTCACTATTTCTGTATCTGGTAACTGAACATGAACAGGCAGTTCTGAATAAAAGTATGTATAAGCTGTGCTATTTCATTAAGATGTACAAGACTGGTATCAACATCCGCAGTGTTGTGCTGTTGAGGGTATATTCAAGTTCTGTGTGGGTTCACTCTTGTTAAGACTAAGGCTTCGATAAGGCCTGACCAGACCTCCTATTGAGGGTTTATCAGATCTTGACACATACAGTATGAGATCTGATTGTAGTGACATTGAACGTAGCTGTAATACTGCTGATTATGAGATGTCATTGCTGCACTCACTCAATCCCACTCTGATAGGGTCTAGGTAGGGCTTGTGTTCCGCACATACGGTGTAATCAATTTTATTCTCTTCACTCAGGCTGCATAGCTTTGCCATACAAGACTTATATTTTAAAGGTCACATGATATCAGCGAGAGGAGAGGATCGTCAGCATCGTCAGTTGCCATGGTAACACATCACCAGGGTTGATGAATATATTGTTCATGATATTGTCGAAATCGCATTGAACAGTTTCCTTCCTGAATCTGATGAGACTCGCGTCTCTTGCATTTGTTGCGTGATTCAGGTATGGAAAAGGTAACTGATCAGACAAAGTAAAACTTTGATTTAAAAAAATGAAAATTTAACCAAAAATATTTTTGGTGAGATAATAGCAGTATTTTTGCATTCTATGATTTTAGGCACTAGTCTGAAGCCTGAGTCTTATTAAAATTATATTCTGTCAGCTGAGCAAGTAATAATCTCCTAATGACATCAAAATATACAGAAAATACTTATATCTAGATTTATGGTAACTGTCTCCCAAATTTTGGGCGCAGACTGTTTTTGAAATATATTGGTTTCTAATTAACGATATTTTTCACTTGCTTTTGAGAAATTAAATCTAGGTTACTGATAAACATCTTCCGTTACTCTGTCTGAACAAGAACCTGTTTCTTACCATGTTATTATGACTTTCATACATTTAGTGTTAAACGAACGGACACATAATCCTTTTTATTAGAAGGCATACAGTGCTTGTGTTGTATTATGTTATTGTTATTGTAAAGATTTTAATGGATTGTAATTGTTTTCTTGCTTATGTTTTTCAGGACGTGTTACCAACCTGCGTCGTTGTACGTATGTGGTTCTCGACGAGGCAGACAGGATGTTTGACATGGGATTTGAGCCTCAGGTGAGATGGATGACCTAACTATCAGGTGTTTTTAATATGTCAACATGTTATTAAAATAAGGGGGCGTTGGGGTAGCTTAGTGTTTGAAGCGTTCATCGTCGCGCTAAAGACCTGGGTTTGATTCCCTCTATGGGTACAATATCTGAAGCCAATTTCTGGTGTTGCCCAGTGTGATATTGCTGGTGTATTGCTTAAAGTGGTGTAAAACTAAACTCACTCACTCATTATTAAAGTATGTCACCACCCAGTTATAGGAAGTGGAGTATGTAGGTTAGGACATTTTGTATTTATCCAGTCCATTAAGTGGATGAACAGACGGACATACTGATTGCTATATTCTCCAGCATTATATGCAAAGCATCTGTACAAACACAGAAAAACTTTACACTTTTGATTTGTATTTTTTTAGTCATAGCTTGTGGTCAATGTGGTAAGGAGGTTTGCCAGAAAAAATGACCTTTTTGTGGCCTCATTCTTTTTCATCAGAAGTCCTCCTTGGGGTACGTATATACATATAAGCAATAAAATGTCCATTAAATACCTCGACAATGGTAAAATATTATTTCAAACAGTTTCAAAAAACTCGTTTTTGTCTTGTGAGACCACCCCAACAGGGCCCCCAGGGCCCCTACAGCCAAGAGCAGGTAACTCTGGCTGCTTACCTCGTACCTCACTTTTCATGCTGTCGTTCATACAGAACGGACGTGCGTGGTCCATCGAAGACATTCGTCATTACCAAGAGAGATGAGTGAGAAAGAGTCAAATACTGTATGTATGGTTCCTTTCTTTACGCACGGGCGTCAGATGGAATTTATTTATGACTTTTTTTCATTCATAAATTGTTGTAACTTTGTCTGCATTCTCGAACCATCTGTTTCGCTCGGTTCGTCCCTGAGGCAGGTACGCGATCGGATCGCCTCTGTCCTGCCTCAGGTGGTTGTTCATTCTGACGGACCTGACCCTTCTGAGTTTTGACTCCCCGGAAAGGCTTTTGCTCCCACTCGGGTGGCAGACACCAAATTGCGCATTTTGCCTTCAGTTCTTGCTGAAGTCGTCAATCCCCTTCTCATTGGTACCAGGTCCAGGTTCGATCTACCCGAACTGGATCGTAGGTACCTTATGGGTGAGGAAGGTCTCTACAACCCCCCAGTGGTCGACGATTGCGTCTATGCATCGGTCACCCTGGGTGGGTCTTCGGGTAGCTCTCTTGCTTCTGCCAAGCAAGGCCGCCTGCTGCCAAAATCCTCTTCATTACCACTAAAAATGCATCTCGACACTTAAATCGGGCGTGATCGCCCTTTGAGGAGCAGTATTGCAATGCTGTGCAGTGTCTCACACAAGCAAGGTCACGATCCACTTCGCAATGCTGTGCGCACATCTCTGTTTACACAGAGACAGCTGGTGGATGTGGGTGGGGTAGTGGAGGACTTGTCTTCCTCTACTCTGGCTAAGCAGTTAACGGAAGTCCAGTCCCATCTGGCACACGACTCCATTCGGTCGTCGGCGTGTCAGATGATGTCGGCTGTTTTGGGACTCCGTAGGCTATGGTTATCTGTTGTGCGTTACTCCCCCGCTACGCAACAGGCACTACTGGCTGCCTTACCGGATGGGTTCGACCCTGTTTCCCGGTGCAGCAATGGTACCGTAGTCCGGGAGGCCGCTGAGGCTGTGTCTACCTTTAAAGATTCTACCCTTATTGGCCCTCAGTCCTTGCATCCCTGCTTATCCTTCTGCCCGGCGAAGGAGCCTGTCAAGTGGTCTCAGCCCTTGAGGTCGCGGAAAGGCAAGTGTAAGGGTAGGGGCAAGGCTGCGGCGCTCCAGCAGCCTTTTCCGAGGAAAGGGAAGTCGGCCCCGGCTTCCCAGTCGTAAATCCTCTGGAGCCCTTTGTGGACTCAGACCAAGCAGTCACAACACTGCTGACATCTGGGATCCATTGCCTCATGCCTGACATCCCTGTGGGTGGCCGACTATCTCTATTCCTGTTGGAATGGGAGAAAGTCACTTCGAATCCGAGGGTCCTGTCCACAATCTGGGAAGGCCACATGCCCTTTTCCGGGATCCGTTGCACTCCGGTGCCGGTTGCCCAGGACAAAAAGCAGAGATGCTCCGTGCCGAGGTCCAGTCATTACTGGACAAGGCAGCCATCAAGGTGGTTCCAGCGGAACAGGAAGTAGCGGGTTACTACTCGACTTATTTCCTTTATACCAAAAGGACGGAGGGTTCAGACCTATTCTAAATCTAAGGGGTCTGAATGACATGATAGAGGTACCGTCCTTCAAGATGGAGACACTGTGCTCAGTGATCTCATCTGTGGAGAAGGGAGATTGGCTCACGTCAATCGACCTCAAAGACACATACCTTCATGTCCCAATGCACCCCGATTTCAGGAAATACCTAAGGTTTTCCTTCGACAGGAAGTGCTATCAGTTTCACGTGCTCCCCTTCTGCATCTCCATGGCGCCAAGGGTGTTCACCAAACTAATGCTAATTCCAGCGCAGGTTGCCAGGTCACAGGTCAAGTGTTGTCACCTGTACCTAGACGACTGGCTTCTACGAGCGCTTGCCACTCACTTGAGTCGAGTTGCGACCTTTCTGTGATGAGTATACTCACCAAGTTGGGCTGGATTATCAATCTCAAGAAGTCAGAACTGGTTCCCACACAGGATCTGTTGTTCTTGGGGGCGAGATTCGAGACAGGGAGAGGCATAGCTCCCTGTCTCGGAGTTCAGAGAGTTGTGTTACAATTTCTCGAGTTCCCCAGGGCCTCACCTCGGACTTGGCTCCAGTTGCTAGGCAAAATGGCGGCGACAGTGGACATCATTTGGCGGGCACGGTTGAGTATGCCACCCATCCAGCACGCGTTAGCTCTAATGTGGTCTCACTCACAGAGTTACGAGATGATTCTCCAGACTCCGGAGTGGCTGATTCCTCATTTGCGGTGGTGGACATTTGCAGGGTATTTATCCAGGGGAATCGCCTTGGATATCCCTACGCCAGAACACTTGATTCAAACAGATGCCTCACTCACAGGGTGGGAGGTGTTCTGGGGCGACCTCAGAACCTCGGAGCTAGAATTGAGAGCAGTCCGGTCAGTGTTCTAACCCTTCCTGCAAACGGCGATGACCTATATCCTGAAGCAGGGCGGTATGGTTTCTCTGACACTCCTGCTGGAGGCATGGCAGTTTCTGCTATGGTGAGACCAGTTCGACATACGGGTGATGCCTGTTTATCTCCCCGGGGTGGACAATGTTTGAGCAGATGCGCTCTCTCGACGTGTTCTAGCCCCACACGAGTGGATGCTCAGTGGGGAGATATTCAGGATTATCTCCCGGTTTTTCGGGTCGTTCCAGGTGGATCTGTTGGCCTCTGTGGTGACAAACCAGATTCCGGTGTTTTGCTCTCGGATACCGGATCCGGGAGCCATTGCCTCCGTGCGAGCGGAATTCCTGCACCAGTTCTGCGGACACAATTCTGACTTCGCGGAGGGATTCGATAAACGTTCAGTATGAGGATAGATGGGCCTGTTATACGCACTGGTGTGTCGGCAGAGGGATTGTCGATCCCTTTACTTCAACTGTAGTTGAAGTACTGAAGTTCCTACAGTCTCGGTTAGAGGCCAGCCTATCTGCGTCTACTATCCGGGGCTACTCCACGGCAATCTCTGCCTTCCATGTACCTGCCGACGGTGCTCTCTTAGGCAGCACCCTCTTGCACAGCGCTTTTTAGCAGCCGTGGACAGAATCCGTCCGACTGTCCGGCGGATTAGTCCCCCGTGGGACTTGTCAATCGTTCTTGATTGGATGTCTGGTCCTCTCTTTTACGATCTATTGTCTCTCTCCCTCCAGCTGTTAAGCTGGAAGGCAGCCTTTCTTGTGGCGGTAACGTCTGGTAGGCGGGTTGGCGACATACAGGCGATGTCAGCAGATCCTGCTCTGACTGTCTTTCATAAAGACGGGGCGGTGGGGTAGCCTAGTGGTTAAAGCGTTGGCTCGTCACGCCGAAGACCCAGGTTCGATTCCCCACATGGGCACAATGTGTTAAGCCCATTTCTGGTGTCCCCCGCCGTGATATTGCTGGAATATTGCTAAAAGCGGCGTAAAACTAAAACTCAGAGTCATTATTCGGTTGCCAGATTCTTACCGTCCTAAGATTTGCAGGCTCCTTTCACATAACAGCGCCTATTGAACTACCAGCTTTCACTCAGCCTTCACCATCCGGTACCTCTCTTTGACGTGCTCACGTCTTAGATGTCCGTAAGACTCTCAAGGCTTATATCAACGAACAGCTGCTATCCGGAAGGATGAGCAACTGTTCTGCTGTTATGGCGGTGGTAAGGCTGGTCTACCGGCGAACAAGTAGACTATTTCTAGGTGGCTTGTCTCTGCCATTTGTATGGGCTATATTAACAAGGGGTTAACTCCACCTGAAGGGTTAAAAGCTCATTCGGTTAGGGCAGTTTATCTCCTGTTTATCTCCCCGGGGTGGACAATGTTTGAGCAGATGCGCTCTCTCGACGTGTTCTAGCCCCACACGAGTGGATGCTCAGTGGGGAGATATTCAGGATTATCTCCCGGTTTTTCGGGTCGTTCCAGGTGGATCTGTTGGCCTCTGTGGTGACAAACCAGATTCCGGTGTTTTGCTCTCGGATACCGGATCCGGGAGCCATTGCCTCCGTGCGAGCGGAATTCCTGCACCAGTTCTGCGGACACAATTCTGACTTCGCGGAGGGATTCGATAAACGTTCAGTATGAGGATAGATGGGCCTGTTATACGCACTGGTGTGTCGGCAGAGGGATTGTCGATCCCTTTACTTCAACTGTAGTTGAAGTACTGAAGTTCCTACAGTCTCGGTTAGAGGCCAGCCTATCTGCGTCTACTATCCGGGGCTACTCCACGGCAATCTCTGCCTTCCATGTACCTGCCGACGGTGCTCTCTTAGGCAGCACCCTCTTGCACAGCGCTTTTTAGCAGCCGTGGACAGAATCCGTCCGACTGTCCGGCGGATTAGTCCCCCGTGGGACTTGTCAATCGTTCTTGATTGGATGTCTGGTCCTCTCTTTTACGATCTATTGTCTCTCTCCCTCCAGCTGTTAAGCTGGAAGGCAGCCTTTCTTGTGGCGGTAACGTCTGGTAGGCGGGTTGGCGACATACAGGCGATGTCAGCAGATCCTGCTCTGACTGTCTTTCATAAAGACGGGTCGGTGGGGTAGCCTAGTGGTTAAAGCGTTGGCTCGTCACGCCGAAGACCCAGGTTCGATTCCCCACATGGGCACAATGTGTTAAGCCCATTTCTGGTGTCCCCCGCCGTGATATTGCTGGAATATTGCTAAAAGCGGCGTAAAACTAAAACTCAGAGTCATTATTCGGTTGCCAGATTCTTACCGTCCTAAGATTTGCAGGCTCCTTTCACATAACAGCGCCTATTGAACTACCAGCTTTCACTCAGCCTTCACCATCCGGTACCTCTCTTTGACGTGCTCACGTCTTAGATGTCCGTAAGACTCTCAAGGCTTATATCAAACGAACAGCTGCTATCCGGAAGGATGAGCAACTGTTCTGCTGTTATGGCGGTGGTAAGGCTGGTCTACCGGCGAACAAGTAGACTATTTCTAGGTGGCTTGTCTCTGCCATTTGTATGGGCTATATTAACAAGGGGTTAACTCCACCTGAAGGGTTAAAAGCTCATTCGGTTAGGGCAGTGGCCACATCAAAGGCGTATGCCGCGGCCCTGCCCATTGAGGAGATCTGCTCAGCAGCTATTTGGAGCCGGCCGAGTACGTTCATCTGCCATTACCAACTGGACAAACACTCACGGGAGCGTGCTCAGTTTGGCTAGACAGTTCTCCACAGTGGGCAGAGTCGTGACTCTCTAGCCTAATGAGCTTTTGAGGTTACACTTGTTTCACTCCCTGGTGGTGGGTTACGAAAATCCCCCAATTTTTATGGTGGTGGTATTTTATTGGTGGTGGTTTGTACCTGTTTTATTGGCTATAGCATTTATTATACGTTCTATCCACCTTTTCTATCCCTGGCACCACGCTTCGCTGGTTTGGGTATATGTGTGGAATATGTTTGGGCTTGATCCATACATCCCTCCCCATTTCGATGGTCGGGGGATGGGACTTAGGTCAATCACATGAATTAGCCAATCGCATAAAAGCTAGGCTCCTCTTGCCCTAATCTTGCCAAGCCCACGCCTGATTGACATCAGCGGTCCGGTGACTCGGTAGGTGTGTTTTCTCTCTATCTCGGCTGCGGTTGTGCCTTCGATTGAACACGGGTTATGGGGGGCCAGACAGAATGCCGCTCCTGACTCACAGTCTTTGGGAGTCTGTCTTATGCTCATATGTACCCTAAGGAGGACTTCTTCTGAAAAAGAATTATACAAACCCGTAGAGGTTATGAATTCTTTGAAGAAAGTCCTCCCTGGGGTACGGCCACCCGCCTCCCCACTTTCTGTCTGTATCGATACGTTCAGCATGAAAAGTGAGGTACGAGGTAAGCAGCCAGAGTTACCTGCTCTTGGCTGTAGGGGGCCCTGTGGGGCCTTGTAGGGGTGGTCTTACAAGACAAAAACGAGTTTTTTGTTTTGTAAAATATTTTATTTTAAATTTAAATGGACAGTTTAATGCTTATATGTATATATGTACCCCAGGGAGGACTTTCTTCAAAGAATTCATAATCTCTACAGGTTTGTATAACTTGGTGGATACAGTTGATGCAGTAGAAACACATCAGCATTTTATTACCCACGTGGTCAACGTATGGGTAGTTGCATACTAATCTTGTACCTCACACGAGTGTCGTATTGTGTTGACCTGTGTCGTATCACGTTGACCTGTGTCGTAACGACTTGACCCAAGATTCTAAGGATTTGATTGGATAACCGATGACCTCTCAATTAGATCATGTTGTGATGGAACTACTTTCTTATTCATTACAAACACGTGAATTCATTCATTCTACAACTTTTACTACGTCAATTAAGCTAGACGTTTTAAGGTTATAATACTTCAGGGCAAAAGCGTACTTTTTATTACACTATATATGGTGGTAGAGCAAACTGTATTTCTTTTCTAAGATGCCAAATTTAATACTATCAAAGGTTAATTACGATTAATCTCAGGCAGAAAACAAACAGAAAAACCACAGTGTCGGTGACCTAAATTAACTCGCTCAGGGCTAACTGAAGTGCTGTTCTATTGACATGTCGCCCCCTATGTTAAGACGCACGTTACCAGAAAAACAAATGATAAACAGTTTGATGACGGTTTACATTTGGATTAAATATCCTTTTAAATTATTTTAATTACATCTGTGAATAACGTAAACCAAATGGGGCAATATGAACGTCGTATTTCTACTACCAACGTCAGTGCATCCAGATGAAGCTGACTAGTCACGCCACATTCCACGGATGCATTGTGGGAATGTAAACATTGCGAACGTTGCTGTGTCGCTGTTAAATTGTCGAACTGTCGAACTGAGACATTTTATCCATCAAAAAACATAAACTTAATGTTTCTACCAGTGACATTAGCCGAGTGAAGCAACTGCAAACCAAGAAGCGGGTTCTACGGAGTAGTTTACTGCCGGGGAAAGTACTAGGCGATGACAACTGACATGCATGACGTGGGTAATAAATAAATACCACACTCGGTCTCATTACATACAAATTATACGAAACTTGTGACCTTCCTATGGTATCTGACCGAGCGAAAGTATAACTCACCTAACATTTCTGAAAGGTGGATACATAATGTCCTACTTTGACTATATGTGAATAGATTGATGAGATATTTGGGCTTTTATCAATTGCTGCATGTTTCCTTGAAGGTGATGAGAATAATGGACAACATTCGACCAGATCGTCAGACTGTAATGTTTTCGGCCACCTTCCCACGACAGATGGAGGCCTTGGCAAGAAGAATTCTAAACAAACCGACAGAAGTTCAGGTCGGAGGTCGCAGTGTGGTGTGCAAAGACGTTGAACAACATGTAGTAAGTGTTCAGATTTTACTTTATTTTCCTTGACCACATTGACTTTCTTAGTCATGTTGGTTCCAAATGGGCCTTTTCAGCTGATATCATGTCAAGTCATCCTTTGGTTTCAGTAGCATTGCTGTCAAAAATGCCATAATGGATTCAGCCAAAATCAGAACACTGAACAGTACCTGATACTCTCAGCAGTGGACAAGTCCATTGTTCTCACCCCAAAACCAGTTCATGTTGTAGTTACTATGTATGCTCAGTATTCTCTATGCATCAAACTGAATTGCATCTTAAACAGTTCCAATCCAGAAAATAAAGAAAATTGTCCAATTTTTGAGTCAAGGAACTAGTTAAGTGCACTGTACAATGGACTCAATCTTGGATAGCATTCTGTAATCTGATTTGGTTATTGGTTAGGGTCTTATGTATACAGAAAACATACCAAGGTAGATATCTGTAGTATGCGAGCTGACAACGACCCCTTCAGCATTACTATTTCACAGAATGAGGGGCAGTGGGGTAGCCCTGTGGTTAAAGCATTTTCTCGTCACACCGAAGACCATGGTTCTGATGTGTGAAGCCCATTTCTGGTGTTCCCCGCCACGATATTGCTGGAATATTGCTAAAACCATACTCACTCACTCACACAAGTCCATGTCTGGTGTGCCCTGCTCTGATATTGCTGGAATTGTGCTAAAAGTGATGTAAACCATACTCACTAACTCAGTTCTTGGAAGATGATGAAGTAATCGTCTGTTTGTTATACTTCAGATTATCCTGGAGGATGACAAGAAGTTCTTGAAACTGCTGGAGCTGCTGGGCATCTATCAGGAACACGGCAGTGTCCTGGTGTTTGTGGACAAGCAGGAAAATGCAGATGAGCTGATGAAGGAGTTGATGCGGCACTCCTACCCATGTCTGTCTCTACACGGCGGCATCGACCAGTATGATAGGGACAGCACTATCCTGGACTTCAAGAACGGGAACATCAAGCTTCTGGTAGGCTGGTCCTTTAGGATCTTTCTTCTGTAATGCCATGAATGTATTTGATCTGATGAATGCCTAACCCCTGTGTCCCACTGTGTGTTCTGTTGAATTTTGGTAATTGTTTTATGTGGTGACTGTTTATGTGGAATGCTTCCAAAATGTTCAAGGGGTTTTAATGTTATTTTAGGGATTCAAAAGCTCTCTACATTTTTCTTAGGGATATGAGTGAGTGAGTGAGTGACTTTAGTTTTACGTCGCACTCAGCAATATTCCAGCTATATGGCTGCAGTCTGTAAATAATCAAGTCTGGACCAGACAATCCAGTGATCAACAGCATGAGCATCCATCTGCTCAATTGGGATACGATGACATGTGTCAACCAAGTCAGCGAGCCTGACCACCCGATCCCATTAGTCGCCTCTTATGACAAGCATGGGTTACTGAAGGTCAATATTCTAACATAGGGATATGAATGCCTTGATATTTTCATATATGCCTTTTAACGATTCTCAGTGCAGATTCAACTGTTTTAGTGATATGTTAGTTACATCATACATCTTCCACACCAATCTGCAGAACTCACAGTAAGATTCATTCTTATGGGATCCATTTGGCAGGCTGTTTTAGACCTGAATGGCTTCATTTAAGTGGGAAATTTTCCGTTTTGAATTTTGTTGTAATCTTGGGTGATGTTTAGTTTCAATGAATTTTTTAATAGAAACATATTTCATTAGCAATTTTGAAGATACTCCTGCCATGGCCATTAGATGTCTTATATATTGAAAGTCAGCATATTAGTCATTGTAGACAAAATGAATGGCTCAACACATTGTGCTTATTGACACATCTCCACATCTTTGTGTGAGTTACGTTTGCAATGATTAACACTTACTTTTGCATGCATGCTTATCTTTCTGTTGCATTGTTTGTATCCGTGATTTATGTTGTTTGTGTTCCACTTGTTTCAGGTTGCAACGTCTGTGGCAGCGAGAGGCCTGGATGTCAAGCAGCTCATTCTGGTCATCAACTACGACGTTCCAAACCACTACGAGGATTATGTGCACAGATGCGGGTAACTTGTTTTTGTATCATATACCCATGTAAACTACTGATTTGTTTTAAGATTAATGCAAGATAAGAGGGTTTATAATAAATATAGAGCGTCATACTAGTGATTTGGGTGTTTTGTATTGAATGAGAAGATGTCATGGGAGCAGAGAAACGACGTTGAAGAGAACTCGTTGTTTCTCTGCTCCCATGACATCTTCTCGTTCAATACAAAACATCCAAATGCACTAGTGTGACGTTCTATATATGTATTGAATTATTTGTATTGTCATGAAGTTGTACATGGAATAGGGGTGATATAATTTCTTGTTGAAAGGTATATAGTTCATTCAAATTCTTAGTAATCCTAACTTGTTGTAAAAATTGGTTGGTATGGCTATAATGATGTCATGATATCAGCTGTGTATAGATTATAGTGTGTTACATCTTTGAACTATTTTTGCAGGGTGTTAAACATTCCAACAGTGTATCTTGCAATCAAGGAATTTGTTTCTGTATTGTTAACAAAACCATGTCGTTTCTATTCAGCCGGACAGGTAGAGCAGGCAACAAAGGTTTTGCCTACACATTCTTTACTCCTGAGCAGGAGAGGTATGCAGTGGACATAATCAAGGCCCTTGAGCTGTCTAACGCTCCAGTACCTCAAGACCTGGTACAGATGTGGAATGACTACAAGGAGAGAGCTAAGGCTGTAAGTTGTGTGCTGGGTGTAACAACACTTTGGACAGTCTCGTTACATCAGCATTAGTATCCCAAACAAGCTGAATTAGACATTCTGGTGATTTCAACAATTACATTGCTCATGCTATATCGAGGAAGTATGTTTGCGATCAGATGCACAAGCAGTTTCATCGGTAGGGCGGATGCCCAGTCGCTGTCATGAGAAGTTTTATTGACAATGGAAATCAGGAAGTTAAAGGGCAAGTGTACACGAAAATGAACCTTTATGTCTTGCACTTTTTCATCATTAAAAGTGTCTATCAAGTAGTTTTATATCCAAACCCGTACATATATCAGAAGTAACTAATTTATTTTTTGCATTATATCAATTCATATTTTCAACATTTACCGAGAGTTCTATGTCCACAATAAACACACCATGGCTTATGTCCCTTGGAAATGATGTCATTGGTGCCCTACTGATAAACGAATGACGTCGTTAGACCTTATTAGACCCATCTCACGTGGTGCAGGTTTTGGTGTGGTTCTTGTGTCTCGATGGGCAGGCTACTGTTTTAATCCACCTGTTGCCTGGCCGTCAGTTGGCTATGCAGTCAGTTCTACACTGTAATGAAGTTGCAGTTTGAAAAAATCGTATACATTGTACTAAAAGTGTTACCATGTAACCAAATTGTATAACATTCGCCTTTCCAACAGTATCTTTTTTCATAAAAACTAAAACGTATATGCACTACATCTACCTTGCCATTGGTGAATGTGCCAGCATTCTACGTTTGTTACTAAAATTCCTACATAAATCATACTATATGTCTTCTTCCACCTTCACTTTGATATCGATACCATATCCAAATACATCACGAAGATAAATGCAATTTGAAATTCGTTTTCTATGATATCATTCGCTCATTGTAGATAAAATATACTGAAAATTACATGCATCGTATATCTCGCCAGTTTTGACACATTACTAAATCACCATTCACTGCGTTTTGCGTAATTTATAGTATGCCTTAATTCAAATGTCAAATTTACTGGGAGATTTGAAATTAGAAGAAAAAGACGTATCATTGTGATCAGCGGTAGTGTTGTTGTTGTTGTTGTATGATCGAATCACCAATGCTCATTCTGAAACATTATCGATGAACCGAGAATCGCTGAGAATGTTATGGAAAATACGCAAACACAATTAACGTCAAAGTTAATTTTCAGCCATAGTACAGAGCGTTTATAAATTCACGTCACATGTATGTCGGTTATGTTTCACCCATAAAATCAATTGTATAATTCAACACCATCTTCCTTACACAAATCCCTGAATTCCTCATACAGATCAAAATAAACTGACAAATGGACTTTGTCACCAATTCGAAGTGTTTCAGTGAAATGGAACGAAATATAGCAGATGCTCCGCTAGGAAAGGACCACTTGTTTGAAATGTAAACAAAGCCAATCTCAGATTTTAAACAGTGTATCAATTTGCCTACTTGTTGCATACACTTACTCATTAGTTTTAGAACATGCATGGGAAAGGTATCGTAGCAAGCCATAGTTATGTAAAATAGGTGTATTCCAATGATTTTCTAGATTCATCACAACATGTTACAGGTTCTGAAAGAATGACGCCATGACTGACACAACCTTACGCACAACGATGACGGTACTTCTCTTAATTTCTGACTATTTTCCTTGGTCACAATGAAAACAAAAAGGAAATAACAACCAGCAGACTGACAGAATTTTCGGACTACTTACATGTCACATTTATGCACATACGTTGCTTGAAACAACGAAAAATTCCTTCGAAAACTCCGGCTTACTCGTGTCAGTGAAGACGCCATTTTGAAAAAGTCTCTTCCCGATAGTGATGTCATACAGACGTCAACTTTGTTATACCGGTACATATTTGGTATTTTCATTGAGGTGAGGTTATGGATGAAAATACACACGATCAATCTGTCCTGCTGCTTACATTTTCACACGATCAATCTGTCCTGCTGCTTACATTTTCTGTTCTTATGCTTTTTCGTATTTTCACAAACCGTTTTCACGTGATTAATTTCAGTATTATTATCTTTTGATTTGGGACTAGACAGGAGACCAGTTTAAAATCAAGTGGCACCATTACGTCATAATCAAAGGGCGGTAACTCTGGCCTGTTTAGCTCGGCAAACAAAGGCCTCATATTGGCATAACATTTCAGCACTTATTTTGAGGGTTATGCTTACATTGTAAGAAAAATGAGTCTATATTTTTAACATTGGTATTAACTAATTAAAACAGTTCACTTTAATTCACATAAGAATAAATGTGATTTATCTGTGTACACTTCCCCTTTAAGTTATATAAAAAGCAAACAAACATCAATATTATTTACCTGAGATTGTTAATACCAATTCAGATGCAAAATCAATTGCCTTTATAACATAAAATAGCAAGCAAAAATTCAGTAAGATCAGTCATCTGCTGGTGACAGGCAATATATAAATAGGAAGCCACGTGATCTCAACACTCTATCGCAGTGCGGAGCGAAAAGTATGGCTCATCGTTGAAAACCCATAAAAATCCCTCGATGTGGCGAGTGGCAACAGTTTCGCCGATACGATGTCATCAATGCTATTTTGTAGGAAACACTTGATATTTTTGTGTGAAATAGAAGAATATATCTTTTATCACTCAAGGTTAGTAAAATAATTACTTTAAATGATATGACAGATAAAAATTATATTTTTGTCTTACATCATCGAAAACCCCTGACACGGGGATATATGACAATGAGGTCGGAGGTGTTTATATTGTTAATGTAATGTTAAGGTGATGTGCTGACACATCAAGTATGATCATTTTAGGAGAATCCTTGATTTAGACTTTGACCAGCAGGTTTGGTCAGTGATAAGGGTGGCATGTCGGCTCACCTTAGTCTTACAGTCCCTGAACTGCACTATATTCCCTACTGCCTAGCCCTTCCTGTAATGATAAAGCCCTAAATGAAGCAAGGCAAGATTTCCTCCGATCTCACTGGGGCTTCTTTTCAATTTAAATGGGATTATTTGTTTCTATGAAAATTATATATATTAAGAGACTAAGTGTTAGTGTACTGTTCGCCCATACAATATCTCCCGGATGATAAAGTAAAATAAATGTAAGGTGAAATATATATTCCAACAGTTTTTGTATTATATTCAGATGGCTTATAAATTTCACCGCTTTCTGGAAGGGGAGACATTTGGCCCCATTGGACACATGCTTTAATATCGGGTACGCTTTAACTAAATCACCGGTAGGGGAACGTGTACACTGCACAGCTGACTGCTATTTCCAGCTGTATGACAATTACACACAGTAATCTTAATACCTGCATATAAGGCAATGCCTAACAAAACAAACTAGAACTGAATAGGTAAATAATCTTTCTAGCGATGTTTAATTGCAAATTTGACGCCTTTTGGTCTTCTTTTTGTATGTTCGCTCACGCCAGCTTACGTCAGCCACAAATCACAATGTTGACACAAGTATAATCCCACTCTCTCTCTGGTTGTTTTAGTAAACACGATTAAATTATGGCGGCTAGCTTTGATCATTGCATGTCTATCGGTTGTGAAAACTTTGTGATGGATACCATCACTCAGGTGTTTGAAATGCGCGAAAAAACAACTGCGCGAACAGGCCTTTTGTGAACTTTCCGCGAAAATTGCACCCCGCGAAAATATATACGATTACAGTAAATGTGATTTATTCGTGTACACTTCCCCTTTAAGTTATATAAAAAGCAAACAAACATCAATATTATTTACCTGAGATTGTTAATACCAATTCAGATGCAAAATCAATTGCCATTATAACATAAAATAGCAAGCGAAAATTCAGTAAGATCAGTCGTCTGCTGGTGACAGGCAATATATAAATAGGAAGCCACGTGATCTCAACACTCCGTCGCAGTGCGGAGCGAAAAGTATGGCTCATCGTCGAAAACCCATAAAAATCCCTCGTGGCGAGTGGCAACAGTTTCGCCGATACGATGTCATCAATGCTATTTTGTAGGAAACACTTGATATTTTTGTGTGAAATAGATGAATATATCTTTTATCCCTCAAGGTTAGTAAAATAATTACTTTAAATGATATTACAGATAAAATTTATATTTTTGTCTTACATCGTTGAAAACCCCTGACACGGGGATATATGACAATGAGGTCGGAGGTGTTTATATTGTTAATGTAATGTTAAGGTGATGTGCTGACACATCAAGTATGATCAGTTTAGGAGAATCCTTGTTTTAGACTTTGACCAGCAGGTTTGGTCAGTGATAAGGGTGGCATGTCGGCTCACCTTAGTCTTACAGTCCCTGAACTGCACTATATACCCTACTGCCTAGCCCTTCCTGTAATGATAAAGCCCTAAATGAAGCAAGGCAAGATTTCCTCAGATCTCACTGGGGCTTCTTTTCAATTTAAATGGGATTATTTGTTTCTATGAAAATTATATATATTAAGAGACTAAGTGTAAGTGTACTGTTCGCCCATACAATATCTCCCGGATGATAAAGTAACATAAATGTAAGGTGAAATATATACCAACAGTTCTTGTATTATGTTCAGATGGCTTATAAATTTCACCGTTTTACGGAAGGGAGCCATTTGGCCTGGACACATGCTACTGCCAATTTCTAGACCTACACTATGGAACCTGTTTAATTTCAGGAGGGGCGAACAATCAAGAGCTCCAGTGGGTTCCGTGGGAAAGGGTTCAAGTTTGATGAGACAGAGGCCCAGCTGGCTGACGAGCGGAAAAAGCTACAGAAGGCAGCACTTGGGTTGCAGGACTCGGATGACGAGGATGCAGGCATGGACGTGAGTGACTGCAATCTGCACAGACTGTCATTTTAGTTGAACTGAACAGTAATAATTGAGAAGCCCCTTGAGCAGCTTCAGAACAGATGACCCGTGAAGATCTGGGTTAGAATTGATCTACAGTAACCCATGCTTGTCATAAGAGGTGACGAACAGGATCGGGTGTTTGACTTGGTTGAAACATGTCATTGTATCCCAATTGCGAAGATCGATGCTCATGCTGTTTATCACTGGATGGTCTGGTCCAGACTTGAATATTTACAGACCACCACCATATAGCTGGAATATTGCAGAGTGCAGCGTAAAACTAAACTCGCTCACTCACTCACCAAATGCATTTGTCATAGTATTTGATTGTGTATTATGTGATTATATGCTTTTACTCCGTCCTAAATTCAGTTTGTTTTAATAAGTGTTGTGGACTGGGAAACTGTCTGCTGATGCAGCGTTAACACATTGTTAACACAGTGTTTACAGTGCAGAAATGAAAGCATTGTGACGTCATAAGCATTGTGACGTCACGGCCAGAGTTAACAGTTACTGTTCAGTTTTACCTGATGATGGGGCCAGAACAAGCCCTGAAACGTTGTACTCGAGAATAAAAAGAAGATGTAACCCAGAAAAAATCTCTATGTTCATCAAATATCATCTTCTAAAATGCCAATCAAGCATCTAAAGTGAAAGAGTTATGGAGTTTAAATATTATCTCTGGCTGCACATCAAATCAGCTTGATCCTGTCGCAAAATGAGAATGGTTGATTTGGGTATGATTCATCAAAATGTTTAATTATGGCTGATATGTGAACATAACTAGCAACTTTTCTGTTTCAATTGCTGCAGATTGACCAGAAGATTGAAGATATGTTCGCCAGTCGGAAGCGTGTGACAGATGTGGCCAAGCCAATAGCCAATCAGCAGACACAACAGCAGCAGAGCAATCAGCAGAAACTGGAGCTGGCCAAACGATTGGCTGCTCGTATCAACATGCAGCTCAACCTTGGACCTGATGCCCAGGATATTACCCAGCAGGCAGCAGCAGCTATATTGAAGGGAGATTCAGTAGCTGCTCCACAAGTTGCTGTAAGTTGAAGGTCTTCAATTATTGGGCTCGGGGTTGGAATTGAGTGCCAGATAAGAGGCGACTTTATGGATTTCGTGTAAAGTTTTGATGACCTGGTCACTGTATCCTGGAACACTCCTTAAATCAGTTTTGTATTGTCTTGACCTGTTGTTAAATGTCTAGAATATTGTTAACTCTTCTGTTAACCCACTTAACATGTTTACTGTTTCGACAAACAGACAAGGGACACAAACAATAATATTACCCTTCTTTAAGTGGCATTTAGAAGCTGATATGATGTCGAGGAAAACGATATGGATAGACAACTTCTTACTTAGAAGCTGATATGATGTAGAGGAAAACTTATTATGGATAGACGACTTCTTACTTAGAAGCTGGTATGATGAAGAGGAAAACTTATTATGGATAGACAACTTCTTACTTAGAAGCTGATATGATGTAGAGGAAAACTTATTATGGATAGACGACTTCTTACTTAGAAGCTGGTATGATGAAGAGGAAAACTTATTATGGATAGACGACTTCTTACTTAGAAGCTGGTATGATGAAGAGGAAAACTTATTATGGATAGACAACTTCTTACTTAGATGCTGGTATGATGAAGAGGAAAACTTATTATGGATAGACAACTTCTTACTTAGAAGCTGATATGATGTAGAGGAAAACTTATTATGGATAGACGACTTCTTACTTAGAAGCTGGTATGATGAAGAGGAAAACTTATTATGGATAGACAACTTCTTACTTAGAAGCTGATATGATGTAGAGGAAAACTTATTATGGATAGACAACTTCTTACTTAGAAGCTGGTATGATGAAGAGGAAAACTTATTATGGATAGACGACTTCTTACTTAGAAGCTGGTATGATGAAGAGGAAAACTTATTATGGATAGACGACTTCTTACTTAGAAGCTGGTATGATGAAGAGGAAAACTTATTATGGATAGACAACTTCTTACTTAGAAGCTGGTATGATGAAGAGGAAAACTTATTATGGATAGACAACTTCTTACTTAGAAGCTGATATGATGTAGAGGAAAACTTATTATGGATAGACAACTTCTTACTTAGAAGCTGGTATGATGTAGAGGAAAACTTATTATGGATAGACAACTTCTTACTTAGAAGCTGGTATGATGTAGAGGAAAACTTATTATGGATAGACAACTTCTTACTTAGAAGCTGGTATGATGAAGAGGAAAACTTATTATGGATAGACAACTTCTTACTTAGAAGCTGATATGATGAAGAGGAAAACTTATTATGGATAGACAACTTCTTACTTAGAAGCTGGTATGATGAAGAGGAAAACTTATTATGGATAGACAACTTCTTACTTAGAAGCTGGTATGATGAAGAGGAAAACTTATTATGGATAGACGACTTCTTACTTAGAAGCTGGTATGATGTAGAGGAAAACGTATTATGGATAGACAACTTCTTACTTAGAAGCTGGTATGATGAAGAGGAAAACGTATTATGGATAGACAACTTCTTACTTAGAAGCTGATATGATGTAGAGGAATCTTATTATGGATAGACAGCTTCTTTATTGCAATAGACATGACGTTTATCGAGCAAGTGTTATGTAAAGAAGTTGTCAATCCATAAAAATTGTTCCTCTTCATTGATGTTACCCACTGGACAATTTCACTAAAATGTCACAGCCAATACTGTTAGAACACTGACTTGTCCAGCACACCTTCATGTGTTTATTGAAAACTTATATACCGTATTTCCTCCAATAAGTGCCGGGTCTCTAATAAGTGCCGGGGGTTAAGGAGCGTTTTAAGATAAAAGCACAGTAGATTCAGAAGTGCAATAAGCGCCGGGTCTGGAAGTCCGTTGAAAAAATGTGCGCCTGGAAATACTGTGTAACAATGTACCCGAAGCTACTTTGTGTGTTCTAATAACTTAATATGTGTTTCTTCTTCTAGTCCAAGACAATTGCAGAGCAGATGGCAGAGAAGATCCACGCAAAGATCGGGTACCGGCCACAGGCAGAGGAAGAGAAAGAACAGGAATCGGCGGGTGAGACTTTCAAACGCTATGAGGAAGAGCTGGACATCAACGACTTCCCTCAGACAGCCAGGTGGAAGGTCACATCCAAGGTCAGTCTTTTCTTCACCTGCTCTGGCAGTAGTCAGAGTGACATCAACTATAACAAACTGAAAATCAACATCTGTGTCCAGTAACAACTTATTAAGCAACTCCTGTGGGGATGGACATGTACAGAAAGAAATGTATTAAAAGATTAGGGACTGTTCATAAGTTATGGATTTATGGCTAGGGGGTGATGATGTTTTTTGGGGGTGGTTGTATATGCTTCTCCATAAGAATCATCATCACCACCCACACAAACACCTCAGCTGACCCGTGAAGGTCTGGGTTAGAATTGATCTTCAGCAACCCATGCTCGTCATAAGAGGCGACTAACGGGATCGGGTGGTCAGGCTCGCTGGCTTGGTTGACTCGTCATCAGTTCCCAGTAGCGCAGATCAATGCTCATGCTGTTGATCACTGGATTGTCTGGTCCAGACTCGATTATTTACAGACCACCGCCATATAGCTGGAATATTGCTGAGTGCAGCGTAAAACTAAACTCACACACCCCAAGGCAGAATTTATGAACTGTCCCATATGAACCAGGGCTCCTTTCACGAAGCAACCTTTACTAAGGTTAATCTTAACTCCCATTCTTTAACATTGCATTAAGGTTAACTAAGTGACTTAAGATCACCTTAGTGCTTTGTGAAAGGAGGCCCTGACGTTTTTGGCCTTGAAAGTTTTTAATTAATATCACAGCCTGATGCTGACGAACAGAGAGAGTGGATGGATATTGCTGTGCCCCCTCTGCTCTCTCTATGATCAAGAGAAAATGCTCCTTTGCTTAAGTAAACACTGATCACAATCCATTTGTTCTTCAACACATCCTGTTTTTGTTTGTCCTTGTAGGAAGCCCTGGCTCAGATCTGCGAGTACTCGGAGGCTGGCATCACGGTGAGAGGAACCTACGTGCCCAATGACAAGGATCTGAAGGAAGGAGAGCGGAAGCTGTACCTGGCTATCGAGGCCACAAGTGAACTTGCCATCTCCAAGGCGAAGAAGGAGATTACACGTCTCATCAGGGAGGAGCTTGTCCGACTGGTAGGGAGCAGTTTTGTTTGTCTCACAGTAAACATGTGTACCTCACATGGACATTTGGTCGTGGCGATGTCATTGCACCTACGTGCTTTTTATAAACAGATTCTTTTTAGTTTCTGATGTAGCTGCTCATTAATACATTTCATTGGTTTTTATATATGTGAATAACAACTGAAAAAGCTTTGTACAGAGGATCTAGACATCCTGGAAAACTAAGGTTTGAGGAAACATAACTCCCATGCCTTTGTTCCACAAAGCCAACTTAGCTTTACAACAGTTGTTAGTCTGTGTTAAAGTATGGAAGTTACGACAGCCACTCTTTTTTTTTATCTACTAGCCAGTATTTGCCTTTTTGGCATCATTTTTATTTGGAGACCAGTGCCTTAGCTGATCAACTATAGATGTCCCAGATTGTGAAAATGAGATTAATCAGTGCAGCTGAGAAACTGTTGATAAGGTTCTGAAACACCAAGTCTTACCAAGATTTTTTCTGTTTCAGCAAAATTGTTATATTCCAAATGCCAACAAGAATCGCTACAAAGTGCTGTAACCTTGCAGTTGGTGACATCTGTGTTCTTATTGCTGGGAGCATGGCTTGGTGCAAGGACTACTTATGGAGGAAGTGTCATGGTTGTGTCATGCTTAACATTGACATCCCTGGAACATGGAACCTGTAAATCTATGCTTGATGATTTGGGGAAGGACCAGAACATAAGATTTGGCTCCAAATCTAACTTAAAACAGGTTCATTAAAACATTTTCAATTCAAGGGAACAAGGGATTCTTCCTTATGGTACTCCTAACATCTGTATTTTGTTCAGGACTCTTTGAGCAAGCATCCTTTGGTATCCCCATTCTGTTACAAGAAATACTATGAAGCCAATCACTATTACCAGTATGTGTTTGTAAAGTAACATCAGTGTGTCATCTCTCCGATTGCCATCACATGTCAAAGATTCTCTAGTTTGACAGTTATGTTACTGAATGGCTCTTTTTAATGTCATACTATTTGAATCAGGATAAAACAAGACATGATAGCCATTGGTCCATATGATTTATCATAGCAGAATACATTCGCAACTACTTGTCCCTTTCTGTAACCTGAAAGAAGACCATTCCCCTTTCATAGCCATGTTCGGGAGAAATATTCACCCAGACAGTCAGAATGCGCGTATGTAGAGAAGAAATTGGGTCAATATGGTTAGTTGAAATAATTTTCATTTCGGCTTGCATAATTATTTTCCAGACACTTCAAGTATATTTTAATTATTGCATAGTCCTCCTGACTTTTTATATCCAGGATATATTAACATTATGGCGTAAGGAAAGTATTTAAGCATGTTAGACATACCCTTTGAGGCAATTTCCTTGGCGTGGATGCCATGTTTGTTTTCCAAGTAAACTACAGTTACATGCCCTTGAAAATAATTCGTGACTAGACTATTCCTTTCTCTCTTCGCTTTTGCGCTCAGAGTCAAGTTCAGTAAAATGGGTACAAGTCTTCTTCAGGTTACGGAAAGGGACGAGTAGTTACGAATGAGCAGAATAGTGATATAAGCACGATGTTGAGCATGCAGAGTTGTCTTTCCTTTCCTCTTCTGGAGAGAGGCAATGTTGTTATGGAAAGACTGCATTGATGAGCTTAATAATGTAAAGCTGGTTCATCATCTTTAGGAGTGTAGAAGATACTGCTTTGCTCCATTTGTTTTCATTTCATTGTAAGTGTCCTGTTGGTGTTACTGAAGATCTAACAAGTCTAAGGAAGTCAGACCTTGTTTTATTCAGGCAGCGAAACATTGATATTTTAAAACTGAGCTATATTTTACAGTGTGATTAGGTGGTATTATGAATGTAAAAATCCTGGATTTTACTGTGCTCATGACAAGGAAAATTTTATTTTATGAACCTGTGATCAGGACCCTGTACATATTGTAATAAAATAAGTGTACATGTATAATAAATGTATTAGTTTTTATTATGTGGGAGTTTAAGACTGGCAGTGTACAGTGTATGAAATGAAACACCATTTAGAAGCTAAATGGACTTATCCAAGGTTCGACATAACTGCTGAAAGGATGACCAAATTATTAATTATCATGGGACCAAGCTTTTTACTTCAAGAAAACTCGAGAAATTTTGATTGCAATTTAAGAGAAATCTCTCTGCATCAGTTTGCAGACTTGAAATGTGAAGCTCGAACTTGTCAAGTCATATGACTGCAGTTTCTCATATTTCAGTCGCTGTGAATTGGAGGTTGCAGTGTTTCACAGTACTAACTCGCGTGTCTACAGTCCATCATTTTGTCGCGAATTATTGGCTATTGTTGATCCTGTTTGCATACTCCTAAGTTGTCAGTGTTAGACTACAGAAGGGAACCAAGACATGACCTCTGCCTGAAAATGCCGGCTGGTTACTGCTGTATAGATAGCCGATACAATTTGTTCTTACAGGTATATTATTACAAGAACATTTATGGAGCTGACAGAACAGTGTTATGGGTGTGTGCAATGTTTAAAGAATAATAGTATCAGAATTCTGAAAACATTTCTGCAGTCAAATTGATGCAAGTGACATCGCTGCTGGTAGTGTTTTGTTACCTCAAGACACAGCATAGGTCAACCTGCTTGTTATCCCCCGCCACGGGGGAAATATAGTATTAGGCTCCGTCCGTCCGTCCGTACGAAATGGTATATCTTAAGAACCGTTGACTGGATTCTTTTCATATTTGGTACCTAGGTTCATCACAGTAACAGAAAGGTCCCAGTCAGGTTTGGTGACCTTGACCTTGAAGGTCACAAGGGGACTCAACGTTTTACCCTTGTCAGCGAGATATCTCAATAACCGTTCTCTGGATTTTCTTCATATTCAACACCAAGCTTAATCGAGGGAAGGCGGAGGGACAAGTCGATTTTGGTGACCTTCACTTACTTTTCAAGGTCATGGTGACACTTTAAAGATTTCAGCATGTTAACCTGCATGTAAAGATTGTCAGCAAGATATCTCAAGAACCAATCACTGGACTTTCTTCATATTTGACACCACGCTTCATCTTGGGAAGGTGCAAGGCCCAGTCGATTTTAGTGGCCTTCACATATTTTTCAAGGTCATGGCGACACTTTGAAGATTTCAGCATGTCAAACTGAAAGTTAAGAGTGTCAGCGAGATATCTCAATAACAGTTCACTGGATTTTCTTCATAGACTTTCAAGACTTCCCTTGAATGTTTTTCAATAAGCAATTTCTTTATTACTATTTTTGCATATTTAATACACTCAGACATTCATGTCAAGGTCAAAGTGAGTCTTGAAAATATTTGTGCATTTGAACAACTACAGAGCAAGATATCAAGAGAGGTTGACTGGTCATGTTTTTGTTGACATTTAACTTCATCATAAATTACGACCTTCACTTTCATTTCTTTTTAAGTTTGATTTGATAATTTGCGGCGGGGGATTATGTCACCTTAGTGACAATGCTTGTTATTTAACAATTGAGAACTGTACCTGTAAACTGAATAAACTAAAGTTCAATGATCACCATTTTAGGGACTTTCTTCATAAGGTGAAGAAAATGAACCAGAGACCGACGAGGTGGATTGTAATCTTGAGATCAACATCACAGATGTCATTAGAGATGCATGTGTATGAGATTCAGTTGATCTCATTATTATGCAAACACAGTCTTGCAAATTATGCAAGTGGTTTGTATATATATATATATATATATATATATATATTCCTAAAATATGTTGTTACAGAAACTTTTTGCGTCAATCTGTCCGTTTTTTAGAAAGTTTTCACTACATTCAAACTTACATTTACACTTAAGCCTAATTGTCAATTGTCAGTGGCAGCAAATGGTTGAAGCACTAGTAAAATATGAAGTGACACATTTTATCCCCCCAGCATTACATGCTGGGGGATATAGTCGTCGCCTCGTCCGTCCGTAATCATTTTGTTTCCGGAGCATAACTTCAAGACCATTCGATATCTTTCAACAAAAATGTGTAGATATATCAAATAGCCTTTTGCTATTTACAGATTTTTGGCATTTTTATTTTCTCAGTTCTTTGCCCTACAGCCATATTCAACCCACTGTATTCCTTTTTATTATCTTAAACCTACAAATGTGTGACGGTATAATTTGTTGATTCTTCACTGATATGTTTTGGTCCATTTCATCTCCCAATCTCATGTGTGTTTGGATTAACCTTTGCATTTGAATCCATTTTCCAATTGATTCTATGTGACAGAAGGAAGATAAGGCAGTCGACTTCAGGGTCTGATTTTATGCATGCTTCTATTTAGGTGTAAGGCGCAGTAAAGTTCGTTATGAAAAGCACTTGTAATATGTCATAACATTTTCTAATAACTTTTGTCAAGTTGTGATTGTAATTAACCTCATTAACTCTAATGTATGATATATGGTGCCTTGAGCATGCAATAGTGTGTGGATATGTGCGTCATATAAATATCCTATAATAATAATAATAAATAAGTGCTTAATTGCCAAAACAGAACCCCCTATTCCCATTGACACAAATAGTTTCTGAGTTTTGTCAAACTCATATCTTTGCAAACTGTATTTATACATATTAAACCTGTTCGATGCAGATATGATAGAGTCCAGAAACCACTCAACCTGGACCAGTGTGAGAGATAGCCACTGGCCCGCTAGCTAGTAAAAAGCCAGTTAGGCCAGTAAACCGCCACGGTCACTGTACCGACTGGCTAGTGAATTTTCATGGGGTATTTCGTAAATGTATCACTCTCTCCGACTTGTTCAGTTATAATAACTTTTAGATCATGCAAGATTATGGCCTGATAAAAATGTTCATCATATTAGCAGCTTAATGATGAAGCCTGTGTCATGCCGACAATATCTTATTCTCATCTATTTTGTAATATTTTGCTTAGTTTCTGCTTTCAAGTTTTGGACAAGTGAACTATTTTGGGGGCTAGTAACTTTCAGGCACAGCTACCCCGACTGGCTAGCAAAATTTGGAAACTATTTCGCACACTGACCTGGACTCATGATTTGTTAATCTGAAAGTTTGTTGATACAGAAAATTTCTTGAAATGGTACCCTCCATGGAATATCTTGTTGTACACAGATATAAAAACGGATTATCCCCATGATGTCAGTGCTATGTATCAAGTGTTCTGTGATAGCTGAAGAGATAAAGAAAAAAACAACACAAACACAGGTTGACTTTGATACATTTACTCTTGATCAGAGATGTGCATCAGCCAAGAGAGCTGCACCAAGTTGCTGCCCACCAGCTTGTTCACCCACTTCAGAACCGTCCACAGCATTACATCTGGGTATCCAGGTACCAAGGTACCCAGAGCAGTGCTATGGGCGGTCCTGGTGGCTGAGAGCGCGGTCAGTGCCCCACCTCAATGTTTGGCACTAGGGAATAGAAGAGAGATCATACAGTAACACAGCTTGGCCAGATGCTGCTAGAGTCTGTGTGAATGCTGGTCTACCTGTGTGCTTGAATTACATTGGTGCTTAGCTTGTCTACCTGTGTGCTTGAATTACATGGGCACTTAGTTTGTCTCATGTGTGCTTGAATTACATCAATGCTTCGCTCATCTTGTCTACATGTGTGCTTGAATTACTTTAATGCTTGTCTTTTGTTGTCTACATGTGTGCTTGAATTACATTATATGAACTTATGCTGATTTGTATATTAATAGTGTCACTGAAAGACATGTAGGTTCAGCTTCAGTTGGTATTAAGTTGTTAAAGCCCCTTTAAATGGCATGTTTCTATTCTGTATGTAGTTATTAGCATTCGACAGCATCTGGCCAACTTGCTGCTGTTGGGAGAGAACAAAGCCCCAACAGTACCTGAAAGATTATGGAATAAATAGAAGTGGAGAAAGATGTGCCGTATCAGCTCATCACAGAAGAAAGATAACCTAGATTTATAACAGCGGACTGCCGTCAGGATTGTTCTTGAAGGGGTAATACTGGTCATGGCGTCGCCCCGAGATCTGGAGCTTCCACTTTCTTCATATCACATGCTCATAATATACATAACCAGCTTCGCTTTTGCATTGAAATATGAACACAACTTGAGTATTTTCAACAGCTTCTTTGATGAACTGTACACTTGCATTTTACACAGACCAACTGAAGGTTTTATCTACACAGTGAAATTGATGTAGTATATCTTAGAAGAATTTTGTACACTTTCTGTACACTGAAGTTCCGTGCGACACCCGGGTGCTGCACTGCACATCTCCTCTTTACAAACAATATTTACAAACTGAAGACAAACATTTACAAATAAGTTCAGCACCATGTATGAAGAGAGTCAGTCCGCACTGACATGTTTTACTATTGCTGTACACGAGCTCTAGCTGGGAACGATGATCACGTCTACACTGACAACAGTAGTGGCGATGAGGATGTTCCTGATGATGATGACATCTGTGATTATGATGATGACAAGATATGATCTGACGACGAAATGAAAAAGCGAAATAATGTCTGACTGAAGCCAGCTGCTAGGGAAATTGCGGAAAGGTCAAGGTCAAGACGCGGGACCGTGTTGTCTTCTTCATCCTGAGTCGGTGATATCCAACATGGCTGCCAGCGCCCGGCCAGCACAACATGGCGGGCTCCTCATCACACCTGGTCTTCCCATAATGCATAGCATTTCCTGTCCACTCCGTCAGGACAACACATGACGTCTGAGCCTGCCCCGACACCAGCATGTGCTGCCATGTCTGTAGTCTGACCAATCAGCATCTGTCAACCAGTCACACAGGATTATAGGCTTTATCGACACAGGCTACAATAGGCTTGCAAGAAAGACAGTTCAGATATGACAGACAGGAAAGGAGACAGGTGAGTAATACCTTAACGATTCTCTGGATTTTTCTATCCAAGAATGTTGCAATGGTTTTAAAATCATTGCCAAATATTTACAATGGACCACAGACAATTTTGAGTTACATGAATCTTTTCAGGCATATATATTAAGGGGACATCAGTCACAGACACTACCTGAACTCTGTTTATAACATTATTCTGCTCAAATGACATAAATAAGTTCCTTATTCCAGGGATACAGTGATTTCTATTTGCAAGACTTACTTTGTGGCTCCAAGCTGAAACTAACCAACACATTCAAGGACATTTTCAAATCAATGGCCATCTTAATTCAGCACTCTGTTGATGTAATAATTGACTGACACATCGGACATGGTGCTCTCACAATCAGTTTTCAACTTCAAAGTTTCAATCAATTAACACTTACAATCAATTAACCCAATTATGACCTACAGGAAACTACAAAGATAATTACATTACTCTCTAATAAATTACTTACATCAGAGTGTATAAAAATGGAGGAAATAACATGCAAGAAAAGATGATCAATAAATACCACTTAGTGGCAAGTCATGCACTTGAAACTGTGGCTACGAGAAAAACTTTGCCAGTAAGCTTGTACACGCTAATTATTCCCGATGATTTGCTCGCAATACAACATCAAACAGGAGGATTTTCACAGTGCAGAAAATAATTCACTCGTGAAGCCAGTACTATCAATATATTGGTATTTCTTGAATGAAGAAGGGGCATGATGTGTGATCAGTACAGTGCAAGCCACGCCGTTAGAACCGTCCAGTCACTGGACACCTGAATCAATACCAAATACTGCTAATGATCTAAATATCCTAACCACAAACTTATCTTAGCACTATTACTGTTGCATCATGGGATAATTTTAGATGTAGAAACTAGGATCACTCACGCATTAAAATTTATAGAATTTCTTCGAAATTAAATTTCAATGGGATTATGATATTATTTAACTGTAATTGAAAATACAGTTAAGGCATATGTGAAATCCTTTCATTGGTTTCCTCTTTCAATCTTTGAAGACACTGTATTTACATATTTATTTGAATGGACATGAGCTAAGCAATCCTAAGATTTCATCTGAATGTGTGGACCTCACAGTCCCATACAGGGAAATGTGCTTTCTCAAAATATTGTAAAGACTTGTTCACTTTAGGCGATCAAAAAGACTTTTTCACTTTAGACGATATACAGACACTATTACCGAACTAACATTGATACTAATGCAGGATTGTATAAAATCTTGCAATATTTTTATGTGGTTCCTAACTTCTACAAGAATAAGAGTTGAAGGAAATGATAGTATTAGACTGAAAGAGAAAGATTAGAAGATGTAAAATCAACCACATAGAGCACAGACAAACAAGCACACCACAAGACGGACGGACGCACGTGTGCGACGTATGTACGTACCTACGGACTGAACATTATCGGCCTGACCAGCCATGGGTATCATCTGATCAGAGAAAATCAGGACATTGAGGAAATAACGGCAAGCTACTGGTGACGGCATGTACACTGAAGATTACAGCATGTGCACCTACAACGGCGATCAACAACCAACTTATTTCCATACATGGTATGAAAATACAGTCGAGGGATAAGAATGGATTATTGCATTTTCATATGTGTTAGTGCTAAGTAATTCTGACACTCTGATGATTTCGAGGAACTGGATGATTGAAATCTTTTCAAAATTGACTGTTAGTGTAAAAACTGAAATAAACAAAAATGGGAGATTGCCGTTCAGTAACATGCTTCTCATCAGTGTCATATTAACTTCCGAACTTGTCACAATTTAATCTTATCTACAAAAGATTTTATAATGGAATCCCATATATATTTTCAAACTAGACAGTATCCTGTTTTCAATCTCAAGAAATCAAACCTATCATTTCCTATGATACAATGACTTTTCTGTGTGAAGAACTGGTGAGAACTAGATAGAGGGTCAAGTAAAATATATTTTCTAATTGGCCAGTCAGCATCAAGGAGTATTGATCTTCAGCAGAAGCAATCGTGACAGCATATGGGATTATATCTAAACAGCAAGTTCTGAAATGTAAATGGCCAAAGCTGTTAATTTCTTTGAATGGCATTTTAGAAGTTGGGAAGTATCTATAAAGTTTGTAAACATAGTCAGCGTTTAAAATTCCTGCCTGTCCGTAACGGTCTGTTTTCATTTCAGACGGTCAAATTTCAAAAGTAGCCTGTCCGGTGGTCTGGTAGATATTTTTACCCCTAAGAGTAAATATTTCATAATATCAGACAGGTTCTCTTGTCGTCAGTTAAGGTATTATGATAATTATGTTAAACTACTTACGATTGGACAGTTCATGTTACGATAACCAATCACAATCATGTACTTTCAGTGTACCCAAACTCAGTGCATTGCCTGTTAGTGCTATGTAGTTCATTGCGATGCCTACAAACAGTGAATGGAGCTTGCGCGAGTTGGAAATGGCAGTCACAGTTTTTAATTGTTGAAAACCGGACAGGCAAGTTTGTATCCGGACTGGTAAGTTTTTAAAGTTACCAGTCTGGCTTGGAATTTTGGGAGTTTTAGACACTGACATTGTCCAGGTGGTGCTTTTTTGGGAGACCTCTACTTCCAATACCTACCATCAAGGTATCGTTTTTTTCTGTGGGTTTTTTTTAGAGTGGGACTTTCTTTTTGTTTAAATAAGTTCCCGTAGGGGATATATTACAGTATATCTATACAAAAATCACTAATTACAGGGAAATCCAAAGTGTTATGTGGGAGGGATGGGAGGGCTAACCTCATGAGTCAGGATAAGTATAAAATATCAATTTTACTCTAAAATTACATATTTTTTCCTTATCCTGACTCATGCTTTTTGTTGTAGCATCCTACAGGAACGGAGGTGGGTAACAGAATACTGGATTTATAATTAGTGATTTTGTATAGATATACTGTAATATCTCCCTACGGGAACTTCATGAAGCAAAAGAGCATGAGTCAGGATAAGGAAAAATAAATATTACAATATCTGAATCAAGATGGTAAAGAAATAAAGCTGATTCTTTAAGAAAGCTTTGGTGTGTCTGATTGCTTTGGGAACCTATACAGGCTTCATTCAGAACAGGCATCAAACCAGCTCTTGAGTCACCTGACTGTCTATGGAAGAAAGTGTGTCAGATCTTCACACATCAAAGTATCGTATCAGAGTGATAGAGACAGTTACTGTCACTTTGAGATTACACACACTGACTGTGTCAACAACTTAGTATGTTGTGGTTGTATTGTATCAGTGGATCTCTGAAATGCTACAAGCACTGAGTGAAATAGCCTCAGAATATTGACCAATTATGTTAGCTAGCCTTAAAAATTACAGCTCCAGATTTCACAAACTAAATCATATGACAGTTTATTTTTCCAAAAATTTGTTTCTGTGAAATTGTCAAATAAATTAAGTGCAAATCTCTTACTGTCTTGACCAAATGTCGACGACAACACCGCACAACATCTGTATATATTCATGACTGATTGAGGAGCATAGAGCACACAAACCTGTGAAGCTTTGACAATAGAAGGGATCTTATATTATCATATCACTATGACCCACAGAAATTAAAAGTACCAGCCTACCGACTTAAGTTGGAAATCATAATGAAAAATCATACCATAAAGTAATTTAAGATCTCAATGTAAAACTGTCAAAAATCTTACTGATCACAATTAAAACCACAACATTATTTTAGATGTAAGTTATCAATTTCATTTGGAACTCACTTCGAAACTTTGAAGAATTTCTTTGGCTTGTGGAGCCAACTGGAATCCAGAAGCCTCCGAGACCGTTTCTTGTCATCAGTTGGCGAGGCAGGTGCCCCCTCCCCTTCCGAACTGGTGGAAGAAAACCGCTGGGAAGCGGGCGGAGAAGTCGAGTCCGAACGCTTGGGTTTGCGGAAAACCACACCTTTTGTTTGTGATTCAGGTTCTACTGCATGAAGAGTCACACCTAGGTCAAATGACATTGATTGTTGACAAAGCACACCAATGGTCCCCATTTTCTTTTTCTTGCCTCCTTCTGAACGTTTGTGTAACTTGGGTGAAGGCAATTTACTGAAATCAAATATTTGTCCTGCTCTTGGTGATTTTGGGAATGCAGGTTGTTCCCCTTGAGTTGGTGAGAGGCTTCCGGAGGCTTGTGGAGATGAAGGCGATGATAATGTTTCTTGAGAGACAACAGTTATTTCGTCGTCATGTTCCGGTTTTTTCCCTGTCTTACTTTGTGTTTGCTCACTGGCACTGTAGGTGGCGCTTCGGTCCCTCTGAGCGCACTCCAGTGAGGCCTGTCTCTCTGACTCGAACAACAATGGCATGGATTGATGGTTTGTGGGACTTATAGTTGAATCTGGTTTCAAGGAGCTGTCACTAGATATCACAGAACTTGGATCATGGAGTGCCCCCAGCTCACAAGACCTGCGTTGTGAGGGAGGCACTCGACTTTTCTCTCTTCTTTTCCGGTATTCTTTGACTTCTGAATCTGATAACGTCCTTTCAGGGGAAGTCTTTGGACTTGGGGAAGTGTCAAACACTTCTGCTAGTTTCTTAACTTGTCCGTCATTAGTCACATCTTTCAGGGGGACAATGAACTTATGCTCTGGTCCACTGGGAGAGGAAAGTTTGCGTACAATATGCGAAACAAACTCGGATTGAGTGCGCGGAGAATCACTTCTTTGTAATGATAATGAGGAATTATTTTTGGAAGAATCCACACTTTTTGTGGGTGTGCCCTCTCTAGATAGTCTTTGTACCATGGTTTGTACATAGCTTGCGGAGATGTTTTCTTTGTCATGGCTCTTTGCCCTCTCTTGTTGTTGCTGTCGGCCTTCCTCGTCTTTGAGGTAGCGCTGGCGCAGACGGGCAGCGTACACGGTGTGGCCACTCCGGTACCGCTGACTCTCCTTCAGGAGCTCAGCGGCCGGCTTGAGGCGACGCACCGGTGACACCAAACCCACCTGCGGCAGGTACAGCGTCGGACTTGGGGTTTTCCGTAACTCGAAAGTGTGCTGCGCTGTCTCACAGACAGTGGCACGTTTCTCAAACTTCTTGATCATGTCTGACAATGGTTTATCATCGCCTCCACTCTGATGGGAGATTTCGCCTGCACTATGTGATCGGACCTCAGGATCTAAATACGCACGAGGTCGAGGGGAATGTGTGCTCACAGGTGTGCTTTGTGTGAATGGTGGCAGTGGTGGTTTAGCCGCAGTAGCGCCGGACTCGGACTTCGGGGAGGTGCTCCTGCTGTCCTCAGTTTCCCTTTGTGATGCATCTCGTGCTTGCGCTGGATGCTGGGACTTTATCTTTGGACTCTGAGCAGGTTTCCCGTGGACTGTAATATCTACATCTTGAGTAGCCTTGTGCACAGGACCACTCTCAACTTTATACGATTCTACTGATGTAGGCATTTCTGTACACTTCATCACAGTTTCAGTCGGGGAATATTCATCATCAATGATCTTGGCAGACTTGACGAGCCTGGGTTTGTCCAGACCTCGAAGCCGCTCTGGAATGGGTTCATCAGGGGTCTCAGTTACTTGTTGCGACTGGCTGGAAGCAGCACCCTCAGAGGTTCTACTCACTGGCTGCTTAGCAACACACGTCTCCAAAGTGGGAGACCCCTTCTCCACTTTAGGGACATTTAACTCAGTCTTTGATATATCCTTGGGCAGAGAAACAAGTGCAGTAGGCAAACTAAGAGTGCATACTACGTCAAGATTATCATCATGTATAGAAGCTTCGCGTTCTAGAGGCGTTTTCACACTTCCTTTCGTGGTTTGCAAGTGTTTTTCAACATGGTCAGTGGTTTGTTCATCCTGTTGTAAAACAGATTTGGAATGAATTCCGTCCCGATCAGCAGACGACACTGACACAACACCAATGTAATTTTTGAGTAAAATTGATATTTTATACTTATCCTGACTCATGCTCTTTTGCTTGTCTCTCTTCTTCTTCTTTTGCTTGTCTTCATACATAGTGGAACACTTGTATCTCCTTAATTGAAGCTCCTTCAATGTAAAATCACTAATTGGTACTCACCACGAAGTTGCCTCCCTTGCCCTTTGGCGGAACAGGTGTCGCCACCCTCTGGCCTCATGCTTCACTCTCTCCTGATTTTGCGAGCCCAACACTTGAATTTACAGGGAAATCCAAAGTGTTATGTGGGGAGGATGGAGGGTTAATTCATGAGTCAGGATAAGTATAAAATATCAATTTTACTCAAAAATTACATATTTTTCCTTATCCTGACTCATGCTCTTTGTTTGTAGAATCCTACGGAAACGGAGGTGGGCAAAACAGAATACTTTGGATTTATAGAATTAGTGATTTATATAGATTTAACTGTAATAACTCCCTACGGAACTTCATAAAGGCATAGACTTAGGATAATTCCTCTATTATAAGCCATAGGTTATAATGCCATACTGGGGTATTTACATTATAATATACTGAGATATTATAAACAACAATATCAAAGCCACTCTGATAGAGAAGCTATACCACTGAACATATATACATACTGCTAGAACTCCGTGAGTTATAAGCTAGATAATGCATGTAACAATTATGCATATTAATCTCGTGAAGACTACGTGTTAACGCTATTTAGGGACTGTCAACTGCTGTGCGAGGACCAAGGGACCGAAATGGTGAATGCCTGAGACGCCCTCGGTGGTGATATCTCTCAGGTAGTGATTAGCAAACACCATGTTAGATTTCCAAAAGCATCCTTCCATAATTGTATTCAAAGAACAGTTACCGTAAGGCGAGAGTGGAAGCTAACGCCTGATTTCATGGGGATTTGATGCTGTTGGAGGGTCCAGTCCTGCTGCCTTGTAGGCTGGCATGACAGTTCTTATCCATATAGATATGGTGGTACGAGAGACTTCTGTCTGAGTTGTTGCCGACAAGGGAATGAATAATCGCTTGAGAAATCTTCGCCTTTGTTTTGGAACGTCAGAATAGATTTTGAGAGCTCTGACTGGGCATAGAGATAAGTCCAGTGTATCTTGAGATCCGAGAATGGAGGATAATGCAGGGATATGAAATAACCTGTCTGGTTGACCTGGTAGTTGATTTTGGCGATGAAATCCCATCTTAATCCCAGGTGTGCTGTGTTTTGATTGTCATCAAACTGTATCCTCTCATAATCTAGTGCGAATTTCCGACATCCTGGCTGCTGTGGCTAGAGATAACAGGAAAAGCGCTTTTCTGTGAGAGAAACTCAAAGTTTGTCGATTCCAGCGTTCATAAGCCTCACTTGTGAGGTGTTGTAACACTATATTCAGATCCCAAGCTGGGGCGTGGAACTTCCGCTTTGGTCCTCCAATCGAAAGCCCGTGAGTAAGGCCAGTAACTCTGGAGTTCTTGTTAATCTAACACCCGCTCTCATGGTAATGACAGAACTAAGCTGCAAGATATGTTGACAATGTCGAGCCTTTTAAATGTTTGTTTTGCCGTAAGTAACACAAATAATCTGCCACTTGTGGATGAGTAGCATCTCTTGCTGTAAATCCCTTTATTTACCGCGTAATTCTCAAAACTGTGCCACTTGTCGCCGCATTGCCACGCGGTAGAATAGCGTAAGGCAAGCGCGGACCGCTTTGCCACCCTGGTAGAATACCCTCTTGTTTAAACACATTTTAATACAGTCCATAATGCGAAGTTGGAATACTTCTGGGCTTCCGCACCTGTTTGGTGTGTGGATGTATTAATAGATTTGAGCGCTTTGGGTAGCTCTAGTGTTGGTTGACCGATTTCTTGAATTAGAATGGGAAACCACGCTCTGGCCGCCAGTAGGGCTGCACCAAAGTGAGTTGGAGGCTCTGTGTTTGTCTGATTTTCTGTAACACTTGAGGTATTATTGCTGGCGGCGGAAACGCCAGCACGCATTGAGGCCTTCCCAGGATATGCTTAGAGCCGCCCGCTGCCCATGCTTGTGGGTCTGGGACTGGTGACACCTAATGTCGGTAGCTGATTGTTGAAGCGCGTTGCGAATAGATCTACTAGCGGCCCCTATTTGCTTGATTATCTGTGCAAATATTTCTGTATTGAGCATCCATTCTGTCGGTGACGGTTGATGTGGCCGAGAGTGCGCCTGCTAGTACATTCTTGGCTCCGGAATGTGACATGCTCTGACATGTAGGTTTAGATCGTGGTATTAGATCTAACAGTTGAAAGCTTAAAGTCAATAGGTTCAGTGATCTTGTTGAACCTTGTTTGTTCACATAGAACGCCACTGTCGAAGTTGTCGGTATGAATCATTGGCGCGATTCTGTAGAATGTTGCTCCAATGAAGTATGGCGCTGATTACAGCTTTCATCTCTAACATGTTTATATGGAGCTTGCTTTCTTGCTGATTCCATAACCCTGATGTCGTCCCCGTTGGCTTAGATGAGCTCCCCAACCTTGGAGCCACGCTGCCTACATATAGATGGGTTTTGAATTCCTGCTCTTCTAAACAAATACCTTCGCAAACATTCGACCTCCTGGTCCACCATAGTAGATGAGGTCTGAGACGCTTCGGTAGACTGAATGGTTGTAGGTCGCCGAGATGTGCATTGATGAAGACCTGTAATGGGCGAACTGTAATCTGCCTGAGACTGTCATGTCTTGGGCTGATGTGAGGAGACCCAACACGCCTGCCATTGTCGAGTGTGGTAACGGAGAGAGTAGAGCTGACGGAATGGTCTGTTGGATCTTGAGCCAACGGTCTTCTGGTACGACGATACGGTTGTGATTCGTGATAAATCGAATGCCTAGGAACTGCAGATCTTGGCGATGGTACTAGGTCCGACTTGAGTAAGTTTACTAACCATCCTAGCTGTGTTAGTAGCTTTATGATGTAGTTTAACTGTAGTTTGAGATGCTGTGGATCTTGATCTACTTGTATCCCGTCGTCGAGGTAGAACGCACTGCGAGCCCTAGACGATGTAGATAGGTGACAATAGGTTTCGCTATCCTCGTGAATAGCCAGGGGCTGATGATATGCCTAATGGGAGTACTTTCCATTGGTAATGTAGCCCGCCTAGTGTAAATCTTAGATATTTCCTGATTCGGATGTATCGATATGTAGATAAGCCGCCTTGCAGATCTATACTGGCCATGTAATCCATGGGGCTTAATCAACTGTCAGAACTGAGGAAGGTGTATCATGCTAAACTTTGGTGGTTTGGCGAGATAATTCCTGCTGAAAAAGCTCATGTTGTAAATGAGTCTGTATTTCTCCTTGGAGTTTTTCTTGGGTACTAGGAAAACTGGGGAGTAGAAGCCTGGTTCGATGTCTACTTGATCTAGTACTTCTATGGCCTGCTTGGTTATGAGTGATGTAACCGCCTCTTAACTTTGGTAGTTGTTGTGCCTGTAAGTCTAACTTGTAAGGGTTGACTGTCAGCGGAGGCGCGGGCCTGTAGTGGGATACGAAACTGCGGTTGAAGAATGTTGGAGACATAAGGGTCTTTAACATTCCCCAGTTCTCCCAGTGTAGTTGGAGGCGCCCACCCACTTGTGACGGTTGTACTGGAACGGCTGGGGTGGAAGACTCCAGTCGCTCCAACCTGTCTTTCAGCGCTTATAGTTGCGGAACCCTCTGGGTGTCCTGCCTCTTCCTGACCCTCCTCTATAGTTGCCATATGGGCTTAATTTAAAAGAATCTTTCCCTGGCTGGCTATCTTCCTATCCCGCGGCTTTCTGTAGTCCCGAACTTAGATCTCCCTGAGTATCTTTGTGAAGTCTGCCTGATGACGCTTTGCTAGCTGTCCATCGACTTGATCATAAGGACTTCTCTGGAGTCCTTAGTGACTTCCTTGGAGACTTTGTCTATTCCTCCGCCAAAGATGTTTGGGGATGACCACGGGCTGTATAGAGTGGAGCTGTAAAGTTCTCACCCCAGCTGCAGGAAGCGAGGGAGGCCTTGACGACGAAGCTAAGGTCAGTGCTGCTGAGACAGATGTGAGATGATCTGTAAGGAACTGCTGGTCCTTCTTTGCATCAGTAGGGCCGAGTAGATCATCCTATCATCTTCAGAGGTCGTGATACGTAAATCTGGTGATAAGTGTCTCATTGATCGCTCTAGATCTATTTAGGCCAAAGAACATGCGCCTCGCCATGTTTTCTATCTGCACCAGCTTCGCATCGCCAATCTTGTAGTTCTTGTTCTTAACATCGCTGATCAGCTTGTAGTTTTCATCGATGTCTTGTGCCTTCAGGAAGGGGTCCATGTTGTGCGTGGAGAACTTCTTAGCTGAAAGTTCGGCAGATGTGGAGTCTGCACTTTCGTGAGCTTTAATGAAGGCTGTATCTAGATTATGTGGCACCGCAGCAATCGGGTCGATCGGAGGTAAGGTGATGGCGCCTGCATCGCCTTCCTTCATCAGGTATGTCTGCGCTGAGTTGCCACTCTTGGACGGTGAAGATAAATCTAGGTTGTTTACCATCCAATATCTTATCTCAGCGCCTGAGAAGATGATGCCTCCATCATCTTCTGTACCAGCATCGGAGATGAGAGGTTGATGCTCTTCTGATGGTGACCTCTGGGCTGCTATCTCTATGTCGGGTGACACTCGGGAGACCTGAGTGTAGACCTGTGTGCCGACTTGTGTGATGACCCGCGCAGGTGATGTACGTGGAGATCGGGCGCAGTGAACGGCGTGGAGATCGCCTAGGTGATCTGGCGCCTATGGGAAGACCTAGATCTGCGAGGAGAATGTTGACGGCTTCGCGGAAGCTCTTGAATAGTCCCTCGACGCCCTTCTGGACGATGACGATCTGTGTGACGGCCTTCGCAGCTTCCTCTGCGCCCGACCTGGGGAGCGGCGCCTTTGACTTCCGCGGACGGCTTCCGGACGCCTGGTGGTCTGAGTCTGCATCTGAGGACGAGGCCGAGGGATGATGACGATCTTCTCCGCCTTCGCTGAAGGCCTTCGCGACGACTGTACATCTGCGCCCTTCGCTGAGGTGGTCTGTGACTTCCTTCTCGGCTGCTTCGCCGTGGCTGCTACGCTGACTGGGGGTGCCTCTGGGGTATCGCCTGATGCTGCTCGGCCCTGGGCTGGCTGCTTCCCCTCGACTGTAGTGGCCTCCATCATGGTCATGATCTGCCGCAACAGCTCGCCTGGGATGGTCTGGCGACGGCGAAGTCGGTGCCCTCTCTGGCGATGACAGCTGCTGACCCTCAGGGAAGTCGCCTGACATCAGTGTAGAGGCATCAGGCTGCATGGCGATCTCTGCTGATGTCACTGTAGCTGTCACCGGTCGCTTCTTGTGGCGACGCCAGGGATGATGATCGGCTGATCATCGTGAGAGGCCCAGTTCGGGCGGCTGGAACAATCTCGCTGAGAAAGTTCTTGACGACTTCGTGACTTCCCCTTAGATGTCGACGCTGCCCTGGGGTCCGGGTCTGCGCTGGGAAGACGCCGCGGGTCTCTCTTGACTTTATCTGCGATGACGGGACGCCTGGGGAGGCAGGACGCTTCTTAGCGTTGGCGGACTGCATCCCACGCCTATCTTCCGACGGAGTCTCTTGCGTAAACACCAGACGGGAGGGGGTCTATCGACAGCAGCTGACTGGAAGGGGAACTGGCTGTATCGCCATGTCTAACCCTTTGTTTGCGCGGACCTATTCGCGGTACGCCTCACGACGCAAAGATATTTATGAAAAGCAGAATTGATAGATTAATGCAGTAACTGCAACGCGTATCAAACGCACAAGGCGAAAGCACAACTAGGGCATAATACATGGTCAGCAATTGAAAACGTGAAATTGCAAATAGTACAGATTTTCATCAACGTAAATACTAGCTGAACAATCACTTAACTCACGGAATAAACAGTAGAAATAATGATTAAATATCAATGCAAATTAATGAAGGATACTAGCTATACCTCTATAGTAACCTATAAGAGGTAATAAACTAAGAAAAACCAAAGGATATAGTGTGTAAGGAGACACAGGCGCTCTCACATCCTGCTCACTGGGCGAAGAAGGAGAGAGTGAAGCATGAGGCCAGAGGGTGGCGACACCTGTTCCCGCCAAAAGGGGCAAGGGAGGCAACTCGTGGTGAGTACCAATTAGTGATTTTACATTGAAGGGAGCTTCAATTAAGGAGATACAAGTGTTCCACTATGTTCGCAAGAAGAAGAAGACAAGCAAAAGAGCATGAGTCAGATAAGGAAAAAACTAATATACCATCCTTTGCCCATATATAGACTCATAAAATTTATCATCTGTAAATACTCATATACCACCCTATATCCTTACATACACTTGTATATCACCCTTTATCCTTACTGATCATATAACATCCTTTATCCTTACATACACTTGCATACCACCCTTTATCCTTACATACATTTGTATACCACCCTTTATCCTTACATACTCATATAACATCCTTTATCCTTACATACACTTACATACCACCCTTTATCCTTACATACATTTGTATACCACCCTTTATCCTTACATACTCATATACCACCCTTTATCCTTGTATACACTTGCAGACCACCCTCACTGTTCCCAATTACTTTCATCTTCCACCCTCACCATATTAACATAAACCTGTATACCACCCATCATGAGGTATGAGGGATCTCTATTTGGAGCTAGAGGAATTGATATCAGCATATGAATATCCACAGGTACAATTTTAGCTCCACAGGATTTCTTCCTAGGCAGGTTTTGCGTGTGAAAGTCAACTATCAACCTACAGTAAGAACAGCATGTATACAGAGGTTTTTTTAGTACTGCCGTATTAAATACATAGTTGTCTACCCAGTATTTTGACTCACCTGTTTTTGATGGAATGGAGTCACGTTTCTCAGCCGGCTGAGAGCTGTCATCACTGGAAGTCACTTCTGTTTCCTTCAAACTCATGAATCGCTGCAGTGGTGGTCGGTCTGCCTCACGCCCCTCCACCTGAAACAACATAAACCACCTGAAGTTGTCTCCCACACAATGATTGGTCCTTGGAAAGGAGAGACCTGATCCATCCAGTTGGCCACCTGACAGTCAGCAGACATTGAAAGTATTAAATCCTCATTTATACCCCCAAATATCAAAGACAGCTCCAGTTTTGCACATTGCACTCTCTGATTATATTCATTTTTGAGATACCGGGATCAGATATGCTAGTGGGAACACTTTGGTTCCATGAAATCTCACTCAATGAGATCTGGCTGGATCAGACTGCATGAAGATCTGACAACCACTCCATAAAGGGGTGGTACCCTGAACAGGCTTTGACATAACATCCAAAATTAAGAATGTATGTCTTCTGCAACCAACAATTGACATAAATTATCAACAAGCACAGCTTCAGTTTTTGGCACATGGCTCTACCTCAAGATACAAAGATCCTTCTAGCGCCTCACAGGCAGCTTGGGTTATTCAGGTAATAATAACCAGATTCTGATTACAGCGTCCAGTGAGCAACTAGTCAGATGAATACAAGGCACTATATAAATGAATTATTATTATTATTATTATTATATGCTAGTTTGAATGCCTTGGTCTCTTGTAACCAGAATTGGGAAGCCTCAATGCTGATTGGGAGTCCTGACTCGCCTGACACAACTTCCTATGGACGGGCCCGACAAACCCTCATGCAGAGATTCATCACATGTTGTATTGAGAGAGATGTTTGTATTGAGATTGGGTCACTTTATAACTAGGATGAGAAAGTGGGGACTATCTTGGCCATGGCTTCACTATATCTCCCAATAAGTTATGAAAAAAGAAAGTCATTAATGCACTCAAGACTTACAAGGGTAAGGTAAATATAAGGCACATTTCACAGAGTTACCAAAATATATTTTGCTCATCATTACTATAATATGCTGTAATGAAATTATGCACATAACTTTTCCACAGGAATGAATTTTGAGTAGCACCAATATATGGATAAAACTATGTGCCGCACTAATTAAATACAGTTAAAACTATGAACAGCACTAATATACAGGAATATAACTGGGAGCAGCACTAATAAACAGGAATATAACTACAAGCACTAATACACAGAAATGAAACTAGGAGCATCACTAATAAACAGGAATAAAACTAGGAGCATCACTAATAAACAGGAATATAACTAGAAGCACTAATACAGGAATATAACTATGAGAAGTAGGAGCACAGTTATAAATTGATAAGCAGCATAAATAACTGGATATAGACGTACCAGAGCTGCACTGATAAACAGAGATAAAAATACAAGCAGCACTAATACACAGGAATATAACTAGGAGCAGCAATAAAACAAAGGAATAAAACTAGGAGCAGCAATAAAACTAATAAAACTACAAACAGCACTAATACAAAGGAATAAAACTAGGAGCAGCAATAAAACACAGGAATATAACTAGGAGCAGCACTAATAAACAGGAATAAAACTACAAACAGCACTAATAAACAGGAATAAAACTACAAGCAGCACTAATACACAGGAATAAAACTAGGAAGAGCACTAATACACAGGAATATAACTACAAACAGCACTAATACTAAACTAGGAAGAGCACTAATACACAGGAATAAAACTAGGAGCAGCACTAAAACTACAAGTCGCACTAATACACAGGAATAAAACTAGGAGCAGCACTAAAACTACAAGTCGCACTAATACACAGGAATAAAACAACAAGCATCAATGTTAAACTGGAATAAAATAGGAGCAGCACTAAAATACAGGGCTAAAACTATAAAGGGAAAACATATTGTCTGCTATTTGTATAGAGTTGCACTTACAACAAACATGATCAGAAGTTTTACACATTAAACAAGTAGTATATCTAAACACAAGACCTCAATTGCAGAAATTCTGAAATTTTAAGTCTTTCACAGAAACATGAATACTATCTTGAATTTAACACAGAAACATTAATACTTTCAAAGATGTTATCAGATTTGATTTATTGACCGAACTTACATGATTTGGTACACCATAACATTTTTCAGCCTACAAGGAAAAAAGAACCAGCGTCAATGTTGATTGTCATGATATGACTGATCTGCAAAAGTAACCAAACCAGGAGAACTACGACCATCTACAGCAAACAAATGAGGATCAGCGTCAGCATGCTGACAATCTCACCACTCTAACCCCTCGGTCCGCGCCTCCGAATGTGTTCCACCGTTTGACGGTGGCCGGATGGCGAGACTCCTGGTACTGGTAGAGCTCGGACTCGCGGCGGGTGATGTCGGCTTGGAGCAGCAGGTTGTTGACTTCCTGTAGCAGCAGCTGCCTCTTGATGTCCATGATCTCCTTGTTCCGCTGCAGGTGACTCAAGCGGAGGTTGTTCATCTGGAGCATGGACGCAATGATGGAGTTAGTGTTGTGTCACCGTCACCAATATTACAGTTTTATCAAGGCAGGTGTACACATGAAGGGCCCTGTACACATCAGAGACCCCTGTACAAACTAAGTCTTTTCAAAGCTGCTCTCCTTATGGTCAACTAATCATTTTCATTTTTGTCAAGTAGAGGTAGTTTACCTGTACATTTAAGAGAACTAAACTGAATTTGGAACTGAATACCCAAGAACATCATCCCCAATATCTGCAACTTATTTCAGACATATGACAGATTCCACCCAGTAAAGCATCTCCATTTATAGACAATATTATAAGCTATATAACGGAGGCATCTCCACTGAGAACAGCATCTCTATTCTCAGATATTACAAGTTGCATGAGTCAGACAGCTTTACCAGGATCAGCTGCACCCACCTGGACTTGCAGCTGCATGGCCTGGCTGTACAGCTTCTCAAAGTTATGTAGAGCAGATGACTTCTGTGAGGCCTCGCCTGAAACACAGAATGACTTCAACTGCCAATACCCAGCAAAGCCAGAGTTCCTGTTCTTGAAGTCAGTTATTCCAACAGATAAACAACAATGGAAGATATTGAAGTTTTGGCTACCCAGGAACAAAGGGACATAATATACTACAAATACTTTTGAAAAATCCTTTTGATGGACTACAGCGGTGTTACTTAATCGGGCATATGAACCAAAAAGTGGTATAGTGTTGAATGGATAAAGAGAACAGACAGTCTTGCCTGAAGCCCAAATCTAGTAAATTCTACTTGGCTTAGTAGTGTAAGAGTCAACAAAAATCTAATTAAAACAAGAAGACAAAGTCATCAATATCCCCCGCAATGGCAAAATACTCTTCATGATTATGTCTACGAGTTATGATTATGTCAAATATTTAGGTGTGTATATAGAAAAGTGGAAGGAGAGTATTGAAAGGTTTTTAGAGTTCTGCTCCAGAAAGGAGCACTATCACCAATTTCAGTGTATGTCAAACTTGTTGCCATGGAACGCCAAAAATATTTTATTCAGAATTCCAAAACTACCAAAAGGCACCAGTACACCACCAGACCAATCTATGTGCCAAGTTTGGTGAAGAAATAGTGAACGGTTTTAGAGTTCAGCTCCGGAAAAGACAAATGTGCACGGACAGACAGACCGTCATTTTAATACCCCCCGCAAAACGTGTTGCGGGGGATAATAATTTCTAGCCATGCTGGGACTAGTAGGGACTTGTTTTGGGACTGATACACCTAATACAGAGAGTGCACCCAACTTACGTGACTGCGATGCCTGTAACAGCATGACCCTCATCTGCTCCACCAGCTCCATCAGTTGGATGCTGACCAGTTCCTCACCCTCTATACTCTGCCACTTCCCAACCTGCAACATGCCACAATACAGTCACACTTCCTGACTGTATAGTACAATACCTGTCTCAGTCAACTGTATTACTCACATGATCTTATACTGAATAAAAGAGGGAGCTAGAAAAATCTGCTTAGATTATTATTCCAACCAACCCAAGTTAATTAGTTAGCAAAGACATGTTTCCATAAGACATGTGAGTGAGTGAGTGAGTTAATATTTAACGTCACATCGGCAATATCTCAGCCATATCGTGACGAAAACAATTTATACAATGAAAAATGAAAACATTTTGGAGAGTAAAACCTGTCGACGTTGGACAGTAAAAATACTAGAATATCACATATATGAACATAAAACTAGCATGTCAAACTAAAAGATTTAATTAAAGAAGATAATACAACATAAAACACTGGCCATAAGACATGTAACCCAGTGACTGACATCATGAGCATCAATCTACAAAACTGGGATACAATGACATGCATCAACCAAGTCAGTGAGACACCCTATCCTGTTAGCTGTATTTCAATCAGGGACATAATTTGATGTTCCATGCAGGAGTTATCTCCCTTTCATTTCGGCACTGGTGAAATTGTTGATGGAAATATCCACTTAAAATACAGACTCTGTACTTAATATCAGCTCCTTTATCTTACCACTACACACACTAATAGCGTCTGCGGTTGGGATTTCAATCTCTTTTAAGCTTTTATTTAGCTCCCAAATACCTGCCACACTCAAAAAGTTCTCTCATCCTCCAAGGACTTATAGTATGACCAGAAATTATTGAAAATTTTAGGAATATGTTTAATTGGATTTCTTGTACAAACAACCTTGACCAGCTATCAAGTGCTTGGTTTCATTCAAGGGAGACAACTCTGTTAATCCTTTTTCATTAGTTTGTGAAGAGTTATCCCCCTTTGTTTACTTGCTAGCAGACGACATTTTCAGTGATCCTCAGTATGGATGATTTAGAAAAGAGGAAGTTGATTTTAGAGTATTATAACAAGGACATCAGATCAGCTAAAGTGATTTCAAGTAGAACAGGCATCCCTTTGTCCACTCTTTATCGTGTTTTGAAAAATATTGCAAATGGATATGGCATTGAGCATCAGGGGCAGGCAGGTAGGCCCAGAAAATTGACTGTAGGTGACAGGAGGCAGCTTGGTATTCTTGTTTCCAAAAACAAATGAAGGAGTTTAGAAAACTGAAGGCTGGATATGATTGATAGAGGAACTGTGGCTGTCTGTAAGGAGACAATTAGAACTGAGCTGCATGAAATGGGTTGGCAGAAAAGTCGAGGAATTCCATCACCGATCATGAAACCTGAACAAAAGGAGCGAAGGTTGAACTGGTGCTTACAGCATAGAAATTTTAACTGGGACAATGTGATTTTCTCAGATGAAAGTTCTGTGTGGCTGTTTTCTAATACACTGAAATTCTGGACCAAACAAACTGAAAAATCTTTGTATCAGCCCAAAGTACAGTCCGAAATTTAACGTGTGGGTGGCATATCTGTGTTAGGGGCAACCCCTCTGTGTATTGAAGGGAATATGAACAGTGAGTGGTACACAGATATTCTCGAGGGACATTTACTTCCATCTGCTCACGTGTTCTATGGACATTTTTGATTTTCCAGCAGGACAACGACCCAAAACATCATTCAAAGCATTCACAGGCCTGGTTTCCGACCCAAAATATGACATTATTAGATTGGCCAAGCTATAGCCCTGACCTAAATCCAATAGAAAATGTTTGGGGACTTATGAAGGAAAGTGTCAATAAGAAAAATCTGACAAATATTGCTGAAATGAAAGAAGAGGTGGTCCGATATTGGGACAGCATGGACCACGACTTTCTAACTTCTTTGATCAGTAGTATGCCCCGCCGCATTGAAGCCTGCATTGCTGCCCATGGTGACTTGACAAAATACTAACTGTTCACTTGTCTTTGAATCTGGAGTTATGTTCTGCTAATATTCACATTTAATATGTGAGTAATGAGTGAAAAAATACAAAAATTTACAATCTTTAAATTCTCAATAATTTCTGTTTGTACTGTATAAGTTACAATAGGCAACTGGTGAGTTTGATTTGAGTCCTTTAAAAGCCATTTTGTTTGTTTGCAAACTTGATCTATATTATATATATATTATTTTTTAAGGTTATGGCTATCTCAATTACATAGAAACAATGTCTCATTGTCATACACAGTGTTTTAATTAGAGGGTTTAGTTTCCCATTCACGGCTATTTAACCCACGAGGCGACTTGCATGTGTATGTGTGTATCTGGGTTCGAACCACCAACATTCTACCTTTCAGACACATGTAATATTTACTGCATATATACTTGCATGGAGGTGGTCTGTGTCAGTAGCACCTTTCAGTCCAAGACTTGACCCACACGGAAATCTTTACAGATTCTTGTAGTCTCACGGGAAAAGAATGAAAGGGAGACAACTCTTGCATGGAGATGGTCTGTGTCAGTAACACCTTCTAGACCTACATTTGACCCATCCTTTACAGATTCTTGTCGACTCACAGCAAAAGAATGAAAGGTAATGAAAGGGAGACAACTCTTGCATGGAGATGGTCTGTGTCAGTAACACCTTCTAGACCTACATTTGACCCATCCTTTACAGATTCTTGTCGACTCACAGCAAAAGAATGAAAGGGAGATAACTCTTGCATGGAGATGGTCTGTGTCAGTAACACCTTCTAGACCTACATTTGACCCATCCTTTACAGATTCTTGTCGACTCACAGCAAAAGAATGAAAGGTAATGAAAGGGAGATAACTCTTGCATTGAGGTGGTCTGTGTCAGTTACACCTTTCAGATCTAGACATGACCCACACAGAAATCTTAACAGATTCTTGTAGTCTCACGGGAAAAGAATGAAAGGGAGACAACTCTTGCATGGAGATGGTCTGTGTCCGTAAAACCTTCTAGACCTACATTTGACCCATCCTTTACAGATTCTTGTCGACTCACAGCAAAAGAATGAAAGGGAGATAACTCTTGCATGGAGGTGGTCTGTGTCAGTTACACCTTTTAGATCTAGACTTGACCCACACAGAAATCTTAACAGATTCTTGTAGACTCACAGCAGCTGTTTCCATTGATTCAGCCAGCTTCTCGCCTACGCCATCCAGCTGCTTGATCTTCTGCTCGAGGTCAGCCACAGTGGCCTCCAGCGCTCCGACCTCTAACTTCACAGCCTGGGGTTGGCCCCCTCCTGAAGACAACTGTTTTCTGTAGCGGGCTGCAGAGAAACACAGAACACTTCAGTCAGTAATGATATGAAAGAGTCGTTTAAGTCACAACAGTGGTGTCCCTTATGACCTATCAGTTTGCAATTGAAAGGTATCACAGTACAATGTTCAGAATAACTATGTCATGTCTTAATCTACTTCATTCATTTAATTCAAAAATTCATGTGATGTACATATTATAAAACAGAATGTTTTTGTATGCATTGTTCTGATTTGGACCAAATCAACTGATTGCCTAGCCTAAATATAAAGACAAGAACTCTGAATTTGACTGAAAGTAATCATAGTTCCTGCCCCTCTTGACAGATCAACTTCAACATATCTTGTTGCCCATAATCTGTTGCTCACCATGCACATTGATAATGTGGTTTCAGAGAAGATTCTTAAACATTTTCAAATTTCTACAAATCCGAGGTTCACATGTCCAATATATTTAAAATATCTGGTTCTTGTGGAATCTGAGATTATGAAATCTGAATGTCTAAGATTCCCCAGGAAAAGAGTCTACATGCTAAGAACAAAGCTAAGTTCTAGTTAGGGGCTGAACATCCACTTGAAGTTTCAGGTTATCTCTCCAACAGGTTAAGAGGAAAATGTTGGAGTGAGTGAGTGGGTTGGGTTTGACGCCGCTTTTAGCAATATTCCAGCAATATCACGGCAGGGGAACACCAGAAATGGGCTTAACACATTGTACCCATGTGGGGATTCGAACCCGGGTCTTCGGCGTGACGAGCGAACGCTTTAACCACTAGACTACCCCACTGCCCCGGAAAATGTTGGAAAGTGATGGTCCGCCTAACAACATATCATGATCTCACTTAAGACTTTCAGTCTGAGTGAGCAAAAAATGGCCATGAAACAAATTACAATGAACAACTTGATATACTGACACTGATAGCACAACACAGCACAACAAATCATCATGAATAAATGAAATGAATATTTACTCAAAAGTGTTAAAATGTAATTGTCACCAAATTTTCGAAAAAGATAATTTTGAATGCTATGTTGGCTACTAGTTATACACATATCACCAGCAAGAATGTTTTCTTAATTTCTTGTTGTAAAGAGATTTCAAACAGAATTAGTATTGAAAATTCAAATTCTAGTTGTTTTTAAACTTCTCAGTGTACATGTCAATTGTACTGTACACAAAAGAAATGCATTTGTAGAATGGCAGTGAAGAAACTGTTGACATTTGCAAAGGAAGAATAAACTGGACACATATGGCAAACAAGAGTAAAAATACAGGAAAATATCCTTGCTTCAAATAAACAAATAAACAAAAAGAACAAAATGAAAAACTTATACAGACCTCATAATCACAAAGAGATACTTATGATCTTTAACATATACATATCTCCCAAACTGTCAAAATATTGATTAAAAAAAGGTGATTTTCTTTGAAATTTGACAAGAAATGTTTGATATTTCTATGTAAAATTCAGCAGTATCTCTTTTTGACATATCTCACAGAATATATGAAGGGCTCCAGTACCCATCTCGGTCGCATGTTCGTCTCGGACCAGGGAAAGCTTTTCGTTGAGGTCAAGAACTTCCTCCTGAATTGCTGCATACTCTAGTTCTTTCCGCTGGAGCTCCTCTAGAAGTTGGAGATTTGCTCGCTCCAGACTGTCAAATGAATCGACACTGATTGCCGGAAATCAGAATCAAAAACAGGTTAGTGCACGATCCACACGAAGACATGGTCCCATTGCCCTGGGTTGCCGCCATGGCGGCGCCGTTGAAGGGGAACAATAGGCATGCCTTCAGGAAGGAGGGAGAAATAAAAAAGACTATAAACAGACACAAAATAAATGATAAATGTCACTACACATGTCTGGATATGGAGTTGATATACACCGTATTCACCATGATAACACCCAGGAAGGTTGAACTGTTCGTTCAAGCTACCTGCCCTCATTCTCTTGGTTTAAATTTCTCTTCTCCAAAACATTTTGAACACGTAAAGGATAGATTTAACTTTCCCAAAAGACACCAATCACTTTATTTTTCCAGTCTGTTCACTATGCGATAAAGTCAGAACTAGGTCAGAACCAGGGCCTTTTTCAGAAAGCTATCGTAGCGCTACAACTGTCGCAAGTCTATGTTACAGTATAGGAGGTACGACAGTCACAGCGCTATGACAGATTTGTGAAACAGGGCCCTGCTGACTGATCCAGAAATATTTAATTGATTTTTTTTCATACCAATCGGAGATAAACCTCCTGTAAAGTACTAAAACATGATTCTGATGACTGGGTCAGAACCTACAGACAAATCCTGAAATATGCCATTGATTTCTTCATCCGAAGCAGAGTTACACCTCCTTTAACATACTAAAATTTGGATCTAATGACTGGCTCAGAACCTGATGTCAGATCAAGAAACATTTAATGGATTTTTTTCTGCCCTCTAAGAGTTACCTCCCTTCTAATGTACCAAAATGAAGATCTGATGCCAAGGTCGGAAACTGATGCTACAGATGGATAAATTTTGTTGAAAAGTCATCTAGATGCTACTATGTTGAATACGGTTGCTACAGGTGACTATATAACATCTACTGCTACAAATAAAATAGAACAGAACAATGTTCTCAAAAAGTTCAAAACTAACCAATACTAAATACAGTTTCCCTGAGAACTAGGAACAGACAGGTACAGGTAACAGGACCCTACCATGACAACCACATACATAGACATATTGTGTACAGATACAGTGGATAGATGTATATAGATATATTTATTACTATCATGCAGTTTAGTATTAATTTCTCTAATAATCTAATGTTAAAAAGTAGGATATAGAATTTGTAATCAAAGCTTGGAAGTTTTGATGAATGCAGCACGAAACGGGGTTGTCGAATTACTTCATCACTATCAGGTCAGTTCCAGCTGTTCTTCAACTACATGACAGAGTTGGTTAACAAATAAAGACTTGAATTTACAACATGTTATAATACTGTCTTTTTCAACTAATACCTTGCCATTTTTCAAATAACGTCTTAAAATGTTTCTATAATCTAATTTCTTCATTAATTCAATTACACAGAAATTTACTCCTTTTGAAGTAAAATTGAACAAGATTTTTATAACATATTTGAACAATTTGATCACCACCAGTTTGTTCTTTGATTTGCTTACAATAAAGTATCCATGCTGTTAAGCTGGTATATACACATAGGTATATAAAAGTACATAATTAATTCTTAATAACCTGGATTAATTGATGTACACAAGAACAGACTTTTTAGTATTTGGTTTAAACTTTTTAAATTCTATCAGTAGATTGAATTTTCTTTTAATTTAAGAATCATTTCAAATCATATGAATATTTGTTTTTCTTCAAAACATTATTTGAATAAGTTGTCATGTGCGCTGCATCAGTTAAGCTGACCTTGTCATTTCTAAAATACCTATTGTATTTTTGTTACCATACCAACCAAAATACACATCAACTATTTGCAGTTTATGTTCCTGGTAACCAATCATCTGAGGTAATGACATATAAGACTAATGATTTTATACAACACTGTTGCAATTTTGTGTTTGGTTTCTCTTCAAAAGGGCTAATGATGGACAATCAATAATTAGTGAGGCATACAATTTATTGGATAATTGTCGACTCTGTTGACTCTTAAAAGTTGTTGTGCAGATGACATTACTTGGGGACTGTGTCAAAAACTACATATCATTTCCACATCAAATTCATCATGCTAGTGTCTTATGTCATGTATATTGTCACAACTATCTGTGATCATCTAATCCATGCTTTGAGGAAAGTAGCATTCGCAGGTGACAAAGAGCAATCTAATGAAAACAACTGGTAGGAAATGGTATGGGATGTTTTTGACATGGTCCCTAATAGAGACTTTCAGCTATTGGCTACTTCTAACTGGGTGAAAGATATATGCAGTGGGTCTGGTAATATACAGGGTCTGCATTTGGCAGATATTTCACACACCATGATGACGACTATTACCCAAACATATTCCCCCATCCTTTATAGAATACGTTTATATCACATAAACTAATCTAAAACATATCTGTTCTTTAATGAAATAATAATCAACATTCAAAAGCTGATCTATACCCTAAACAAATACACACTCACTGAGAAGATTGAAATATATTTAAGAACTAATATCTTTCCAGAATTCAAAATTTGAAAATCACCCAAATCCACACTAATACAATATTCTTATATTTCTCAACAAAAAGAAAATTAACTAAGCTTTTAGTTATGTGGATACCACATCAGACAAAAGCATATTTTAATGGAAAAACTAAACTCTATACTAAAAACCGTTATATACCACTCTCATATATTGTGTTTATACACTGCAAAATGCCAGCCAGTAAAATTGCAAGTCCATCTAACTACGCGCACAATGTTACATCTGGCACAGTAAGATGTATATTGTTTGTGGCCATACTCCAGCATATGTGTGTGCTCCACAATACATGAATACATTCACATACAACTCACTGTCAAATATTCTTCGCTGAAACAATTATCTTTGATTCAGACTCGAGTGTAAGAAATCAGTTACATTATCTCTAAGTTCAACAAGCTGTATGGCGATATTTAATTCGATGGTATCATAACCTGTTTGATTCAGTTGTCTAAAATTTCAATATCTTTCAGGAATCTGTACATTTTCAACGTTTTACTTCACAAAGACTCTTAACTGATGCTATATCTTTAGGGCATCTCGAAACCCATGTGTTTGATGAGTTTCTATTTTGGGTGAAAGAGTTCGGTTCCATTTTAAGCAAATATTCCTGCAGTCACAGCAGGCTTCAGCACTTTTACCAATGTCCAGAATCAAGCCTGGTCTTTTGGTGTGAGCAAATGCTTAACCACTAATTCTCAAACGTTTGAAACTTATTGGTTACGTCAAGTCAGAACCTGCTTTCAGGCAATACAAATATGTCATAGTTGTCACCCAAACACTGCCAACATGTGTCTGTTGATAACACCTTAAACAAGACCAATAGACCAACTCAGCCAATAACATGCTTTATGATTGATGGCGCTCGATGAGTACATAAATTTGGTACAAGATATAATTCCATGGTTCTGTTCCACAAAACAAACAATTGTAAGGCAATGTTATATTATGGGAATTACGATCACCTTAGCACTATGATCGCCTGGTGGAGAGTTACGATCACCTTAGCACTATGAGCGCCTTGTGGAGAGTTATGATCACCTTAGCACTATGATTGCCTGGTGGAGAGTTACGATCACCTTAGCACTATGATTGCCTTGTGGAGAGTTACGATCACCTTAATGATCGCCTTGTGGAGAGTTACTATCACCTTAGCACTATGATTGCCTGGGGGAGAGTTACGATCACCTTAGCACTATGATTGCCTTGTGGAGAGTTACGATCACCTTAGCACTATGAGCGCCTGGTGGAGAGTTACGATCACCTTAGCACTATGATCGCCTTGTGGAACAGGGCTCAGATAATACCAACTTAGGTCCTCACCAAACATTCCAAAAGATTTCAAAGAATATAAGACCCAATCTAGTTAAAAAATAATAATAATATGATTTGTATTATTTGTGAATGACTACAGATAGTGTCAGGCTGGACTAAAGCTGGAGCTCACCTGGCAATGTTGGACTTCATGATTGTGGTGCCCTCCTCTGTGATGCTGGTGTCGTCCCCGACGCTGGTTTCCGAGGACTTCTCTATAGGCGAGGTCTCTTCAGGGGAATCCCAGTAAGGCTGAAGAGTCAATGGTGGAGGTTTGCTGGACTTGGGTCTGGCGCCTTGACCCGCTCCACCAATGGCTCCACCTGTTGGTGAGGTTTGGGGTTCAGATTTAACTGTTGCTGTTTCCTGAGCTTCTCGCGATTGCTGTAAACTTCGTTTCTGAGCTTCCAGGTAGATGGCTGTGGAGATGTCATGTGACAAACCTTTCATCACCTCCCATTCATGAAGCTTCCGAGCGAAGTCTGCGGTGACCTTGTACTCTGCCATTGGACTAATGATGGGGTTCCGGAAAGATGATTCATCCGACTGGCTTAGCCTTCCCTTCATCTTTTCCAACTTGGCCTCCCGCTCTAATGCTCGGAGCCTCTCTTTCTCAAGCCTCATCTTCTCTTTCTCGAGCTTGACCTGTTCACGTTCCACCTTTTGCAGGTCTCGCTCGCGTTGCTTCTCCATTTTTTCCTTTTCCTTTTCTTCTCGGGACTTTTTACTTTTCTGACGTTCGTCTTTCCGACTCTTACTTCCCTTTCTCTCTATCTCAGGACTTCCTTCTTTCGTTTCTCGGCGATATTTAATTCGCTCCCACTCTTGAAGTTTGCGACTGAAACTTTCGGTTATTTTTCGCTGGAGGTCATCCACATTAACAGACGGACTGACATCGGCTGGGGTGATGTCATCAACTGATTCCTCCCCAGAGCTGTCCCGACTGTGTGGTCGATGTGGAGATGAACCTGTAACAAAAGTCGGAAACTCTGAAAACTACATCCAAGTTGAATACCGATAGTTGTCATACGATGTCTATCCTGAAAAGAAGGAAAATATATGAAACTATCATGTGAAGTACACAAATATATATTCAGTCCAAGAGCCAGCAGTAACAGCTACACCAGACAAACACTTTCTCAGTTCACCCTCAGTTTTGCCATTTAGGAGAGACTGTTCAACTTTTAATTATTGATCTATTTGTTTTTTTCATTTAGTTTCAGGAGAAATTGTAAAAGACATTTTCCAGATAAAGTATCTGTTTTCACCAGGGTGGAGCACCTTCGAGATATGCTTGGTTCCCTGATCAGAGAACCTTAACAGTGTTACAGAGATAGGACGAGGATGGATTTTGTGTCTATCTCTCTCCTGTATTTCAAATCACACTCGTGAGCACCTGTTATCAGAGGAATTCCAAAAATGCTTCTAAGCAACTAGTAAGCCCTCAAGAGTTCTTGAAAACAACATGGTAACACAACACAACCATAGCACCTTCTTGAATTTAGTTATGTAAACACTGTTCCAAAGTCCCATATTTTTTTGTATTTCTTATGATCAAAGATAAAGCAAAACAATCAAAATTCCAAACACCAGATTCCTTGAATCAACTTGACTCTGCTTCGACACCACATTGACTCAACCTCGAATCTACTTTGACTTTACCTTGAATCAACCTTGAATGTACCTTGAATCACAAAAAGAATTCAATGGAATCCACAAGCTGGAGAATATTCTTGGTTCTTCCAGAGACCACAGTGTACAAAGTGATAATGTCAGTCCACAAGGCCCCACCTCATCCAGAGAAACATGCAACTGGCTGTAAATGCCTCAATGTCTGATTACTCCGTCCAATGGCAACCACACTTGGAAAACAAATATTTGAAATGTTTCCAGGAGCAAGACTGAAGGATGATGGCGAAGGCTTGCACTTTGTTCCTTCCTCATTAACACACTGTGTTCTTATCTCCGACTGCCTCACTACAATCTGTTTCCAGTTCACAGACGCATCAAGCTTACTCTCTACCCCAGACAAGTCGACATGTTCCCATGTGTACATTTAAAAACATTGCCAATTTCCATGTCCAATTTTATGCCATACCCTGCACTAGTAAATCAGCTTACCCAACCTCCGTACGTTGGTAATGAATGTACACCCTGCACCTGCGTTTAAAGTCTTAATTAAGAACACGTACATATATCTTAATCAAATTATTTGGTTTTCAACCATAAACATGTTTATTATTTCCGTCAGTTTGAATACCTGCCAGGCATGATAGTGAGCAAGGGATATAACTATATCTGAAAAGTTGATAAGCTTCCCCGTCGTAAACTGTAAACAAACTCCTCACCACGATTTAACATTGATCCAACGGAGTTCCTGTTGAAAAGTTTATTGCTTACAACACAACAAGAAGGAAGGCCTCAAATTACTGTTTTCGCAAACATAACAAGGTCATTAACTGAAGGTCAGTGACACCCAGAAAAGTATACAGCAACGTTGTGAGATAATTCTTCAGGCATGATCAGATAATTCATAACAGACATTTCCTGGCTTAATAAAATACACCATCATGAGACCTTCTACCAAGAAACTCACTGGAATGATACTGTCCTGCACATTACTGCAAAACCTTGGGAAGACAATTTATCAAAAAGAATCTACAAAATAAAATGTCCATGAAGCTGCATACCAAATCTAAAATAGGGGCGGTGGGGTAGCCTAGTGGTTAAAGGGGTTTCTCGTCATGCCAAAGACCAGGGTTCAGTTCCCCACAAGGGTACCATGTGAGAAGCAAATATCTGGTGTCCCCAGCCATGATATTGCTGGAATATTGGTAAAAGCAGCATAAACTAAATTCCTCATGATATTGCTGGAATATTGGTAAAAGCAGCGTAAACTAAATTCACTCACTCACTCAGTGAAATAAAATTGAGTGAGGATGGTTTTATGCTGCTTTTAGCAATATTCCAGCAATATCATGGCTGGGGACACTAGATATGGACTTCACACATTGTACCCATGGGAGGAATCGAACCTGCTTTAACCACTAGGCTACCCCATCGCCCCTCACTGAAATAAACACTAAAACATTTACTGACTGACTGAGTTTGGTTTTACGCCGCTTTTAGCAATATTCCAGCAACATCACGGCAGGGGACACCAGAAATGGGCTTCACACATTGTACCCATGTGGGGATTCGAACCCGGGTCTTCGGTGACGAAACACTTAAACATTTACGCTTTAACCATTAGGCTACCCCACCGCCCCCGAAAACATTTAAAAGACAGAAAGTATTGTGTTCCAAACGATTTCATAGGCCAAATGTTAGTTACATTGATGAAGTGGACACCTTCATTTAAGCAACAAAAAAACACAAATGGACAGAACAAAAAAATCACTGCCATTACCTGTCAGGGAAAAAAAATCAATATACTATTTTTTATTTCCATCTAAATAAACTTCACAATATGAGACTGCACTGATCACATCCAGCTGAGTGTCTGGGAACACAATATCAAATTGATGTGTTTTTGGCGGGCACAGAGGCAGCAGGCTGTTAATTGCCTGCTGCGATGACCAGTTATGATCGGTACAGAGCAAGTCAATCTCCATTATTGTTCGTATAGTGGAGTCTTCAAAGATGTTGCAATGTGGTTCATAGAGTGAAGAGTTCATAATGTGTGCAAATAGGTCTGGCGGGATCGGTCTAATAATTGTTGTGGGTCTCACATGCACCCAGTCATTACTGACTGCAGCTTTATTTACACCACTTGCACTCAGTGTTCATATATTACTGGAATCAAATTTAGCTTGACGTGTCCTTACTGAAAACATTTGGATTAATAATCTTGTTTAATGTAGCTTCTATTAGATTATTGACAAATCATCAAATTTATGGAATCACATAGTTGCTTTTTCAAGCTATTAATTGAACCTATTTCATCATAAGAACAGAAATATCATTAACGGACCACAAGTACCTAACACATTGACTCCCCAGCTACCAGTATTGATTCAAAGAACTTCCCATGATGCATTTCAAAAACCTTATCTGAGATGAATGTCATATATATGTCCCAAATCAGTGAATCCATATATCAATGGGACAAGACCTATTTCAATGGTTATTTAAGGATGAAGCTGCTATAATTTGGCAAAAGCAAAATAGATTACTTCACATTTTTTGTTTCACAGATTTATCTTCTTAAAATTCCTGTTTAAAATATTGTTTCAAATGCCTTTTTAGAAAAAATTGTTATAAATCAAACAGAAAAGATGTTTTCAGTTCCCATTCCCACTTCTGACACTGGCTTCATGAAAGTCTGTAACACCAACTCCTGAACTTGTTGGGCCTGATGAGTACATATTGATTGCTCCATCTGGCCACAATAAGGACTGTGGCAGGAATTTCCCAGCTGTGTTAAACCCACATCCACTACCATCATTACTGAATCAAACAGATAGTTGCTCGTGGAAATTTGGTATTTTCCCCCTCTGGCTGAAGTCTCCAGGATGTTGGCGCGTATCTTCGTATCTTCCGTGTCTGTAGCTCATGTTTATCAATTGGTGTCATTATTTTTATGATATCAACTGTCAAACCCTGCATAGATGACTGATGTGATCTTCTATCAGTAGGCATCAGACAACCGATATCATTCCTATGCATAAGCATTAAATACTGATAACAATATGTCTATCATTGCAGTTCATGTTTACTAAAACTGATGGAAATAGCTCTAACAAAGGCAAATCATTATTAAAGAAAAGAAACCTCTATTCTGAAATATTTTATTTTAAGATTTCTTTCAATGGGAATTTTTATGTCACATCAGCCAACAGCAATTAGATCAAGTAAATATATGATACATACATGGATTAATAATGTCTTTATTGCTACTGCAAACAAGTTCTATATGCATACATGCCCTCCATACATAGTACTCCAACTTCTAAATACCTCTCAAAGACGCAATTAGAATTTCTTAAACTCCTAGAACTTAACTCAAAGTAGTATATTACAGTTTCAGACTAAACAAGGCCAAACAGAAATTCAGAGTTTATACACCCATGTTTCACTTGTCTTTACCTTACTAACAAATATTTACCAGAAAAAACATCAACTGTACGCAGATACAGAAGACGTACCAATATATTTTCATAAAATGAAATGAAGATAATAAAAACCCTGGTGTTTTACAATTAATCTATCAAAAAGCTGAAATATGAAATATACATGCAAACTGGAAACATGTTTGATTTTGATAAAGTTCAATTTTATCGCTACTTATACAAGAAGCAACTCACCTCTAACTTTGCTTCTGTCCGTAACCGTGGAATCCAGGGATAGAAAGGAACTGTCTGGGGTAGTGACGCTGCTCTCCTCCATAACTGCTGTAAAGCAAGTACAACAATCACCACTTGTCATCAATACACCGTATGGTTCCTCAGATATGCCATAGCCTCATCACACACCGATTACGACTGTCAATATTTTTTCCGTCTCTTTTCCTTATCATGCAGTTGTCTGTAGAAATGCAAGTGTTTATAATGCCAAGGAAAAACTTTGACGAAAAACTGGCAAGTGTTCTTCAAAAGCATCCAGATTGAGAGCAATCTGCTTCTGAGGCAAAGAATTACAGAACATCTCAGTACTAGAAACAGGATGAAATACCAATCAGAACTTTAGGAAGCAATTTCCATCATCTGCTCGGCATAAACTTCCATTTCCTGCGACAAGGAGGGGGGGTTTAAACAGAGAATCGGGTAGTCCATTTTGTAGCTTCTAAGGCAGATGATACTCGGCTCAATTGGTTTTCAATTACTTAAGTCTAATCAGGTACCGGGCTGAGCCAGCTCCATGATGCACCAGCATTTGTGGACATGGATTTCAGGGGACGGTGTACGACAGAGCGAGCACTAAGCCTATCCCAGTGGCCACAAATCAATTCTCGCGAAATGTGGATTGTAGTTTGGTGGCTGTGTGGCCAATGATACTGCTCCTGGACATACAGCTGTCCACAATCAAACGTATTTAATACAGATAAAAAATCCATTCTATTATGAAAAGTGGGAATGGAAATGATCTGTGAGTGACGTTTCATCAGGGAATCCCAATTGTATAGGAAAATGTACTCTGGAGGAGACTGTTAATGATATCAGGAAGGAGGACTTGAGACGCAACGGAACTTTCATACCCTGGCTACAGGTTACAGTTTCCTAGGCAAACATCCTCAGTAGCATCACTTATTGTGTATTGTGTACCACAAGTTGCCAGCTCTTCTGCGTAGGAGAGAAACCAGTGACTTGTTCTGTCTCAAATGAAACCTTTTGAGGGAATATTTTTTTAATGATCTTTACAAAAGAAAACTATTTTTATAGTGATTTTGGGGAATTGCAACCAGATTTCCTTTTTGTCATTTTTTTAAAACCCAGTAATGCCGGTTTTACAGGATTTACAGAACAGCGACTAAAATTACCATATGCTTTCACTGTACTGACCATGGTATTGGAGTCTCCTGAGCGGAGATATTGGCATTCATTCTACTGGTGTATTTTAACTCACTGTTAATGGTATTCACAGTATTGTACAGTTATAAAAGACTCAAAGGGATCACTAATTTCAGGTCGTTTTTCGCATTTCACCTAAAATGCAGAGCAAGTAGCCAGAGAAATATACACTGTTCATTATATCCTTGAGGATGTTACATGCATGTTAATTATAAATAAAATTTACTGCATTGGTATTCACTATACTAAGGTATTGGTATGTTGTTTACTGGGATATCATAATTTTCTGTACTCAGGTATTCTTAGTCAACATACTGGATATCAGTATTTCTGTACTAAGGTATTGGTATTCACTATACTGGGGTATCAGTTTTTCTGTACTAAGGTATTGGTATTCCCTATACCGGGGTATCAGTATTTCTGTACTGAGGTATTGGTATTCACTATACTGGGGTATCAGTATTTTGTGTACTGACATACTGCTATGAATTTTCTGGGGTACAGAAGTATTGCTATTCACTGTACTGGGGTACTGGTATTCACTGTACAGAAGAGGTAATGGTATTTGCTGTACAGAAGTATTGCCATTCACTGTACTGGGGTATTGGTATTGACTGTACAGAAGAGGTACTGGTATTGACTGTACAGAAGAGGTACTGGTATTGACTGTACAGAAGAGGTACTGGTATTGACTGTACAGAAGAGGTACTGGTATTGACTGTACAGAAGAGGTACTGGTATTGACTGTACAGAAGAGGTACTGGTATTGACTGTACAGAAGAGGTACTGGTATTGACTGTACAGAAGAGGTACTGGTATTGACAGAAGAGGTACTGTACAGAAGAGGTACTGGTATTGACTGTACAGAAGAGGTACTGGTATTGACTGTACAGAAGAGGTACTGGTTGACTGGTACAGAAGACTGGTATTGACCCTACAGAAGAGGTACTGGTATTGACTGTACAGAAGAGGTACTGGTATTGACTGTACAGAAGAGGTACTGGTATTGACTGTACAGAAGAGGTACTGGTATTGACTGTACAGAAGAGGTACTGGTATTGACTGTACAGAAGAGGTACTGGTATTGACTGTACAGAAGAGGTACTGGTATTGACCCTACACTGGTCCAGTTGTTACAGGACTGGCCTGATTCAGTGTTCCTCCCACTTCCCCGTGTTCCAGTACAATAGTGGTTTCAGTGACATTTCAATAATGTGTTGAGGGTTTCTTGAAGAAAACGTCAGCTGGACTAACTAGTTTACCTAACTTCAAAGGAATTAAACTTCCTAATGTTTGTAACCTCCAATGTATATAAAGCACCTTTCTGATTAAAATGCCGACTCCCATATAAAAAATCAAAGACGATAGTTTTTGTACAGTTTCCCAATGCTTCTAATAAGACAATATATATTTTTTAGCTTTTCTCCCAATGCTTCTCCAAATGTGAGACAATATATTCTATTGCCTTTCTCCGATGTCTCTGTAAAATCAATAAGAACGTGCCCTGTTGAATCTCAAATAACCCACAGCAAAGAAAAGTGAAATTGTTGGCATCAAACTCCCATTCATTGCCTCTCCAGTACTTCACAACCAACATACAAATGATTCTCTCCACAGTGATGTAGTCGCCCATGGTGTGCTTGCTGTCACAGGCGTTGATGGATAGTTCCCTGTGGGGATTGGGGGTTCTGATCCAGGTCATCAGTACTAGAGACCCATACTTGTGTCAAGAGCTGACAATATCATGATCAGGTTCTCACAATATGTGACCAGGATGTGTGGATATCATTGTAACCTGACAAGCATGTAATAATAATAATAATAATAATAATAATAATATAATAGCATATTTGTACCATGCATATATCCATGACTAAGCTTGCTCAAAGCACAAGCTGATTCTTTTTACCCTGGATAACCCAAGCTGCCTGTTAGGCTAGAAGGTTAATGGTTATATGACTTATCCCACCGGGTACCCATTTTCTTCTGGATGAACAGAGGCAATTTTGAGAAACTCACTTCCCTTAGGTGAAAACCACATGTATCACATGTGCTTTGTTGTGGGGCAGGACTGAAGTCCTAGAAATTCTCAGGACTCAAGCTGCCAAACATGGTCACCCATCCAAGGACTCCAAGGTTGCTTAACTTCAACTGATGTAACCTGAGCTCTATGCACAGGACCACACACCTCCATACATCAACATGTATTTTGACACTCATTCTATCAACCACTGGTTCCTTTTGTCATGAATAAATCAGTAACAGATTGTAATGATAAATCTTAGATATTACCAACCTTGCATAAAACATTCGCTCACCCATTCCCACAATATTTACCTTTCTGTGATGACTTCCTCGTCTTCAACGTCTCCCACTCTTGAAGTTTCTTGATATACTCGTCGGAAACACCCGTTGCTGGAATAACAAGTGGACTATCAAAATAGGAATAGATGAAAACATCTAAACGAGAACATCGCATAGTGCTGTTGCTTCATGATTCTCTTCCTAATCTAGCTGCAATATTGCTAAATACACCATAAAACCAAACACTCGCTCAATAGGCATCAGAAAGTTTGCTAAAAATATCCTGATTACACTAATAAATTCATAATTAATATCCTAAATTCAATTGAACCACATGCACTCACACAGTTTAATTACTCTGCTGGGCAACACATCTCGAGTACTCGCCAGACTAGGCAGTGTATTTATAGAGTTCAAACTATTTTTCTTTCAAGGTATGATATCAGAAAACCATGGTAACATTCTGATAAAACCCTTCTGATTCAAACTTTTATGCAAGCCTTCTACCAGATGCCAGATAAATGCCAGATAAATGTCATATTTCAAAGTTGAACTCAACAAGATTTATCATGCATTGCAAACACATGCACTTCAGACATTCAAAAACCAAATATTTGTTTTAACGAAAAAACTACATGAATGGAATTATTTTGCATATCACTTTTTTGTCTAAAAGCCATGACTTCTTTCAAAAAGGAAATCCAGTTCACTCCATCTGATTAAATACATGTTAACACAATTATTCTTCTATTTGCACTTTCCTAACACTATTTGTTCATAAAACTTTTCACTTGGTTTGATTAAATATCCTAACAGAATTTACCATCATTCTGGCTGAAAAGGTCCAAATGGCATTCAAACATCTCTTTCTTAAACACACAAATCTAATTTTTTATACGTTATTGGAATGTTCAGCCATAAAAAGAAGGAATCAATCAATGTTATCAAAATAGGAAACATTTTTCATTATCTTCCTGAAATTTAATGATGGTTTAGAATGCTAAAATTAAAATGTTATAACTTGCTTTCACCTGTCAAGTCAACAAGACATGTACTTTTATTGGAATACTGTTGAAAGTGGCCTTTAACCAAACTCAGTCACTAAACTAAAATTGTTCTCTCAATCTTGATCTCTAACAACATGTGTAACTTGTGTATGTGTTTAATAAGTGCCCCACTATGGCAAATTTCTAAGTGTCTAGGGCACTTATTACAGCAAATCTGGTAACCTTAAAACCATTTCAAACGTTTCTTCATAGACGGCGACCATCAAAGAAGCATAGATACAGGGATCCCTCAGCTTGCATCTCATCTTGTTTATTTACCCCCAATAATTAGTATCAGTATTGTGAATATCAGTCTCCTGGCTTCAACATGGCCACTGGGTGCAAGCACCTGAAGCTAGTTAAAGGGGGGGTACACCTTGTGTTCATTAGGCTGGGATGCTTTGTTTGATGTAGCTATTTTCTGTTACTATGAACACTTGTCTCCTGCAGCATGATACCAATGAAAGTCAACTTTTGCCTGTCTGCTGAAGTGATGTGTGTATTATATATATACCCATACCACAGTATTGACATATGAGTGAGTGAGTGAGTTGAGTTTTACACCGCACTCAGCAATATTCCAGCTATATGGCGGCGGTCTGTAAATAATCGAGTCTGGACCAGACAATCCAGTGATCAACAGCATGAGCATCGATCTGCGGCAATGGGAACCGATGACATCTGTCAACCAAGCCAGTGAGCCTGACCACCCGATACCGCTAGTCGCCTCTTACGACAAGCATGGGTTACTGAAGATCAATATTCTAACCTGGACCTTCACGGGTCACTTACATATGAATATATTATCATATCAGTGTTTGAACTGTCTAATGAAAAAAAATTATGTTTCTCCCTCCTTGAGTATACTGTATGTTGAAAGGAACGTATATTTTTCAAATGAAATTAAATTTGTCCTTATTAATGTTTAACTTGACAAAACTGAAACAACCTAACTCTCCTAAACCGAGACCATGTTGACTCATTTACAGGTATAGAAATATATGTTTCACAGAGCACTCATAATGATATTTGTGTGTGCCCCTCAAAACTTAAGGGTGCCAATAAGAGTGAATGAGTTCAATTTTATGCCGCTTTTTCAAAGCAATATCACACCAGGAAAAAAACAGAAATGGCTTCACACATTGTGCCCATGTGAAGAATCAAAACCAGGTCTTCAGGTCTTCAGTGTGACGAGCAAACTCTTAACCACTAGGTTACGCCACTGTCAATAAGAATACTTATAATACAAATCATCACAAACAAATATGGTCAGTAAGACAAATATAATGAAGACATTTAAACCGTGAAGTCATTTATAGACACTAACACCTTGATCTTTTCATCAAAAGCTGAGAACAATATTTTCATCTTTTTGTACAATTTAAAAACTAAATCATTGAAAATTGATGCCCTGATCAAAGTGCAATTCCTCTTTTACTTCAGTTATAAAATGGAGACAGTCATCTTTGTTAAACCCTTACCAAACAGCAGCAGAGCATCGGGCTATTCTGCCTGAAAGGGCATTTCAACATGAAGGATGTCAAATTTCTGTCCAGAGGTTCCAAAGCTAGGCACCAGTGTCAAAATGTTAAATGAAGCAGCACTTTGATAAAACCACATTGATTTTTCATAAACACACTAGTGACAGTTTGAATCAGGGAAAATACCCTCAACTGAACTAAACACCTCAGTCCTTCAGAGATCTGAGGAAGCAGCGCTCCCTGTCTTCTTCAATGGGGATGAGGACTCTGATATTGTTCTAGGTTCTGTTCTCTTGAATGGTTCTATACTTTGGGGAATTCAGTTCTTGATTAAAGATATTACGCTTTACACTCAAAGACAGATGTGAAAAAGCATATAATGCTCTTGGGAATGAAAATCACATTCTATTTCACAGGATAAGGTAGAATTAGTCATAAATATCTGACTTATGATGATTGATCTTGATCAGAATGCCACCCTACCCCCTGTGATTCTTAAAATAGAACCTAGATATGCCTCACAATGTCAGCCATGTTGTGTCTTTGCATAAGTAACCGAGTAATGCTGTTTCATGCTGGAGTCAGTATACACCACCCACCAAGAGTAACAATTAAGTAACAATCAGTAACAATTAAGTCAAAATGCCAAGGCCTAAAGCAAACATTCGGAAATACAAAAGAAGTCTTGGATAGTTTGATAAATATCCCCAGATAAAGTTGTGGTATGTTAGTTTCTTATTTCACGCTGCACTCAACAATATTTCAGCAACATGACTGCAGGCTGTAAACAATCAAGTCTGGACCAGACAATCAGTAAGTGAGAAAATGATACGTTATCATACAGTGAGGTCTATGTCACTTTTATTGGCAGAATAGAGTAATGATCCCCTACACCATTCCATGATTTCACAGTAATGACCAGATCAGTCAATGTAGCCATCTTATCCCTATTTAATTGGTTGAAACACATCTCATCTCATCTTGTCCTTGAATTCCCTCCTTGGATCTATTCTGTCCAGGGAATCCCTTGGAGGACTTATTCTGTCCTTGAATTGCCTCCTTGGATCTATTCTGTCCAGGGAATCCCTTGGAGGACTTATTCTGTCCTTGAATTCCCTCCTTGGATCTATTCTGTCCAGGGAATCCCTTGGAGGACTTATTCTGTCCTTGAGGACTTATTCTGTCCTTGAATTGCCTCCTTGGATCTATTCTGTCCAGGGAATCCCTTGGAGGACTTATTCTGTCCTTGAATTCCCTCCTTGGATCTATTCTGTCCAGGGAATCCCTTTGAGGACTTATACTGTCCTTGAATTGCCTTCTGGATCTATTCCGCCTATGAATATCTTTGTCCACCAATTCTGCCCTTGAACTCCCCTTGGATTTTATTGTTTGGTATGTTTTTATGCATATGTCAATCAATATTCTGTTTTCCTTGATTTCCTGTCGTAACATTAGGAAGTGTTTGCAAGAGCATCTATATCCAGAGGGCTCCAGAAATAATTATAAATTGCCATTCATTTCCAGTCTGATACCATAGCTCAGGGTTGGTTGGTTGGCTTGTTGTTTAACACCACACTCAGGATTATTCAAGCTATATGGTGTCAGTCTGTAAATAATTGAGTCTGGGCCAGACAATCCAGTGATCAACATCATGAGCATCGATATACACAATTAGGATATGATGACATGTATCAGCCAAGTCAGAGAGCCTATTCAATTTCTGAATCGTAACCTTATATTATGAATCATTTCATGACTTCTAAGAGGGCCCTTTAGGCACTGGGAACTTGTCTTGACCATGATTCCCTTACATGGAATTTTTACCCCTGGCACCAAACAACATTTGCAGTTTGTTGGCGATGGACATGTAAGTTCACTTTCAGCAGAATACAAGAATACTGCTTCACAATTTCGTCTATTTTCACAACTATAGAAATCTATGAGGTGGGGTTTAACATCACAAAATTATTTTACTTAAGAGTAAAGTATGTGGTGTATTGTACGAGTCAGTTTAACAGTGACAACCCACTGATCTATATGCAGCAGTTTACCATGGACACCCGACACATTATACTCAGAGCCAGCCGGTATTTCCATTATCCACTTATTGCCAAATGCGACCCGTGAAGATCCGGGTTAGAATGGGTTTTCAGCAACCCATGCTTTTGGAAAGAGGCAACTAATGGGATCGGGTTCGCTGACTCAGTTGATGCATGCCCCAACTGCATATATTAATGCTCATGATGTCAATCACAGGATTTTCTGGTCCCGACTCGATTATATACCGACAGTGTCATATAGCGAGGGTGTCATTAAACAACAGGCAACCACTGAGTACTGTCAGGTAAGGTAACAAGTACCATCTTCTTACTATTGTCGGGGCGGTGGGGTAGCCTAGTGGTTAAAGCGTTCACTCGTCACGCCAAAGATCCGGGTTCGAATCCCCACATGGGTACATTGTGTGAAGCTCATTTCTGGTGTCCCACGCCGTGATATTGCTGGAATATTGCTAAAAGCGACGTAAAACCAAACTCACTCACTCTTAATATTGTCTGATTTATGCTGCCTAGGATTGAAAGTAGACCATCCAATCTGGGCAAACACTCTCTCCACTGCACCTTGGAGGTAGTTTCACGGTAATGAAGAGGTGAACAAGTAAGTATAGAAGTCCCACAGTAGCCAGTCTACACAACAGTAAGATGTCTCAACTTCCTGCTGTTTTTTGGCATGGTGGTCAATTTCCTGCCTCATAAAAATGTAGTTGTCCATGCCCAGTTAGCTTTTAATGGGCATTCATCACAGTTGGTCTTTGATGTTGGTGAAGATCTTCGAAGAAACACCTGTGACGCAAATCTGCCATAGATTTGGTAAACTGAAAACAACACCCATTTGTCTCAGCACTTCAGGAATGTAGGGTAACTACCACACCATGAACAATTCATACTCCATCTTCAGCTGCTGGAACATGCAATAGCATTGTAGGAAATGGCTAAACAGGAGTTTTACAACACGAAGCATCAAATCGAATGACTTGGAAGTCTACACAAAATGCTAACAAGGTTTTTCTTCCTTCCTGAATGACCTGACATGTTAAGATTGCTGCATCCCCACCCAAAAACGGTAGAAGTTTTAAAAAACAAGATGGCCGCCCCCATGCTCCTGACAAGAACACCACTTTTTGTTTTCAGTAAAAGGACACTTTTAATTAGATATATTACAAGGTTAAGGAAGAATTTGTTTGGTGATTCACCAATAGAGATGTTCGAGTGACAAATTTACATATCGTCAGCAGACTTTTCTAACAGGAAGAACTGTGGCCTTAGTAGTGATGCAGAAAAACTGATCATAACTGTAAATGGATAAAGGAATGTGATAAACACAGGTATCAAAGTAAACTATATAATTCCTCCCTTTACAAAACCCTATATTTCTCTTTTCATGGTCAGATGGTTAGATATTGGACACTAACATATGAATCCACATTCCACTAAAATTCAAACTAACGAAAAAGTCAATTTCGAGTAACCATAGTTAATATTTTTCAACATGTGATAAACATGTAACATAAATATTTTTTTAATTATCTGTGAGCCACATTACTCTTCTTAATAACTCATCCTATTAATGAAAGTCAGTTATATAAAGTGCACACACATCACAGCTCAATCACTTCTTTCAATAAACGGTCAAATAAGAGCAAATATAAATGGCAGTTTAATTTAATACAGACCTCTAAAATCAAACTCATAAGTGCATGAATGAAATAAAAATTTTGCAAAATATTCCTTCATATAATACTAATTTTAAATGGTGGATTACATCCTCTGCCATACACCTGCTGTTTGGCATCCCAGGTTTGAAGTGCCTATAGGCTATCATTTTGATAAATCTCCACATTAGATTACAGCACTGCACTCAAGTCACCAGCACACTTCTTCCCTTAAAGAATACACATCCTCTACATGCTTCATTGAAAATTGATCAAAGTCATCCCGTTTCCAGCGTCTTTGAACATCCCAAAGCTGAAGGCGAAATCTGCATCAAAGACGCTTCTAGCCTTAAATACATGAGATTGCGACACCACTTTGTTCTCTGCAGAGCTGTGTGGTTTCCAGGAAGTGAGGGACTTTCTATACAAGGTTTTATTAAATAGGGGATGATACACTTCTACCAAGAAATGAGAAAACTACAATTTCATCAGATACTTCCCATAATAACTTTCAACCAGCAGGCTCCAACATTTTGTCAGTTTGAGAGTATCTTTGTTCAACGGTGAGGAGCATCTGGGTATTGATTTTGGAAATGCTGGCTCTTCATAGAGAGAATTAAATGGGTATGTTATTATCAAATAACATGGGCAAAGTCACCTCTGGTATTCAATCAGGTAGTGTATTTCCTTATTCGAAGAGAATAAGAATAACAAAATAATCTAAGGTTCCAATGAGCTGTAGACCTTTTTAGCATTCAATCAAATTTCTTTCACATAAGGGGCAGTTGGGTAGCCTAGTGATTAAAGTGTCCGGTTGTCACACCGATGAGCTAGGTTTGATTCCCCAAATGGCTGCAATGTGTGAAGCCATTTCTGGTGTCCTCGCTGTGATATTGCTGGAATACTGCTACAAGCAGCATAAACCCATGCTCACTCACTCTGTCATAATTCTTAAGACATAATATATTTTTATACCATTCTTTTTGTGAGCTTCTGAGCAGTATTATAAGCATGAACTATTTAAATCATCTCCATACAGCATATCAACTGAACCATTAATGCCAAAGAGGTTTCATCTTCTTGTTTCACAGACTAGCTAGAGTGCATTGCCAAAATATTAAGGAACCTATATCCATTTCAAGTCAAATGATATCATGTGTGGTCTGAGTAAAGATATGACAACTTTAAAACAAAAACTTCCATGCGTTTAAGTACGGAAATGTGATTTAAAACAGGAAGTCCCAAGTTAAATGAGAAAGTTATATGCACTGGTGTGTTAATGATATTGCATTGGGTTTAAAGACATCAATCACTTCAAGGTTAAGAAAAAAATTAATACACATTAAATATTTGTGAGTGTATAACCTTTAGAGGTCCATAGAGTCCTTTGATAGAGTTCAGTTTAACTATAAATCTACAGTATATACTGCAGATTGTAAGTAGGTCACCATGACCTATTTTTGTTGAGATTGCCATCAATTACACTGGAGGATCCAGGGGGCTATATATTTGCCAGACTTATTGCAAAATGGATGAACTGAGGTAAACAAAAAACCATCTTTGTGGTTCTGGTTAGACCTACTCATAGCAACTGCATGCAAACAATAAATATTCTCTAAGGCCAGACCAATTTTATTTCTTGTTTTACGGATATTTGTCCTCAGAAAACCTAAAGACAGGAGGGGAAAAAAATTAAAATAAAATCACCAGTTTAAGTAATATTCCTTCTAAATATTAAAAGTATTTTGCTTCTGGCAATTTATGAAGTGTATATGGGGCAAAAAAAACAATCCAAAAAAAGGTTTTCTTGTAAGTTTAGATTTTTGGCCAATAAAAACATAAGGATTTTATTTTTTGAGCAGGGAAAATGAATTTTTATTTTTCTTCTTATTCTTTAAATAATACAACTGACGGATCCGTAAAAGAAGAAATGAAATTGGTCTGGCCTAATAAAGAATTTGCCATCCTTACCTAGCAACGCTGCCATGTCCAATGGACTTCCTGAGGGCAGAGAGGGTCTGGTGGGCGATGTCTTCCCCACACTGAGGGTAGGTGGGGATTCACTACAGCTCTTGGAGCCACGTTGCCGTATCGCTATGGGGGATGTGCGTGGGGTTGAACGACTCATCACACCCTCTCCGAACTGGTCACTACGTAAATGTTCATCAAGTGCTTCCGCGTCTGCTTCGGAACACTCACTCACATCTAAGTCACCTTTCTTCTTTTTCTTTAAACTATCTTTCCTTGTATGAATCATATCCTTCACCCTTCCCCAGGGTGTTTTATGTAACTTCTTAGAGTCCCTATCACTAGATTTAGTTGTGGATGCATCATCATCCTTGAGTGTGGAGTCTGATTCTGTACCTTTGTAGCTGGAGGAGCGTCGTAGTCGCCCAGCATCCGTAGCATCCATGTCCTCATCCTGACTCTCACCAAGAGTCGGACTTGACTGACGCCGAGGAAGTGGGACGACTTTAAGAAATTGCTCCCCTTCTTTCACACTTTTAAGTTCGATAATAGTAGTTACTTCTTCACTCCCATGAGATGCTCCACTTTCTTTGCGACTATCATGTTGTTCAATCCAATCTTGTGGACCCATCCAGATATCTGTTGTAAGATCAAGTTCCCGATCTTCGGTCTGGTTGGGAGATTTGCTTGGACTTGGGGGTTCAGCAGAGGACGTGGATGTCCGCGGATGTCCATCCACATCCAGGCTGCTACTCACCCCTGAGTCCAAGGATCTGCCATCCATGATGCGTTGGCTCGGGGGACTGAGTTCTTGTGGTGAGCCCACAGAGTGATATCTCACATGAGTTCCTTTTCCAAACTTAAAACCTAAATCTTCATAAAGTTTTTGCCCAGTTAAAACTTTTTTAACTCTTGCCCATTTGGAACTCTTTGAGGATTTTGATTTTTGAGATTTGTGCCCAAAAAATCCTCTTGTGCCATCTTTGCCACTCTTTGATTTGGTCAAGCCTCCTTTTCGATGACCATGTTCATCTCTAGTTTCATCCATGATCTCCGATGAAACATCTAAAGACCCTGTTGAAAAACTCCGCTTTTTTAGTGTACCAGGTTTGGGTCTTTTAGGACTCTGATCAGACGATGATTCTCCATAGTCCATACTAGCAGCATCCTCAGCACTGGGCAGGCGGGGCCTGGATCTGTGGCCTCCACCTGAATTTTTCGACTCGGGATCAGTATTAGATTTCCTCAATTTTGGCTTAGCCTTTGAAGGCAATGAGCTATACCCAATGGGTAAAGCTTCTTCTCCGAGTGAAGTTTTGGCTTGGAGCAGGTGCTTTGTGCTCTCAAGGTAGGCACACTTCTTTTTGAGATGTGTGTTCTCGTCCCGAAGCTGTGCAAGCTGTTCCATGAGCCGGACCAGATTGTCCAAGTGATCCAGTCCCACACTTTGCCGCAGTGTGCTTGGGCTCGGGGACCGAGTCTTCCGCGCTTTTGTCGGCAAGGCTTTAAACTGCTCTGTAAGTGATTTTTCTTGTTCTTCCAAAAATTCCATAACATTTGAACTTGTTCTCTTTGGTGGCAGCTCCACAAACTGCACTGTAAGCCTACTGCCAGACTTTTCTGTTTCTTGTAATTCCTCCGTATGTCCGTTAGTTTCGGGCACACCCTGTTCAGGTGTTTCTTTTGTTTCTTCTTCCTCTCCCAGTGGACTTGTGCTTCCACCCACAGTTGATGTAGTAGTAGTAGTTGCTGTTGTTGTTGTTGTCGTTGATGATGATGATGTTGTTGTTGCTGGACCGGTAGTTTCGACGGTTTCATCTTCGGTTACGGTCACTATGCAGGGAACCGTGTCAGGGGGTTTGGTCATGGTAATGTTCTTTCGCTCTAGTTTGACGGCCGGTAGAACTTGGCGTTTTGTGTATTTCACATCTACAACCAAATTATCATTATCTTTCCTGTAGGATGGATCTTCTTCCATCTACTACTTTTACTGATACTGCAAGCCTCAAACTGAAAAGAAAATGAACTTGTGTTAGATATAGCAAGAACGAAATGTATTCCACGAGGGGGACGGTGGGGTAGTCTAGTGGTTAAAGCATTCGCTCGTCACGCTGAAGACCCGGGTTCGAATCCCCACATGGGTACAATGAGTGAAGCCCATTTCTGGTGTCCCCCGTCGTGATATTGCTGGAATATTGCTAAAAGCGGCGTAAAACCAAACTCAGTCAGTCAGTATTCCACAAGGACAAATTTTAGAGACAAGTTACTAGGGGCTATGGTGATCTAAGGTACTGCAATTTGTTGTAAAGAGGTTTGTTCTGATCATAGGTTCTCATCCAGACAGTTACAATAATTATCATCACTATCACAATCTCATGGGCTCCACTACAATGGTAAACAGCGCCATTTGGGCTCTGCTCCCACATAGGGCTGGTGGGGTAGCCTAATGGTTAAAGTGTCTGCTCGTCACACTGAAGAAGTGGGTTTGATTTCTCACATAGGTGCAATGGTGAAGCCCATTTCTGGTGACCCCTGCCATGATGTTACTTTAATATTGCTTAAAGCGGAGTAAAACAATTCTCACTCACTCACTTCTCCAACATAGGATGAAATATTGTTCAATGGTGTAAAACCATGTCAGTCATGGCATTACAAAACAAAAAGTATGTGAAACATCCTAAATTGTGATCTTCATAAAACACTTTACCAAGTTCAGAAAAAAATTAACACATGCATCTAGATATGCATTTCTACTGATCATATTTTCATATTGTATACCTGGACCTAATTATCATGACAAAATATAGTCATTATTTGACTGGGTTTGTTTTTTTCAGCATACTTGTATAAAAAAGAAAATATTTCAGTTATTTCCAATACTAGTTAAAAGATTTCCCCACATGACAAACAACAACAGATAAGATTTATTAGTCCTATTATGCCTTCACTGAAAATGGAGAATGATAGGACTTCTGAAAAGAATAACCTGAATGTCATACTTGAGATTTATATGTTTGACTTGCAGTATAATATAATTTAGTATAACTGTTGCCGATGCACTATAGTGATATAAAACCTGTAAATTTAAAAGAAAACAAAACACCCACTATGTTGGTTCAGAGTAAACTTAATATTTCTTTAGGGGTAGGGTAGTTAAGTGGTTAAAGCACACAGAAATCATTGGGTTTGATTCCAAACATGGTTCCAAAGTGAGAAGTGCCTTACTGACACGAATTGCTGTATATCGTGTAAAGTGGAACAGAAACCATACTGACTAATATTGTTTAAGTTAATGACAAAAATCATTGAATTTGTAAAAGGTATATATACAAACATATTGATATAATATATTGGGTAAGTACTAATAAGTCACAAATAAAATGGCATAAAAACTACCAATAGAATTTTCCTGAGTGATCTGGTTTAAAGTTAAATGTAAAAGTTGTACTCTAAAAATTGACGTAAATTATCTTGAAAGCATTGACGTAAATTATCTTGAAAGCAATCACAAAAGGAAGTGAGAAGACGAACAAAATGACCAACCAACCTGACCCATGGGTCGTAGCTGTTCACATGACTAAGATAACCCACAACAATTCTGACACTGTTCAATAGATTGCCAACCTTTGACATCAAACAGCTGATAAGTACTTTAAACTTACAGGTATGCAGGTATACACTGGCTGCCTGTGACATTTTCTCATTATTTACACCTATTACTGGACAGTAAGAGAGGGACTAGTCTCGCTTCCCTGGCCACGGGCTTCAGTTTCCTTGTTGAGATAATGTGTGATACCTGGTCACATTGTCATACCTCACCTGGACGAACCTCTGCTGGGGTCAGGTGAGGTGACAAGCTCATGAGTCAGGTGTGGGTAAATTCACATGGATGGGAATGTCTGATGAGGTGTGGTGGGTGTTTTGGGAGTGTGTAAATGTGTGGTAGGGTTTCCTATTGGGGGTCGAATCACTTGGGGGGAGTAAAGGGATTTGGGATGAGGATGTTAGAAGATGGGTTTGGTGAACAGTGTATGAGGGTTTTATAGAAGGAAGGTGCATGTCTAGGAGAGGGTGGTGGTGGTTAATTCTTATTTATTATACAATATTACATAAAAGATTTCTAGATATAATAAATAATATAAATAATTACTAATATCTATTACCATCATATTTTAACCCATTTGGGAATGTAATATCAACATTACCCTAATAATAAAGTACCTTGTCTCAAATTGACACAGACATTCCCTGACCTCAAGTTCACTGTAAACTAGAACCAATTTGCTTTGCAAGTCAATATTTACCAAGTCATGTCCCTCAGAAAACCTCCCTGGTAGTCTCGACCCCAGAGGCCACGCCTAATTTACCAGAATCGGTAATGATGTTAGTAAAGCACCCTGCTGACAACACAGTAAGGAATGTCTTTGCAAGAAAATACTAGTTATGACACGAGGACTCCACCTCAACACTGCTTATTGTTTCACTACTCCACTATCAAATGACACTAATTCTGACATTTGAAGAGTCCTCTGTTTTCTACAACACAACAAATCCCATTGGTGAACCCACTGACTCAAGTATGTACTAAGATCATGTTGTTCATAGCTTGGCCTATCTCGGAGACGGTTACGCACAAGCTGATAGCAGCAGCATCATTACATGCCTTACCTGACACTTTAAGGGCGATTGGGTTGAAAGTTTATCATTGCCACTTTCTACGCTTTACTTTAAAATTGATTTAGTCACAACTTATAATTAGATATCATCATCATCAAGATTGAATGTTATATCTTCTACTTTAAATATTAATACTTAGCACATCTAATTAAGAAAGATCTTTCAAAATTTACTTCATTATAAAAATCACACATTATAAAAAAATTGTTTTCTTTTACTTGAAAAGTAGATGAAAAGAATAATTCAATAATATATAATTTAAATTATCATCAACAGTAATATTCAAATAAATGCAAAGATCTTTAGTATTTTGTTTTACTGCAATTGCCCTTACTATATTCATTTTGAATACTTGTAAACTATTTAAATCACTCCCTGATACAGAAACATATTACCATAAACAATTATTTCACGGTGATATTGTTCCATATTCTATATATAAGCTTATATAAGCTTTACCAGCCTAATATTACTGATCATAACAAGCCTTGGCGTATATACAGTGATGAGTGAAGCTTCACACAGAGGGCACCTGCCTCCCTGTATCAACATGGAAAATAGGGATTGCCAGGAATCAAGATGAGGCAGTCAGACTTAGAAATTAAAACTCTTAAAAATATATTTTCCAGACAAAAATAATATAAAGATACATAAATCATGAATTTGTGAATAATTACAGAATCTGATGTAAATACTTTTGATATCATACTGTATTTATACTGTAGTGTATAGATGTGTTACACATGTAGTGCTCCCCATTCCTGGTATTACTCACACTGAGGCAACTAATGGTAGGTTGAGGTGTGTCAGGTCAAAGGTCATGAAGGCTGGGCTGAGGTCCGAGGCAGGTAGTCAACAACTGGGATGGTTAATGTGTCAAGGTCAGAGAGGAAGCAAAACAGTATTAGATTCACAGCTATAGAAAAACGTATTATTTAGTCACATGGCATTGTTAAAGTCATCTGTATATACTGTAGACAACGTGCTCTGTAGCTTTGTCCACTTATTACACATTTTACCATTGTCTTTAAACAAAAAGATTCGGTCTGTACACATGTATTGTGAAATTTGGGATTAAAGACAAATTAGCATGCTCCAAACTAATTTTGGACTTTACAGAATCTTAACTTACTTAAAATACAAATTTCATCATATAGGAACCTTTAATGCAGAAATAAACTCTCCACCTACATGATACAAAATGTTCCATGTTCACAGTTCTCATTAAAACTTCCTTATTTTCCAAAGTTTGTCTATTGCCATTTTTTAAATGTGTAATTGGATGCTAGCATGTTTCCACTTTAGAAGATTTGCCATTTTGTTCATATATCTGAAAGGAATAGAAATATTGCCTGATTCTTTTTATTATGACTGACTGACTGAGTTTGGTTTTACGCTTTTAGCAATATTCCAGCAACATCACGGCGGGGGACACCAGAAATGGGCTTAACACATTGTGCCCATGTAGGGAATCGAACCCGGGTGTTCGGCGTGACGAGCCAACGCTTTAACCACTAGGCTACCCCACCGCCCCTTTTTATTATAAATAAGATTAAGACTTATATGGATACTCTGTACTTATACATATAGGGCTGAAGTAGTGTCACGCAACAACTTCTAAGATTCAAACTTTCTGTGTATAACGGCTCTAGTTATTGTGAGTCGCCTACCATTACAACTGTTATACACCTAGACAGGCAGTAAATACTCATATATCGCAGAGGGAAGAAGAGTGAGTGAGTGAGAGTGAGTATGGTTTTACGCCGCTCTTAGCAATATTCCAGCAATATCATGGCAGGGGGCACCGGAAATGGGCTTCACACATTGTACCCATGTGGGGAATCGAACCTGGGCCTTCGGCATGATGAGCGAATGCTTTAAGCACTAGGCTGCCCCACCGCCCCAGAGGGAAGAAGAACAAGGAGAAGGAATGGTAGCTATGCTGACCTATCATCCCCAATCCCCTCCCCACTCATACGAACCCTCACAGACCGTAAATAGCTGGGTTATTGTTACAAATCTCCTAATGGTAGATATCCTTCTTGGCTTTGTGATGTCTGCACAGAATTGTTTGGAGATGGTAATTTGAACATGAATAATTTATTTATTGTCATAAAATAATTCCTAAATCACAATAAAAAAGATGTTTAATATTGAAATCAATCGTCATTACATCATTTGCCAACTCTGCACAACAACATCACATAAGTGGGCACTGGTGGCAAAGTCATTTAGGTAAAGCGCAGAGTTACATCCCTTAGATATGCCAGAAACCTTTAGTATCATTGGTTTGAATCCTTACTGTGTTTCTTGGTTTTTCAACACAATATTCTCTGCTCATGGGTTTTACAAAACATCAAAGAACTGTATCACTTTGAACTTTCCTTGAATATAACTTGAATACTGTACAAAGCAACATTAAACTTACTCATTCACTCACTCGCTCACTGAAAAATCTGCTTCAGGCCTTCCTCTCATCATCATGCTGACACGCTGTGATATAACTGCAGTTCTGTTCCCGGTGACATTAAACAAAACACACTCACTCACTCACAGTAAGATACAATGAAATATTAACTCTGACACTCACACTACTAACATTACAGCTTCAACCAAGCAGGATGTAGATGTTTCTCATGTTTGATATCATTGTGTCATTTGTTTTTCAAAATAACATGCACAGATTGAAAATTAAGGATTATATTAGTCATCGACATACTACACCCACACCTCTGAACTTTGGTCAGAGTTATCTTCCCCTTACAGTCAGTAATGAGAAACACTTCACGCACAGGGTCGGAAATGCTGTGCATAGAACGGTCGTAAACAGGAAATAAAAGACTTGTTTTGTAGGCCCTAAATAAATGACAGACCACCTGTTCTCATTTACCAAACCAACAGAACACTTTGATTCAAAATTATAAACACAAAATATCTTCCTTTTTTAAGATTTTCTTTTTGAAACACTGTTATCTGTTAAGATTAAGAATAAACATTGATTACAAACAAGAGTTTTAGAAGACAACCTTTATAAAGTAGTATGAATCAAACACAGGCATAACATAAACTGGCTTAATGTTTTAGCAGACAAGGACCAGCCAAAAGATGTGATACAACTTTGTACTATACAACTTTGTACTGGTTATTGGTGCATACACAGAGATGGCAACCTTTATGCTGACTGTGAATACACATAAAGACATGTCTGCATATTAACAGTTTTTGAGGGGGGACAAAAATTATGTTCCCTGCAGATGTTAATGTTAGAGTAATTTTACTTCACAACCAACTTTTACGTAGTCCACTATTTGTCTTCATGTGATACCAAGTACCAGTGAACGCTATACATGAAGTGATGTCCTGTTACAGCCTCTTCAAAATCAGCCACCATCAACATCAACTACATTTAGTAAAATTTAAGTGCAGCCAACAGAAGCAGAGCAGTCATTAAAACAATATCTGGCAACAACTCTAAGTGTCTGCATTAAGTTAAACCTAAGAACACTAACATTGTAATTATAAACAGTGTCACAGATATAAGTTCAACTACCTTGAAATGGCCTTGAATTACCAGGAAAACTTCAAACCTGCTTAAGTGAAGACAAGTTGCATAAAGTTATGTCAGAGGAGGGTCTTCACTGGGGTGGCCCTTGGATAGTTTTAGGGCCTTTAGTCAGCTGGCAGAAAGACTTAGAGCCCCTAGTTGGCATAAAAATTTTGGGCCCTTAGTTGGCAGCAAGATTTAAGGCCCTTAGACAGTTGGCAGCCAGACTTAGGGCCCTTAGTTGGCTGCAAAACTTAAGTCCGTTAGTTGGCAGCAAGGTTTCTGACCTATTGTCAGCTGTTAGCAAGACTTAGTGCACTATTTGGCAGCAAGATTCTGACAGTTTGCGGTAAGTTTTGGGGCACATAGTTTGCTGCAAGGATTAGGGCCATTTATCAGTTGAAAGCAAGATTCAGGGCCTTAATTCAGTTTCGCAAGAAAATTTAAGGCCTTAAGTCTGTTGAAAGCAAGACTTAAGGCCTGTTAGTCCTTTGGCAGTAGTAACTTTACAATGTCTGTAATATGTGACTGGGTCTCAAAATATTATTTCATTAATGAATGGAGTAACAAAGCAATTAAAATATATAATCTGCTTTTGTTCTCAATAAGTCATTTGTATTTTACCAAACATCAGGTATTGATAACAATGCAGTTAAACCCCTGAAGAAACAGGAAGAAGTGTTCTTTCAGTCACCGATAGTTTTTACAAGTTAACCAGTAAATTTTTGTTTGATTATATGCAGTTCTTCCCTGTCCTACACTGAACAATGGAAAAACTGACCGTCTGCTCGCTACAGACACTGAGTGGTATTATGCCAGTGTGTAGAGCGGTGTTATGCCAGTGTGTAGAGTGGTATTATGCCAGTGTGTACACCCATGTAGACCCTCATGTACCATTAATACCATCAGTCAGTTATGGAGATTGGAGATTATAGCACCGGAACAAAAACATTGACACTCTTTTACTGTACAGGCTAACAACCTCGATGTGAGTCAAATTCCGATGTTTAAACGTCAGCTTAAAAGAGAAATGCTTAAAAGAAAAGTAAAAACACTTGAAAACAGACAAGATGAAAAGCACATTGTTGCGATAATTTTCTTAAGAAGAATAATGATGTGTCAAAAGATTCTGGTGAACATGAGAAATGGGTAAATAGATTGCTCAATGCATTTCTGTAGGGAGTGAAGCACCTTTATTAGTTCACTGTCTTCCCACTGCAGCAAAACAAAGGAATTAGGGAATCATCTTCTCCATTTCCACTTGGGTGTTCATTAGAACACCATGAAGCATTGCTAACTGTCTGTTTAAATAAATGGCAGTATCCAAAGTTGTGTTCTTTTATCTGATGGATCTTTGAAGATACTTCGGAGTACTTGATGTACCAGATAAACTGACTATATTATTCCTTGTTGAATTTGAAAGAGGAACAATTACTTGTATTGTTGCAGCAATTGTCTTTGGGATACTCATGACAAACAGTGAGTGAGTGATTTACATAGCTTTTAGCAATATTCCAACCCTAGGTAACACTAGAAAGGGCTTCACACATTGTACCCATGTGGGAATCGAACATGGGTCTTGGCATTATGAGCAAACACCTTAACCACAAGGCTACCCCACTGTCCCCGAGCATACAAGCATGTCTTACAGATCTCAAAATCTCAATAGTGATTGGTTGCCAGGGTACAGACTTAGAGTTTAATGCCCTTATAAGGCATTGTATAAAGTTTATTCTTCATGTCCATGTCAGCCTGCAATCCCCTAAAACTTAGCAAATATATTCTTAAATGAAGAAAATCTTAACCAAGTGCCATAACAGGTTACTGGGATGAAATAGATACTTTGTTTCAAATTAAGGGTTTACGGTTGATATTTTCTTAAATTCAGAGGTACTTTGAAGTTATATTTCATCATTACATTCAATGCTGCAATAGGGTGAAGCTAAGAGTTTAAGCCTCTTCCGATTTATTGTTCCTGTGATCAGTGATATACAAATCTCATTTATAAAGCCATAACCAAAGCTACAACTATAATGGCAGCAATTCTGAAATCTTAATTCTATTTTAAGAAATTGGTACAGACATTTGCTGCAGACTTGTGATGAATATTGAACTCTGGGAAGGTCTGTGTATATCCCAAGGTGGAGTGACATTACGACACATTTACCTGATGAGGGAGATGTACTTGTGTGTGCAGTGATGTAATCAGCTTGGAGTGTGGCGGTCGGGCACTGGTTGCAGGCCACAGACCCTGGCCCCAGCACTCGTCCCCTGGTTAAAAGCAACCTGTAAAATAATATATTACATATTACATCTGTGGAAAACATTCCCAACACATAACAGAGCATATGTTACAAATGAATCTCACCCCTTACATCAACACATATGACATATGACACATACAGAAACTATTAAGAAACTATATTGAAAACTTCTTTTGAAAATACTTCCGCAAAAGTGCAATAAAAAATTAAAAAATACCAAAAAAATAAAAATAAAAGAATGAAAATAAAATGTAAGTGACCAACTTTTAAAACAAACAAATTAAAAAACTCACGGAGTCGTGAACTTCATACGTTGACACAAGAAAAAAAAAGAATGAAAAATAACATTTTTCTTTATTAAAATCACAAATTAAAAAAAAATCCAAATATTCATGGACTTCAAAAGATTAGATACTGTCATCTTCATAACCACATCACATTACAAGTTAACAAAATAACAAAAAATACACAAACCAAACTTAAACAGTATGTACATTCAAAGCTATCACTCACTCAGTAAAGGTTATACAAAACAAATGCGCATGTCCTGCACATGGTAAAGAAGACCAAGATTGAGGTAAACAAGCAGCAGCGTGACCATCAGGTGGTGTTTGTATATATGTCAGGAGGTGACCTGATGTCACTGACAGGCCATTATGTAGGGAAGATGGGGAGGTCTCCCAATTACTTGCAGCTTCCACAACACCTCACCAGTCTGTGATGAATCTGTCTGTCACAGAACAGAGTCAGGTGGCCAACGTGGTACTTAAGTGACATGGCCCTGTACTACTCATGATGATAGCATTTAATATGTCATAATGTTTTAGTTAATATATATGGTGTCAGTGGACTGTTTCTGAACATCACTGCCCACATTAACTGGGGTAAGGGGAAATGGGGATAAAGGTTGTGAGAAGATTGTTGCACATGTACAGTGCTGTGAGTGTGTGTGTGTGTGTGAGAGAGTGAGAAAGTGTGTGTGTGTGTGTGAGAGAGAAAGAGTGTGTATGTGTGTGTTGGCTGTGCATGTCCGAGAGAGAGAGAGATAAAAAGAGAGAAAGAGTGTGTGTGTGCTGTGGTGTTAATGTGTACATGCATGAGAGTGTGTGAGTGACAAAGAGTGTATTTTGTGTGAACGTGAGTACATGAGAGTGCGTGTGGGAGAGTGAATGTGTGTTGTGGTGTGAATGCATACGTGAGTGATTATATAAAAGTGTGTGTGTGTGTGTGTGTGTGTGTGTGTGTGTGTGAGTGAGGTAGAGAGAAAAAGAGAGAACATTGTGGTGGCAATGCATGTGTGCATGAGTGAGTGTAACTGTGTGTGTGAAAATGTGTGTGTGAGTGTATGTTGTATGAATGTGTGTGTGAAAATGTGTGTGAGTGTATGTTGTATGAATGTGTGTGTGCATGAAAGTGAGTGTAACTATGTGTGTTAGAATGTGTGTATGAGTTTTTGCTTTCCGCCGAATTTTATGACAAGCATGGGTTGCTGAAGCCCAATTCTACCCCGGATCTTCACAGGTGCATTTAGTTTGCTTATCATATGTATTTCTGAAAATCTTGGCACATAGCTTCAAGAAGGAGGAAAGCAGATAATCAGAAAGCACAAAAGCCATTGTGGTCTTACATGTTTACCTCTTTGATAACACCCATGAGTCAAGGATCATAATTAGTCCAACCGAAACCGACAGCTGTCCCGTGAGTAAATGACCACAAGTAGTCTTCACAACATGATAGCATGGCTAAAAGATTTTCCATTTGGAATTCCATGCTTATATTTGTTGTTTTCTTAGCTACAAAACTCATATCCCCTTGTCTGAATGCTCTGCTCCGTCATGCCAAGAGTTTAGAAGTCTGATCAATGATTGGTAGACTAATGCTCAGTCCCTGAACCACATTATTTTCCCTACTGCCAAGCCCTCTCTGCAGTGCTAAAGCCCTAAATAAAGCAAGTCTAGATTTCCTCAGGTTCAGGCTGAATCTCTGGTCTCCTTTTCAATTTAAACGGGTTTGTTTGTTACTATCAAACTTATATATATTCAGAGACTAAGCATAAGTCTAATTTCCTGCATCCTTCACTGATATCAGTTTAATGGGTTTTTAAATATGTATAGCAGACTTGTCGTCACGTCTTGTAACAGCTGAGATGAGTGGTGAACTCATTACTACTGGCCAATCACTGCTGCATGATATAATTTCTTCACATTGCTGTCCTACATATACTATTCACACTTTGCTAAGGATCAAATCATGGATTCAACAGAAAACTATGATGTGGGGTCAAATTTGGTTTAAATACCTAAGCTTATTGTAAGCATGGATCCTAGGTTTCAGTATGTCATTTCATCTTGTGGAACCTATACCTGCTATTGACAGGTGTTGTGTACTTGTCAATGACTTGTTCCATGATATGCAAAATGGTTGACTGGTGCCATGAAAACCATTTTTATGGTTACTCATGTATCAAGTGCTTAAGGTTAGATTGAAGTGATTGGTTGCCTAAAGAGGGGTTACCATATTATTATTTATCCAGTTTTAAATGATACAATTTCAAATTTTACATCTACATTTAAGTAAAGTTGTGAATTTTTGTGATCCTTAGCAAAGTGTAAGTAGTATAGTTAAACCTTGGAAGAGTCTGACTTGGAGTTATATGTCTGCTGAATGTAACACAATCTTAAAAAAACCTATATCATATTGGCATCTTGGACAGAAATTAGGTAAGCATTAACGGTATCTTCAACAGGTCTCTTAAACAGAGGCTTCTATTTTTAAGTTTATCCTTCTCTCCTTTTGAGGTGAGGTGGGGTGGGGGTGGGGGTTTGGGGTGGGGATGGTGAGAGGGGAGGGAACATTATATATATACTGTGATATTTGTTGATAAAAAGGTTCATTTCATCTTTGTAATATTCTATAAGTAAAAGGATTTATAATTTGTATATTACTTTTTAACTGGATATATCAATTTGTTCCAAATCAAGCTAGAGTGAAGGGTTTCTAATTCCAGATTCATGAAATATCTCGTATATTATTGGGGGTTTTGGGGGGGAACCAGTAGTCCAAATAAAGGATAGAAGTCAAATTCCGTTACATAACCTCAAAGTTAAAAGTTAAAGATTAAAATCCTAGAATTGAACACCATAGCAGCAAATCTCAAGGATTAAGGCCCCATTATAGTTGACTGCAGTGCGTTATTAGAAGAAACAAGGTCCAGATCACTGATCCATATATAAAAGAGGTTGGCAGCAATGCAGGGATCACTTGAAACCCTCCCGGTTGCCTGAAGTGAGCAGGAGCATTCTATCCAGCCAGCATGTACACACATTACGCAATATGCCTCGACTGTAGCATCAGGTTCCATACCTGGTGCATCACTCGTCAGTGGCAATTGATCTAATTACAGCCCCTCTTTACATCTGTTGCACCAACGGCCCAGTGCACTATCTACAATCTTACAATCTTATCAGGCAGGAATACACACCTCCGGAGCATGGCTGACCTTCCAGGGCAGCCAACTCACTTCGGCAAAACTTGGCTGCAAAAATCTTTCCCCCCTGCCTGGAACCTACTAATTTCAACTTCCACGAATGCTGGTAGACTTGCGTCAGCCAAATACTTCTTTCTGTGTCTTTTATTACACACTAAGACCTACTCCACCCTGACTTGGCAGAGACGAGGATGGGGAGGTGGAGAAGGAGATGATTAAAGTATGCTACTGTGAGAAACCACTGACAGGGAACACAGTGTATGGTAATGATATATTCTAGGCACTTCATGCCAAACAGGCAGACAAGCTTTATAATATATTTGTAGAGGGAGATACATCATACTGAGTTCTTGAAAGTCATGACTTAGAGAAAAGCAATGTTTTATTTATGTTCTGGATGTTTGCAGCTATTGAATTAGGAAATCGAACTGAGGCATATATTGAGGTATGTGCTAGACGTCTCTCTCTCTCTTCTTCTTCTCTCTGTGGAAGAGCTACCACCCTACAGATCATTCATTCAGGATCAGAGTTGCGCACAATACTGTTTTCGACATAACTGGAGTTAAACCAATGGTTGTTCATATTGTGCTAAGAGAATAAATATTTATGAGAGCACTTGGGTTGTATCAGTTTTGATCAGTATCTTGCTCAGTATTTCCCCACATGTGTGATGAGTGCCACAGCTCTCAAACATATAACCACTCTCATAAGTATGGGTTTCCTGCTGACAAACCTAGCATCATAATCTGGGCAACCTTGGATTCAAACTTGTCATCACAGGTTTGGACATCCAAGGGAAACAACTCAGTATAGTGAATTGCATTCCTTAGATGACTGTTACACTTGTTTCTTCCACACACTTCATGAGATCAGTGACAAAAATATATAGCAGAGTAATTTATCAGTTCATACTAATGCATACAGTTCAGTTCCATCTTTGAATTCCTGTCATTTTCACCTGTCAGGACAAATAGGACACAGGTTTAACAAGCACTCTATTTGACTTCTGTGGATTGACTGAGCCTGATCTGGGTTTTCCTTAGTCAGCAATTCTTTCATCACTAACAGTGAAAGGTGAAATTGTCTCGAATATAAGGAAGAAAGAGGTGGTATGCATTTCTCATGAAGTTTCCCACTCATTGTCATTACGATAACAACCAGTATGTAAATGCATTGAGGAGAACAACTAAGGTTGTTGAGTGAGTGAGTCAGTGAGTTTAGTTTTACGCCGCACTCAGCAATATATTCCAGCTATATGGCGGCGGTCTGTAACTAATAAGAGTCTGAACCAGACAATTCAGTGATCAACAGCATGAGCATCGATCTGCACAATTGGGAACCGATGACATGTGTCAACCAAGCCAGCCAACCTGACCACCCAATCCCGTTAGTTGCCTCTTACGACAAGCATGGGTTACTGAAGGTTCATTCTAACCCGGACCTTCACGGGTCCTAAGGTTGTTAATGACAAATGGAGATACTATTATCAAAGTAACAAACAGCTTAGTTACAGTGTTTTTCATTATATGGGTGAC